CATTCATATTCCCCATAGGGTTCACCGCGTAATACCCTCTGACGGGGTTAATTTTTTTCCACCGAGTCGGAGAGAAATTTTGATGCTATTAATCACGCGAGGTAATCCGATTATTTTTCATGGTAAAATGCACACAATGCGGTTTAATTCCTGAAGCTGTCGATAACAATTTTAATCTCATCAATTCTGGGGAGAAAAATGTTCCTATTAATAACAATTAATGATGTATAATCAATGATAAAGATGTATTAGTTCCCAGAAGTCCTTTGAACTGGGGCTGTCGCGGCTCGAAAAAGCAAATTTACGGAAAATTTGACGTTTTACATGTCAATATATTAAGTAATAATTTATTTACAAAGTGAAAAAGTTGAACAATGAACTGAGTTTAGCTTGCTTCATTTATTTTTTACTAAATCAGCGTTCATTTGCAATACTATTTACGAGTGTCGTAACGTGAGACGCTCAATTATTACATAAGCTGGGCTCACGGATATTCGGGGGTTCAGTCGTCAACGTAAATCAAGCTTATTACTTATTTTGAATCATCTTGTAATTTCTACATAATTATCCCGTCTGGATAATTATGAGTTAGTTTAAATAAATAAAACACCTATTTTTCTACCAACTAAAATACCGGATTCCAGTATCCACCCACTGTAGGGAGATGTATCTCCAGGAAGCAGAACCCAGGGATTCATCCCTAACACCAACATTAATTCTGCTTTCAGTATACAACACCGGCCACAAATATAATAATTTCGTTTTATTTTATTTTCATATTTCGTTTGTTAAATTTATATATCACATGTGAAATGTCATATTGTGCGCCTTTTTGGGGTTCATACCAGCTGCGTTCACGTCGCGAACTCTGGGTAACGCTGAACGCCAGTAGGACCAGATATATACGCCTTACCACTGTTTTGAATTTAATTTGATGCCTTAACCCTCGATCACTCGCTCAATGAACGCGGCTCCGCCCGTTTTCGGATTTTTATATTTTACCGTGTTTCTCGACGCTTAAAAATTCGGAAAAAATTAGAGTTCCTAGTTCAATGCTTTTCTTAAGTGATGGCATCGTCCGTTTCTTTTTCGGAAAAATTGTTCAGCTAAAAATAAATAAACGTCGAGCGGACAAAAAAGCGGCGCCGCGCGGCGCGAGTGAGTCCCTGTTGACCGCTCGAGCGGCGGTGTTGCTACATTTACTGCCACACTTGAAATGCGCGCGTAGTGGTGAGCGTCGATGTGGCAACAACGCGCTCGGTTCACTCCAGCGACGCTGCGCTAACCGCGCGACGCATGAAGGCTGGCGGCCGAGCACGAGTGATCGAGGGTCAATGTAATGAAAAATTAAATTTTGCCTTATAGAGGGCTGTATTGGGTGGGGAGTCCTGTGCATCTATCTGAACGTGTATAATAATATGAGTTGATGCAAAGAGGTTTCAATTCATTAGCGGTAACCCAACCACAATTTTGAAAATAATGTATTAGGGGCCGTGGTTGTATACTAAAAGCTTAATTCTTCTTTTTCACTCCACTTTGTCGCATTCTTGATTAAATTTTTTTCCCATGTTAATTCATCAGGGACAATATGCTCCCATGGGTCAAGGGGGCTCAAACTCTTTTTTCATTTTTCCCGTTGGCAAGATAATAATTTGAGGAGATAAGACACGACGAAGGAGCGCACACACACAGAGGAGGGGGAATTGAGGTAACAATAAAGAAGACGGATCAACTTAGGGATGGGAATGGGAGAGGGATGAGTTCTATTGCTCGTAAACTCTGTGGAATAGCACCTCGAGGACGTGATGGAATTCTACGACTCTCTCGAGTCTGTCCCACCGTTGAAATTTGGAAGGTCACGTAAATGATTTGTTTCGGTAGTTGACGGACAATCGATTTCATTTGAGGGTCATCAAATGGATGAGACATTGTGCCCCAATAGACGTTATACCACTGAAATCAATGGATTTACGGTATTGCGATGGATAAAATCGATTTGACCCTCATGCAATCACTTGTTCATTTCCCATGTGTATTTCCATAAATTTTGTTAACTCCACCCATTCCACTGTGTAAAAGGAATGAGAAAAAAAACGCCCACATTTTTATCTGACATTTTTTATCAGATATTTTTTAAAAATGGACGGGCTTATCATCTCATGATCATAATCATAACTAGAGAGAAGTTACTCCCGGGGAGTGTATTTAATTATCCATTGTGCAACGTAAATTGCCCCATCTAATCCATTATATTGATTTTTATGAATTTATCAAGTTTGGCATCAATCAATCGCCCGGAAAATGAGAAGAAAATTAGATATTTCATGACATTTTTTTTATTTCTTCATTTGATGATTCATCTCATATTGTGTCTAAGATCAAAAAAAGCCTCTTTAAAAAGGTTTTTTTAGTTTGAAAAATGATTGAGAAAGGATAAAGTCAATATTTCCAGATGATATGATGTCACAATCCCGATAAAAGCACTGATTGTGAGAAAAAAATTTTTCCGCATTTTCATCTGTCATTTTTCATCGGAAATGTTTAATAAATCGACAGGTTTATCATCTCATGATCATCATCATAACTAGAGAGAAGTTTCCCCCGGGGGTGGGGGGGCTGTGTTTAATTCGCCATTGTGTAACGTAAATTGCCCCAATTAACCCATTATATTGATCTTTATGAATTTATAATGTTCGACATTAATTAATCGCCTGGAAAATTGGAAGAAAATTGGATATTTCATTACATTTTTTTTTATTCCTTCATTTGATGATTCATCTCATATTGTGTCCAAGTTCAAAAAAAGCCTGGTTAAACAGTTTAGTTTGAAAAATTATTGAGACGTGATAAAGTCAATTTGTCTAGATGGCATGACATCACAACCCTGGTTCCTCCGTGTCACAAGCCATATTACTAAATTTACGGAAACCGAAATTAGAGATTCCTCACACTACACTTACGGCCTCCCCTAAATTTTCCATCTCATGTTGTGTCTAAATTCAAAGAAAGACTCATCGAAAAGGATCTTTTATTTTAAAAAATGATTGAGTAAGCATAAAGTCAAAATTTTGAAATGAGATGACGCCATAACCCCGGTAAAATCACTGATTGTGAGAAAAAAAATTTCCCGCATTTTTATCTGACATTTTCCATCGGAGGTGTTCAAAAAATTGACAGCTTTATCATCTCATGATCATAATCATAACTAGAGAGAGGTTTCCCCCGGGGGGGGGGGGGCTGTAGTCAATTCGCCATTGTGTAACGTGAATTGCCCCAATTAACCCATTCTATTGATCTTTATGAATTTATAATGTTTGACATTAATTAATCGCCCGGAAAATTGGAAGAAAATTGGATATTTCATGACATTTTTTTTATTCCTTCATTTGATGATTCATCTCATATTGAGTCCAAGTTTAAAAAAAGCCTGATTAAACAGGTTTTTTAGTTTGAAAAATTATTGAGAAAGGATAAAGTCAATATGTCTAGATGGCATGATGATTCCCGCATTTTTATGTAACATTTTCCATCGGAAGTGTTTAGTAAATCGACAGGTTTATCATCTCATGATCATAATCATAACTAGAGTGAAGTTGCCCCCCGGGAGGGAGGGGCTATTTAATTCTCCATTGTACAGCGTAAATTGTCCCAATTAACCCATTATATTGATCTTTATGAATTTGTAAAGTTTGGCATTAATTAATCGCCCGGAAAATTATCCTCGCAACGGTTTCAAACTAGAAGTCAAGTGAATCCTCAGTTGTGAGGAAAATAAGGGAAATTATTCTCCAATTTCGGAGGGATGGAAGCCAAAATGAGATCTATTTATCTCGGGTTTATTTCAGCGCTCGAGTTACTCCAACTTTTTTCAATAATGAATGTTGTGGGCAGCCAGCGCACAATTGTGTCTGCCTTGAGTGGACCGTAACTACTGGGGAGTTTTATCAAAAGATTACTCAAAGTTAAATTGTAGCAAAATTAGACGGATTTTTTTTTCATTTTATTCGTTGACATTTCGCCTACATTATTATTTCAATATCTTCATTTTCACAATCTTCATGCGTGAGAATTCATCCCGAAAAGGAAGGGCGAGCGGAAAATTTATGCCAACGATTTAATTTTTTTTTCCTCATGTTATGAATTCTATGGAGCAGCGTGAACAAGGGAGAAATAATATCTGCCTGATATGAAATACGATTTCTTTACATACGAGCGTCAGCACAATCGGGGAGCTGTATTTTGACGCCCTTGTGACAAAATTCATGAGAATTCGCTGTTTTTTTTTCGCTTCCCTCCATTTTCCATTTTTCTTGCTGCCGTTGGCAGGGGAAAATTCAATTTTGCGGATGTTTAAAATGCGACGTTTGTATTGGATTTATGACGTATGAAATTGTCTCAACAATTTCCCCATTTTTAAGCATTTTTTATCATGTAAAAAGGCCTGTGAAGTTTGACCCTCAAACAACGAACTTCACTACCACTTCACTCTACCCCACACCCCCCTAGTATGAAAAGATTTTCCCAATTTGTAAATTTATCCCCAAGAGAAATAATCGCATTAATAAAACATTCATGAGCCATGAATCAAGCTCTAGTTCGTTACAATTGGATTATCCCTCCATATATTTGAATGCGCAAAACGAAATCAGCAAATCGTAAATTGGAGCACGGAGGGAGTCAAGCCCGACTGAATACTCCCCGAAACTCCCCTAATAGCCAAAAAATATATATAAAAGTCAAATACTTGGACTCAAGTATTTTCATAAACAGTAATCGATCACTCGCCCTTTTTTTGTTGACAGCAGGTGACGCGGTGTGGTACAGCAGCGAGTTACCAGCGGTAGCAGTGAGCTGCCGGGATCGATATCAGAAGGGAGCAAGGATCCCTGAAGTATAGTCGATTACACCCGCACCATCAGAAAAAAAATCACCCGTCAAATACGTGACAGGCACTCAAAACTAACTTACCCCTTCTGAATCATCTAGAAAGATCAACAATCATGAATTTGATAAATATGGACACGGAGAACCGGGTGGTTCTCAATGTTGGTGGTATCAGGCACGAAACGTACAAGGCAACCCTCAAGAAAATACCAGCGACTAGATTGTCGAGGTTGACTGAGGCACTGGCCAATTACGATCCTATATTGAACGAGTATTTCTTTGACAGACATCCAGGTGTCTTTGCACAGGTGTTGAACTACTATCGTACTGGTAAACTTCATTACCCTACCGATGTTTGTGGTCCACTATTCGAGGAGGAGCTCGAATTTTGGGGACTGGATTCTAATCAAGTGGAGCCCTGCTGTTGGATGACATATACGCAGGTTTGTTTTTATTACAGAATTTCTGGAGTTGAAACGTTTGAGACGATATTTCAGGACATTTTTTTTATTTCTTTATTTGAATGTTCATCTCATATTGTGTCGAAATGCACAGAAAAACTTGTCAAAATAATTTGTTCATTTTTAAAAATGATTGAGATAGGATAAAGTCAATATTTCCAGGTGACATGACCTCACAACCCCGGTTCCTCAGTGAGCGAAGCCATATTGCTAAATTCACGGAAACCGAAGTTAGAGACTCCTCACACTACACTTACCGACTCCCCGAAATTTTCCATCTCGTGTTGTGTCTAAATTCAAAGAAAGACTCGTCAAAGGTTTTTTCATTTTCAACAATGATTGAGGCAGGATAAAGTCAAAATTTCCAGACGACATGACGTCACAACTCTGTTTCCTCCGTGGCCGGAGCTATATGACTAATTTCACGGAGAGCAAAATTAAAGACTCCTCACACTACACTTACCGAATCGCCGAAATTTTCCATTTACCCCGGACAAATCCCAAGTGTCTGTGTACTCATCGATAACCCATCCTACCTCTATCATTCAACAATTCCCAGTCAATGTATTGACCTCAATCTCTGTAAATATCCACCCGCATGTGGGAGAAAAGTAATTTAACGCAGCTCTGAACAAGATCGATAGTTTCAATATTCTGATTGGCAACTTTCGGACTTGCTTGATTGAGGAAGAGAATAATAATAAATCCCCGGGGGATCATACCGTCGTGTCTCTGGGTACAGTATCGGGCGAACTTTGAGGTCATGCAGGTTGCTCTTATTAAAATGTTTATCGACCCATTCAACGAATCGTTAATTACTTTCAAAGGCCAGTGGCGCCCTCCAGCATCTCCAGATCGGATATTCAAAGGAGTTACGATGAGATAAATAGCGATTAAAGAAGGTTGACAATTCATTTGACTTCCGTTGGAAATTCACATTTCTACCGAGATACTATGGTCTTCAACAATTCCTCTCAACATTCGAACAAAGGAATTTAGAAATGCACCCACACACGCCTCAACATCAACTATTTTATGCCTTGGACTATTTCACACACATAACCTCTTCTGAAAAGCATTTCATATTAAATTCAAGAGCCTTAAGTTATTCCAACGACTTGAGGTACTCGCGACTATAGACTGCTAACTCTTCGGTAACAAAACGCCTCTGCATATTTCCACCCCTCTCTCTCTCTCTCTCTCTCTCTCTTTCATTCTCTATTCCAAACTTTGTGGAACACTCAAATATTCCTTTACGAGATCATCTACCTAACTGTTGGGGTTACAGACCGGTTACACAACAATCGCCGGTGAAATAGTAGAATGCACTTCAATGAAACAAGAAAATCAATGTCTCGGGGTATTATATGTTGGGGTATGGTTCAAGATACGCAAGAATGTGGCTTTGTACTTCCGAATGGAAGCTTTGTAATCGCTTAATTTCAAGTTTCCAATTTTTGGCATCCGAATATGCGATTTTTAGATGGTGTCTGGATGTATGTACGCGGTCTATTTCTTCATTTTTTTCTTGACATTGCTTACAAGGGCTCAATCGAATTTCGTTAATTTTTTCAGGAATATAGACTTTAATAAGACTATAATTAACTATAACTATTAACTTTAACTATAGCTATTAACTATTGACTTTAATTAGTACTGATTAATTTTTTTTATTAAGACTATAATTTTGACTTTTATATAGACTTTAATTAAATTAAAAAATTTAATTTAATTTATGCACATTCAAAAAAATTGATATTTTTCCAAAAATCAATTTTTCAGGAAACACTCAAAAAATTGTCATCGAAATGGAATTAGTCATGGCTCAAAAAATTGATAACAATACTCTTTATATATTTTTTTTTCAAACGATCAATTTTTCCGTGTGGACAGCACATTGTTTATAAGATTTGAAAGAAAAAATCAGTTTTTTCATCATTACTGAAAGAGCCATCAACAATAGTAATCAAATCAGGGCTTGAAAAGTATATTGCGATGCCTTCTTAATCAAGTTGAAAAATGGTGAGCACAGCATCGTTGCTTATCAAGTTACAAATATCGCCATGAGCTTCTTACATAAAAATCTCTGTCTCTATTAAATTAAGGTACCAGTTTTTTATGTTGAATATTTATTCATATTGATTCATGGTCGTGATTAACTTCTGACAAAACCTGGGTTAACCTCTGGCTAAATCCTGAATAAACGCTGATTAAATCGCGGCTCTACACTGTTAAAACCTTAATTGTACCTTGATTAAATCCGGACTGAAAACGAATACGAGTCTTGAGAGCATCTGAATGTAGAATTATTTGACAGAACGAAATATTATAATACGAAATTTTGGTGACATCTTAATACTGCGACATGAAAAAATCGAAGAAGAGAATAGTAAAATAAGAATTGAAAAAAAAACCATTCAGAAGCAAATGGCTAATTTATTAGGAACAATTACTATACCCATTTTATTTAAAAAATGCCATTGTCCACTTGTTTATTTAGTTCCCCGTTGAAAACCCAGTTGTAGTCCCTCTCAGCGGGTGAATTTTTCAGGCACATAAAATGTTTTTTCATGAAAGTACTCCAGGGATTTTTAAATAAACAACGGCAGCCACTCTGAAGGTGTAATAAAACCCCTGACGTCATGTTCGGTTTACAATTGTCGCGGAAAAGTTACTAATGAGGGTTATGTATTCACAAGCTGACTAATTGCTGTCGTTGAAGATCCTAAAAGTGTTCTGCATGTCCACACGACTGCGACAGAACAAAAAAAAATACTCCCCGGAGGTGTGAAAAGCTCCTCAACGCTAGAAGAAAAGCATCACTGATGTAATTAAGGAGTTCCTGATCCAGATTACTACCATTGACGACATTTTCCACTCCATTCCCTCGACTGAAGAAAAAAAAAGGCAGAAGAAGTCATGGGAGTGGATAATCCCACGGGAGTCCGTCCTGGAATTCTGAAGGATGGCCTCCTCTCAGCATTCACCTATTTTCACGTTCTCTTTTTATGTGATTTAACCCTTCTCACCATTTCTCATTGGCGATCGAATACTCAAAAGGATTTCAAGCCGTCTTTCTTCGCTCTACGAAACTCTCCCATTACTTTTTACGTGAGTCTTCAGTCCATCAAACCTAATTCCTCGTTTTTTTTTCAACTTCAATCAGGAATATTTTATTTTTAAACGGATGCAGTCACTGGACAGGTGCCAGAAATACGAGCATTGGAATTACTTCGCTCTGACGAGAGACGAGGAACGATTTTTTTTTCGTTTGATGGACGAGGGCTTTCATTCAACAGAGAGTCTGATTTCTCTGAACTCGTAAAAACTGGGTTCAGATTGTTTCCGTTGTAGGAGAGGTGCAAAGGTAAATGGAAAAAATCAAATTTCGATGACGACTGATGGAAAACGGGAAGAAGTAGTTGAGTTTGAAAGGAAGACATCAATAAGAGCATATTTGAGGAGTCTTGTTTGACTCGACTTTCATCTTTCAAGTGAACCATTCGTTAACTATTAACGAATGGTAGAGTTGAATATGACCAAACAAATATTTGCTAACAGTTGACGAATCTCGTTTGAAATGAATGAATCATTCTATCAGTGTGTCTAACCCGTGCAAAATCTCGATCAAAGTTCACACGCTCACCTTTCTTCCCTAAGCGTAATGTTACAAGAAGTGGTTTTCAGACACTAATTTCTCTTTAGGCTGCCCCGACGGAAGGATCAAGATTATTACCAACGTGTGGCTCAAATATGAACTGAGCATATTAGATTAGATTAGATGTTTATTGTTTAGGAAATTAAACAAAGTGATTACATGGAAAATAACATATGTACATAAGAATCAGCAAAATAAAAGACAGCAAGAGATGAGTAAAAAATAAAGAAAAGAGGCTAGAGAGTAAGTAAGTCAGTTGAAGAGATAACAAGACACGAGCAGATGGCCAACTGAATTAGGATGATACTTCAAGATCACGCATCCATCTCCGCAGTTCTCGCTTAAAGGAAGCGAATGAGGGCACCTCCCTGATCATATGAGACAGTATTAAAATGATGGCGAATAATGTGGATTTTGGCTAAACATCCTTAACAAGAAAGAAGGGAAATAAATCGATACATGGATCGAACTTGAAGTCTACCAAAAATGAACGACAACAATTTGATATGTTCACAAGGTGCTTTATTATCCGCCAAATATCTTTACAGGTGGAAGTCAAGATTACTGAATCAGCATCAGCGGATTATTCTCACCAAATGTTCTTTTTCATTTATCCGTTACCGTAATTGAAAGAACATTGGCAATACTCGGGACCAATAAATGTGCAACGGACTTCCGTTGGTTGTCCGAAATGTGCGATATCTTGCTGGTTGCAATCAGCTGCTGTACATCCGTCTGGACAGCCTGCGATCAAATATAATGAATGAGATGATGACATGTGGATATTCATGAGCAATGAGAATAAATTCTTACGTTTTCCCTCGGCAATGCCAGTGAAGACCATGACGATCACAAGTATAAGCAGAATCATCTCCTTGCAAGCTTTCATCATGATTAGAAAACGTCGAGGTTCCGCCAATAGTTGGAGGCTTTCGTGCGACTAGTCGATGAAAAACTTTGAAAATGTGGTAATTTTGTTAAATCGGCCCGCCTTTTATACCCCCCCGATAATGGGCCTCTGCAGTAGAGCTATCGCAATAATAGTCATCGTGCATGCACCGCCGATAAGAAATTGCTCAGTGATAATCGCAACGGAGACAATTATTTGATTATTCACGTGAAGGCTTTTGGTGAGTTTTACCTTTTCGTAAAAACAACAATTAAACGCTATCTTCTCGGTTATCGCTAAACGCTTCCGGTGTCTACCTAAACGAGTTGGCTTATGATGGTGACTCCCCTGGCAAAACTGTCCGATTATTTTCGACTGGGTGATAAAAAATAAATCGGCGTTAATGATGTTTCTGACTTTGCCCGTTAAATTCCGATTGGCTGGTAGGTAGTTTGGAGTTTGAGAAAATTATGAGAATTAATAGGATCAAGGGTATGTGGCCGTTATCGTTCGATTACTTTCCAAAAAAGTGGTTGATAGATCTCATATTGCTCATATAAATCTTTAATATTTATTGCTCATTTAAATATCTATATGCATAATATGAGATCTATCAACCACTTTTTTAGAAATTGATAACAGAATATTTTCTTGTATCAAGGAAATCATGTTCGTCAAAAGTAATTTTTTCTCCCAGTGTACCATACCCTTCAACGTGAGCGCTCGGTTCTCTCGTATTTTTCCTTCGTTACTGATGGGCAACTCATGTGTTGTTATCGATTCGCAATGGCCTAAAAAGAATATGCACCGGGAATCAGTCGGCAGGCACTGAAAATGCACTCACGCTGAGGTATGGAATAATCAAATAAGAAATATTGTGGACTTGGGGAGAAATTTTTGTCGGACCAATATTTTCTCAGGTTAAATATTGGAAATCGATGGGCTGAGATTGAAAAAATCTGGAGTACAGTTTTTTTCAACTGCAGTAATGATTCTTCTTTGGAAATGAAAAATTGACATTTTCAGTTTTTATTTCACGGAAGACCAATTGTGCCGAATTTACGGGTGTGAAAAATTTCACAGCGAATATTTACACAATTACTTTTGCGTACATACCATGCCCGAAATTAATGTAAATGCCCCGACACGTTGCGGATATGTACAATTCAGTGAGGGGTATTACCCATTTTGTTTTAATGTTTTGTTTAATTAATGGGTTTAATTATGTCGGGGTACATGGGTGCGCGAACGTGATCAGACATTGTCTGACTAGTCATACAGTGGATCCACTATACATATGTATATTTCGATATATACTTCATATTCATGCGATTTTCGCGGTCAAAATAATAATCACGTATTCATGAACAAAAAACAATCAGAAATTATTCATTTTTATTTTTCGCTTATAGAAATCTCGGGGTTTATGAGGACAAAATGCACGGAGAGAAATATTCAATACAAATTACCAAAAAAAGACGTAAAAATTACGTTTCGAAACGTAATCTGGGAGCGAAATAAAATTCAATAAAAAGTGTCAATCGTCATGTAAATTCTACGATCTGTTCCGTAAAAATTACTCATCCGTTCGACGCCTCAGGGCTAGCCATGAGTCACCGTGAGGGGGAGATTTTAACAACACGTTCCGTAATTTTTCCGGAACTTTTCGTAAAAATTCTTAAACATCCAAGAATTTTCATGTTCTGAGGCATAATAAGTCTTGAAGTTTCTGTTAGATTTTACAACTTCCAGAAAAATTACGTGACTTTTTCGTATTTTTTCGGTGACAGACCCGAAAATTTACTGAACATTTCAGATTTATTCTCTTATATTCCTATAGAAATTCACTGAAAACGATTCTCGCTTGCGGATTACGTCAAATGTTCCGTAATTTTTCTTGAATATTTCTCTCCATGTGGGTTGTTATATTCAATTAAATGCTCATAATTGAGAATTACTCGAATATTCCTCAGAAAGCCAGATTGCACTTCCACCCTTAAAATCCGGTACGTGAGAATTCAGTATTGAGCACAAGGCGTTTAGTGTTCAGCACGTGGTAGTACGTGATGCATTAACTTCATACCGAGCCCATGCAATTAAATATATTTAGCAGTGATACTGGTGTATGAAAGCAGTATATGCACAAATGAGATTAATGCCAATTATTCCAACTGCTATCATAACGCAAGCTTATTGCCAGATAAATGTTTTTCTTTCCTCTCTATGTTGTAAAAATCCAGATCGACTTCTGGTGATGCAAATTTGGTACTCGAAATTAAGACTCTAAAATTAAGGGTCATGAGGGACAGAATAAGGGCACGTAGGGTCAGAACAAAGATCACGAGGGTTAGATTAAGGGTCACAAAAGTCATATTACGGGTCCAAATAAAGGTCACAAGGGCCAGATTAAGGACAAAAATACGGATAACAAGGATCAGAGTAAGGGTTCAAATAAGGGTGATGGAGGCCAAAAACCAAGGGTCAGAAACTAAGGGCCACCAGGGTCGAAATAAGGGTCATGAGGGTCAGAATAAGAATTCATTAATAGTAAAAACCATTTATTTAATATAAACAAAAGGACGAATAAAAATTTTGATTTGATTCAAATTAATCATTTTTCTTCAATCCTTCGTGAGCGGTAGGAGACGTCTTCTCAAAATAAATTTATTGAATTTTGCTAGAATCAGACAGTTTCGTGCATGTGACGCTGGGAAAATCAATAATGTAATGGTAGTGGGTCATTTAGGGGGACAACACGTTATCGCGTAATTGATTCTCTATCGGATTTTAACGTTCATTACCCGTAATTGCAATTTACCATGAATGAGGCTTTGAAATATATTAATTTTGCTCTATATTCTGAACAGACATGATTTTTTAATGGCTCTTTCACTGTTTTGTCCCTTAAAAAATTAAAATTCATTCACTAATATTATTACAGCGGTCTTTCACACACGAAAAAATTTAATAGAAGAACCTAACGAATTCGTCTCATTTTTTTTTTCATTCTATTTATAATTTTCTTTCATTCTATTGCTTTTTTCTCAATAAGAAGAGAAAAATCAATCAAAGGAACTTAGAAAATTGGAGCGGAGGAAATCCTATAGAAAATATTTCCATATAGAATAAGGTATATAGAAAAATATAATTCTTCCGACTTTTTCTATAGAATATTTTCTATTGAAGATTTCAATCCAATCGGCCAAAAACTAATAGAAAATTCCATAGAAATGCAATAGAAATGTCTTGCGAATTCGCTAGATTTTTCTATTAAATTTTTTCCTCCGTGTTGTCATTGAATACATCTTCATGATTTTTTTTCCGATTTTTTAATGACTTGTAAGCAATGAAACAAGATATTGTGAGGCAGTTGACGATATTGATCAACTCATTTGATTTACTCCGGTAAATGGTACACGACATCACCTGCCACATTCGCAGCAATTTCAATTAAAGCCCATTTGCAATAGTAATGTCCATTAATCCCCCCAGTGCAGTTTCTGCGCCTCCGTCAAATGCCTATTTACCCAAATACTAGGGGAGGAACCCTGTCTCTCTCTCTCCCTCCCTCTCTTTCCCACGCGCCGTGCAAATTCCCACTTTCTGCTATCTCAGGATACAAAGACCGCGTCTTAGATCACAAAAGCTTGTGTATTTACTCTTGGCCCTTGCTGCTATAAATACCATTGGACTTGTTTATATCGTTCGCGCTCAAGCGCTCTATCAGCAAAGCTAACAATTTGATTCCACTTGGCTCCATCCTGAGGTGAAAACAGGACTACAGGTATATCCTCGAAAAAGATGTTGACAGACAGAAGATACTTGTCTGGTGACCCATAATTTCATTGGATTCATGTTGACACAGGTGTCTAATGCCTCACGTACGCCCGAAATATCTCACCAGAATAGAGAAAATTCAATTCCCTCTAGCGACCCGAATCCGAAACTCCATCATCCTGATTACCCCAAGCAGAACCCTTCGCTACTTATTTATTTAACCACTGGAATCCATTAAAACTGGAAACCCTCATCGGCGCATCGAATTTCCACTGACAATTATCACGTTGTGGAATCAGTGCATCATTGTCTAGCTAATTTACACACTGTTGCCTAGAATAAGACCATGACACTCCCCTCCACTTGAACTCCATCGCTTAACCGTTATGCAAATGTATTACGACTATGTTTTCCAGGCAGTTTCACGGCATTCTAATGGCGGGTTGGGGGTAAATAAAGCCCGGTGAATGGTGAATTCTTGGCTTCTCTGTAGATTTCAAACAAGTGGACAATAGCATTCTTTTATAAATGAGTGTAGTAATTGGTGAATAGGTTTCTCTTTTTCTTTCAATTCTTATTTTACCATTCTCTTTCTCTATTTTCTCATGTCGTTGTACTATCATCTATTGAAATGTCATCAAAATTTGGCGTATTGGGATCTCTGACGGAGGCGTGGCTTAATATAAAGCCGTCTCGTGGCGAAATAGAGAACTAGCACGGGCAGGTCGAACGGCCATATGCACGCGGAGTTACACGCTAGCCCTCATTTTTATATATTACTGTTATTAAATTGACTGTGACAAAATGAGAGTTTCTATTCATGAGATTTGTAAATTTGCTGATACACATCCGAGAGCTAAGTTTTCGTGGTGGAGAAGATTTACAAAAATTTCTCTCCACAATTCCGATTGTTTGTGGGTGATTGAGGAGGCAGATTGAGTGAAGGAACACTTGTTCTCTTCAGGTGAGTAATTACTGAATTGTCGTGTTGAGCTCTGGCTGTAATTCAAGAAATCAGTAATATATTTCGTCATATTTTTTTCAATTCATAAATTTCCAAGCTAATATTGGAAATCGCTTTTTTACTTACATGGCAAAAAGAAATCCTCTTCAGTGAAATGTAAAGATCAAACTCTCATGGAATTCGACACTTTTTTGCCCATTCTCAATATTTTAATCCAAGCCGTACGTCTATCAATAATTTCTTCTTCACCGAACTTATTAATTATTGTAACTAAATCCACGTTTTGGCGAGGAAAACGATAAAATCTAACTTTTGAATTATGACAAACTTTGCTGTTCATCCATACACACTGTAAAACGTTTTATTCTTATTTTTCCTCTCCGCAAACTCCATGATCAATAAAATGTAATTATTCTCGACATTCGACTGAATAGGTGAATAGCTTCGATTATTGCAAAATATGGTAATGATAAAAACATTGAGCGAAATGATGTGTATTCTTGCGAGAACAGTTCTGGCTCCGAGTTCAACTGGCTAGCTGACAGCTCTGCGACCTGCCCGAACTAATAGTCGACTGAACCGCTAGAGTGCGTGTGCATTTGCAAGAGATCCCAATTATTTTGTTCTGTCAAATAATTCTACATTCAGACCCTCTCAAGACTCGAATTCGTTTTCATTCGGGGTTTAATCAAGGTTCAATTAAAGGTTAATCAGTGTATAGCCGAGATTGAATCCGGGTTCATTCAGGATTTAGCCAGAGTTTAACCCAGGGTCTGTCAGAAGTTCGTCGGGACCATAAATCAATACGAATAAGTATTCAACATACAAGACTGGCACTCTGATAGAAAGGATTAGTTATTGTTAACGAATGGATTTGGTTGAAGGCGAGGGTTTGTTCGGTCTCACCAAATGTTCATTCGTTAATAGTTAACAAATGCATATTTGAGAAGCTTTGTTTCGCTCGACTTTCACCTTTCAAGTGAACCATTCGTTAATTATTAACCAATATTCATTTGGTCCTATTCAACTCTACCATTCGTTAATAGTTAACAAATGCATATTTGAGAAGCTTTGTTTCGCTCGACTTTCACCTTTCAAGTGAACCATTCGTTAATTATTAACCAATATTCATTTGGTCCTATTCAACTCTACCATTCGTTAATAGTTAACGAATCTCGTTTGGAATAAATGAATCACTTTATCAGTGTACCTGAGTTTAACAGAGACAAAGGTTTTCATGTAAAAAGTTCATGACGGTATTGTATAACTTGATAAACAGTGATGCTATTCTCACCATTACGAAACAATGAGGTCTGGAACGTACACAGAAAATTCATTTGATCCAATATTAGACACCGACTGCCAGGAATCCATCAGCACCGGTCACCCTTGGTAACGGGGAAGGCCCATCCCCTAATGATACAGGAAAACACCCTCACTAGCATTGACCCACTATCTGAAAATCTCTCCAAAGACTTCTTGCAATTCCTCATATGGTCACTAATGCCTTAATCTAATACTTGCCCTGCGTCTCCCGCGGCTTTTTCCATCATTTCATCATCTATCGCATTAAAACTCTGAAATTACACTGGATCGCTCTCCATTCACCATAAAGTTCAAATAGTTTTTTTCTCTTCAATTTTCATTCTCAAACCGAATAGGAAAACTTTCTTGAGCCGCTGACATCCTCCGGATAATGCTAATGCCAGAGTTTTTGCTATTTTTGTCGTTGAAGTTTTCGAATAATGAATTACAGGAGAATATATATATATATATATATATATATATATATATATATATATATATCAATTTCTTTCGTAGTTTTCAGGCTGATAGAGGCGAACGGGACAAAGTGGGCCCTATTATGCCTCATTTTCTGGTGGAAATTGGTGATTTAATGAATTTTTGTGGGTTTAGCATCGGGACACGCAGGAGACGCTAACTGTCCTGGATAGATTGGATCTGGATACGGAGAAGCCGAGTGACGAGGAATTAGCCCGTAAATTTGGATTCGAAGAGGCATACCTCAATGGAACATTAACGTGGTGGCAAAAAATCAAGCCCAAAATGTGGTCATTATTCGATGAACCTTACTCCTCAAATGCAGCCAAGGTCGGTAATACAATTTCATTGAAGCTATAGTAATTATCTAATGTATTATTTGTAGTTGGAGATGAAGGCGACTAGGTCTGAATATTTCATTTATTTATATAATTTCACTGGTTTCATATCTCAAGTTGAGGGGAAATCATTCCGCATATGTCTAAAAACGAATAATTAGGGCAAAAAATGTTTCTATACGATTTTTTCATACATGAAGAACCTCTGTAGCTTAAAAAATTGAGGCCCTGGACAACTTTAAACATTTTAAGCCTACACAGAGCAACCTAATTATTCGTTTTTAGACATCTAATCGATCTTCAATGTGTGAAAAACCACACTAATAGTCCGCGACTTTTAAAACTCACAGTAGTTTCCCCTTAGGGATAATCGGGGGAGGAGGAAATTTAGGAGGCGAGGCGGAGGGCTTTCTGTTGTTTTCCTGCAGAAAATCAATCGCTAAACAAAAAAATTTTTCCCATTCGGATTCAAAATTCAGGCAATATTAGGAAGTATCTCCGGTTAAAAATGATTTTTGGAGCTAATCAAATTTATTTGTATCTGTTCCACGCATTGAATAGTTTTCAGATTGTTTTTTTTAATAAATGAAAAAATATTTAATCCATGCGAAAAAGTGGCAACATCGTCGGTAGTTTTTTTTTTTCCAGGAGCTGGTACCACTGGCTCGAGGAAGCTCCAATCACAACGCTTCATCGCTCTCTCTCTCTCAAGAGACGTTTAAATTGATCACGCTATTTTTCAGTACTTTTTTTGCAATTATTAATAAACAATGCTCCTAGGCGACAATCTTTTTCACGCAAAAAATCATTGATCACATGTTCTAAATGTATCTAAAGTTTCATGACTTAGACTGCATTTTTTCCTTGGGTTTTGCAGTTTTTTTGTGATTTCCATATGATCACGGGTTAAATGACCACTTTTTCAAAAATTCATAATAAATTAACCATGCTCCCCAGCAGTCTGAAACTTTGCACACGCCTTTTCCATCATTTAAAGAATACGTAAAAAAAAAGAAAAAAATGGCTGCTTTTTTTCAACCCTACCAGCTCGCCCGATTATCCTTAAAAACAATTGAGATATATGTAACCCAATTCTACCACCTTTCTCCAAAAGTTACTAACCTCGTTACTAAGCCATCATTCAATAACAGCCTGCAGCAATAGAATGTGAAGTGCCACAACTACAGATCCCAGAAGTTTAACGAGCAAATACCATTGGAAGCTGTATAGAATTTCCGATTTGCCGAGTGTATTTGATCGGCCGAATAATGTTCGAGGTCCCTAAAAAATAAACCACCATCGATACAAAATTTCTCCATTCATCCTATTGTTACGTGTACTCAATGATGAAGTCATTGTTCAGACAAGAATGCCCGGACAAGAGTCAAATTGACAGATAATCAATTTTGCCAATGACGCTGCATGATTCAATTCCATAATTCACACGTCATCTGTAGATTATGTGGTCCTTTTTTTCCTTTATCGTTAGCCGTTAGCATTGACTCCCTTCATCATGACAGGCATCATCAACTCGAATAAACACAAGCTGCACGCAATCAATACAATCATGATTTACCGAAGGTGCCTTAGCCCATTGTGGCACGTCAGTCTCCTGTATTCAACGTGTAATTTGCCAGTCTGATTTGATCATATGTACAAGTACGAATTACCCGGTGGACGGTGGTCTACTAGATTGTGCTTGCAGAGGTCACCCACAAATCGCCACACCCCCCCCGCCCTCATTCCTCTCTTTAGTACTCAACATACATGGAGAGTGGATTTTCCACCAGTATCAGCAAATGTCCTGTCTATCTACTACCATTTATCTGCGGTCAAATTCACCCGCATTTGACACGTTCTGTCAATGTTTTAATCATCTGTACTGGGAAAGCTTCCTTTCCAGGATGCTTCGATTTCGCGTGTTCGGCCATTTACTGTAGCTCATTATCGGTAATGAGAGTAATTTGCAGGATTAATGAGTAATGACAAACACTTGAATTGATACAGTTTCCATTGTTGGGTAGTGATGCCGTCGAGAGACTAGTCGAGAATTATTTTGAAGAGATCATCACGGTCTGGAAAAACATCGAAAGTTTTGGAATCATCGCAATCTCGAAAGACATTGGATCGTTGCATCTCGTCACAATTCCGGGAGGATTTATCTTGCACTGTTAAAAATTTCTTGAAATTTCAGTCACAATGCCATCTGAATTTCCAATGTTGTGAGTTTGAATTCAATTTCAATTGAAAACGTTCACTAAATTTCGCATTCATCTTGAAAATTCAAGAAAATTTGATTTTTCATTTTAAAAATCCATTGATTTTTCAATGAAAGCTTGAATTTTGGAATTCATCGTGGAAATTGAACATCAAATATAATTGAATTTTCAATAGATTGCCTGAATTTTCAACATTATCGATGTTTTTCAGTGCCGTATGGATCTGAAAATCGAGAATTACTTGAATATTCAAGAAATTAACCGATTTGTCAGTGAAGAATTCTACAGGAATTTCATGTAACTTTATCGTTGTTAAAAATTTCAAGTTTTGAAATTTCAAGTGTAATTTTCTAACAGTGCACCTGGATCTCGAGATTTTCGGTTCTTCAAGTTCACCAGACGAGACGAGACAGATATCGAGATAAACATTTGAAGAACAGAAAATACTGAAACTCAGACGTGATGGATTCTTCCAAGTTCGTGACGAGATGCACCGATCCAATGTCTTTCGAGATTACGACGATTCCTAAACCTTCCATGTTTTTTGAGACCGTGAAGATCTTTTCAAAATAATTCTCGTCTAGTCTCGACGGCATCACTATTGTTGGGCATCTGAAATTGAGTGGTGCCAACAAACAATCTGATTTATCATAAAATATTGGCAAGATGTGAAATCTCTATTATTTATATCGTTCCAAGATATCTCGATTTCGGTAATTCGCTCTCAGAAATTAGTTTTGCTCGCGCACAAGCCTTGTCGATAGTTGATTCTTGCTGCCCTCCACTTACGGCTTTCAACTTTTTAATTTCCTCTTTTCCCTGAACATTCCCTGGACGAGTGCCCGTCGTTGGGGCATGCTAAAAAAACACCTCTTGGCTTATCACTATGGAGCACCGTCCACCAGTACCAAATGGACGATACGATCGATGAGTAAGAAAGACAGAAGCTCCTCCAAAAAAAGAACAGAAACAGTTGAAAAAGAACACATTAAAGCTGCACAAAAAGTGACAAATTGAAGCACTAATTATTTTCTGTTCACAGATAATCGGCGTTATATCCGTCTTCTTCATCTGTGTATCGATAGTGTCATTCTGCTTGAAAACCCATCCAGATATGCGTGTACCAGTGATAGAGAGAAGAATAGCTAGACGTGGAAATGGAACAAGTACAACATACGATAAAATTGAGACAAATGCACACGATGCATTCTTCTACATCGAGTGTATGTGCAATGCATGGTTCACTATTGAATTTATATGCAGAATAACAGCGAGCCCAAATCGTTGGGCATTTCTACGTACAACAGTGAATTTAATTGACATGGTTGCAACATTGAGTTTCTACATTGATTTGGCATTACAAAAATTTGCCGCCCATCTTGGTAATGCCGATATACTTGAATTCTTCAGTATAATACGTATACTTAGGCTGTTTAAATTAACAAGACACTCATCGGGATTAAAAATACTGATGCAAACATTTCGTGCATCAGCCAAAGAACTCACCCTGCTGATATTTTTTCTGGTCCTCGGCATCGTCATCTTCGCCAGCTTGGTCTACTACGCTGAAAGGATCCAGTCCAATCCCAAGAATGACTTCAAGAGTATACCACTAGGATTATGGTGGGCACTAGTTACCATGACCACTGTTGGATATGGTGATATGGTGCCAAAGACCTATCCTGGAATGTTTGTTGGTGCATTATGCGCATTAGCTGGTGTATTAACAATCGCCCTGCCGGTGCCCGTGATCGTTAGCAATTTTGCAATGTATTACAGTCACACGCAGGCGCGAGCCAAGCTGCCCAAGAAGAGACGTCGAGTGCTTCCGGTGGAGCAGCCTCGGGTCAGAGTACCCGGGGTACCGGGGGTAGGTGGGCAAACTCAGGGATCTACTGTCTGTAGCCAGCAAGTTGCCCTTCTACCCCCGGGGGGTGGGGGAGGAGGTGGTGGTGGTTTACAGTCTGGGCCACAAAATAGGAGAATGAATGCTATTAAAACGAATCATCCCAAGGATCCATTTGCTAATAAGACAGGTAATTATCTCTCAGTATTATTAGAATCCAAATTGTCTTTTGGTGATGAAATTTTCGTACTCGTAATTGAGACTCCAAAATTAATCCATTCCGTGACCAAGCGTTTTCCCATCTTTCGCCATCTTGTTGTAGTGGCCCGCATGGCCCCCCACTTTTCTCACACGTAGGGGATTGTACACGTTGGTCGTTGAATGGGTTAAGGATCAGAAACTCAAGGTCATAAGGGTTATAATTGTGGGAAATAATAACGGTGGCATGCAACTAGTAGATGAAATAAAAAATACATCAACTTTCAGTAAGTTGAAATCAGTAGCGAAGTGGTAAAAGGTGATAAGTCAATTTTGACTATTGACCAGTTTTCAATCAATAGCTCAGAATCTAAGGGAGATAGAAAATTTTTTGTTATAACCTTCTTTCTGGAGCCGATTGAGTGCTACAACAAATGTGATTACGAAAATTTCGCTATCTCCCTTAGATTTGGAAATATTCCTCAAAAACTCAACTGGGAGATAAGTCGACTTTCTCCGTTTACCACTTCACTACTTAAATGTATTTCAATGATAAAAATAGGTCCGAATTTGAAAGTCTCAAACATGAATAATTGTTCTGCTTTCGACAGCAACGAAATATTTGGCTCAAGAGGCGGATAATTTTCAGGATGAAAATATCTCATATAGAGGAAAATTTATCAACAAATATTTTACCCCCAAGTTATAAGATTGCTATCACATCATTATTATTGGTTCATTTAAGGGTTCATTTCTTGTCTGTGATTATTAGAAAGCTGAAACGAAAAACTACTATCGCTTGTTTCGCATAAAGCAAAGATTTTTCGGGAGCAAAATACGTACGGGAGTATCGAATGACGAAGGAGTAGTGCTAGAAATGACATTTCTTGCGTGTACAGAAAACGCAATTTTTTTTAAACTACTAAATATATTTCTGCGACAAAAATTTTTCATTCCGGCGCACTCTCTGCATGTTTGGCACAAAAAAAAACATTTTTTGATAATTTTCAAAAAAACTATTTTCTTGGCTCAAGTAAGACTTGGTTGAGAACTTTGTCGTTTTTCCCTCAGTATACGAACGCACTCCGTCTTGCCCTATCGCGCCCAAAATCATTTTCCAAAAAATGGGGGAGAAACAGTGAAAAATTGACCATTTGACTATCAATGAATTGTGGAATACAAATTGATTCGCTTGTTTCCAATTACCAATAAACCACTTGGTAATTCATAATGACAATCATCAGTAATTAAGTTAGATTGATGATTCCCATGGAGCAATGGAAACCCAATGTCCCACAAGGGTTCTCTAATTACTAATTCACCAACATAGCAATGATATGAATTGCTTCGCGTTACATTAATGTACGGAGTAGAGTAACTTTTGTAACATGAATAATTAGTACATTACGATGGGTTGCGGTTGCCACACAGCTTCCAAGGAAAGTTGGTGAAAATTATTTACACTGTAATTGGATCATGAAATAAAACATGGGATCGGGGGGGTGGGCAGGCTAGCAGACGATGTGACTTGGGGATAAATTGGGTTAGGCATTCGAGTCAACTTCGAAAACCCCTCTGATGTTGTGTGTTAGCTTTTAGTGAGATTCTGCCTTCATTATTTAATCATACGGCATTCCATACCACAACAGCCGCAATGGCGTAATCCACCCTTGAACACAGTCCCATGAGGTAGTAATTTTCCATTCGTGGACTCTTGTCTCTTACTCTTGGTTGCGGTACTTTGCCATATTACTTCCTGAAATTATCCGCCATGCATTAGCTTTGAATCGCTTGTCGCAGTTGGCGGCCAACAAGTTTGGCCAAGGCGTGCGCGGAAGAGGACTCATAAACCATAACTTCTAGAAACAGAATGTGATTGATGCGAAATTTTCACAGGATAAACTCTCAGTACACTGAGAGAAAAATATGATTCTTCTGACTATATTCCATCACCATCGAATTATAGTCAAAAAGTCCTCAACAATTTGGCATGGGTTACGGTAACTGTGGCCGGAGAAGTGATTACTACAATGGAATGTAGTAATTGCAACTATTTTATAGTTCTACTCACGATAGAATTGTCGTGCTTACTTTTGAAATTTGGGTAGTTTAACTGCATTTTCGTTTGCAAAAATTACGCTTGTGAAGTTATTTTAATGTTATGTGCCGCATAAAAAAAAATCATATCGTTCACCAAAACTGCCTCAACTATTTTCGAACTTCGAACTACTTTCGAAATCGAACTTCAGATTTTTCTCTCAGTGTACTTCCAAGTGTACATTGATTTAGTGAAATTGTTATTCGTCTCCATTGTTTGTATCAATGAAGTGTGGAGAAAACAATAAACTGCACTGGATTATTGTCAATTCGCGACTATTCGCTTGTATTTTAAGTTTCCTCAGGCATCAGAAAGTCAATTGAGTGCAAAACAAAAATTCGACTGGGTTGTTGGTTGCTCGCTCCCATTGCGAGTGGATTGAAGTGGGTGTGTCCCATTACGAGTCGAACCAATAACTTCCCGACCAATTGCCTTTCCTTCATTCATTAGAATTAGATTTTTCTATATAACCCCTTCTATTGAGATATTTTCCATCAAATTTCCTTGGCTCAAATCTTCTAATTTTTTGTGTTTGATTTTTTAAATGAAAAAAGCAAAAAAATAGAATGAAAAAAAATAATAATGAACAAATTAGGCCTATATTGAAAAATCTTTGGAAAGTTTCAAAGTTCAAAAATTCATGTTCGAATTACTCCGAAACCGCTGAAACGATTTTGCTGAGATTTCACTCCACTCTTAATCATACAAAGTTGCATCAATTATAATGACAAGAAATCAATCTCATCGTTTCTGTAAGAGGAATCATCAAATTTGTAACAAAAGTGTCAATTTTCGATGTTTTTTCACAAGTTTAATTGCAAAATCTAAAGAATAGCTGTGGCGATGTTACTCTGAATCTAATCAATTCTAAGTTATATGATAACACATCTAAAAAAATTGAATCGCATCGTTTATTCGACAGAAATCGTAGCGCAAAATTTTGTTCCCATTCACACACAAACACACACGCACACACACACCCACACACATACAGACCGGCCTCTAAAAAGTATCGGGAAGATTCTGCCTTCATTATTTATTATTATTATTATTATTATTATTTATTATTATTTTTTTTTTTACTTCCGCCCTTTGGGTCGGCAATTTAAAAATAAATTCATGGAGATATTGCGAAACGAACGTTAATAAACATCAGAATATCAAAATTGCATCAACATTCCAAATCAAAACAAAAGACATGACTGATAGTCACAGGTCCAACAGTCACCGATGGATAAAATGCAGAAAATCTTGTTAATTACTTTAGTAATCAAGTACACAGTCATATTATTTTCTAAAATATTTCACATTGAGAACCCAAACACACTATTGAGTTCATACAACATTAAATATCTGGCACGCCACGAATTGAGTTTCAAAAGATTTTCGTCTCTACCAAAATTCCAAACCGTAAAACCCAATTACTCACTGTTGCCAAACAAACTTGTGCTTTCAGATGAAGACCGAAGAAACTCAAATCTAAGAACCAACGGGACCAAAGCGTCAGGTGGCCTGGGCTAATAAAACAACAGCGAAAGAAGAAAAAACTTTCCAAATGAAAAAGGAAAATTAAAAAACAACATACTCCACTGCCGCGAATGTCGCCCGGGGATTCCATTACCAAGATAGCAAAAAACAAGTCAAAAGTACAGAAATTCCACAGAGCGGAGGAAAAAAATGAAATGATGGCGGAAAAAAAAAGTATAGCATCAATTGAAGGACTCAACGGCATTGTGAGTAGTGAAATAATACCAAAAAGACATTAAAAAAAAGCTTAATGTAAGTAAGAGTGAGAGGCTGAACGAAAGTGGACTGTTCATGGTTTAAAATTTTATGAGAGCATTAGATAGACCATAGAGATAACAACGGACGTTATGAAGGAGGGGATGTTACCAAGTGGTGTAGATAAATGCGACGAATGTAGAAAATGCGTCCGACATGATGTATGAAGTGAACATTCAGGACACTAATATAGGATATACGAAGGGGGAATATAAATATTTACTTTTGGACCACACTAATGGGAAGTTAGTTGAGATAAGTATAAACGAAATGAACAAATGTGGAGGGGGGGAACACTTGAGTGAAGACACCACGATGGACACATATCACGATCCATTAACAAAAAATAACATAAACTCACTATTCACCCTTCCCTTCTCCCAACGCTTGCCTCTGCACAGAGTGTAATGAATCGATTCAATCAATCACAATCACAGGCCCATTGTATGTGAATTATAGGCAACGTTAATGATAATGGTTCAAGTGAATGATAACAAGCATAAGCGAGCCTTCTCCTAAAATGCCCACCCACGCTGCCTTTTTGTCATCATGACAAAAACATATATTAGGGAAGTAATAATACACGAGCTAGACACTCTTGCACTCCTGCAGCCCCTCAAGGCCTTGTGGGAAAAATTTAAATATTCCACTATTTTAATTCAGATAAAATCCTCTCCTCCTTCATTCTAAACACCATGATCGCGTTCTCTTGTTCCAGCGTAATGATAAGAAAATATCTAGTAAATACCGTACCTTTGGAAAATTCACGTTTTACCTTCATCTAGGGATGGGCGATGTTTTAGAAAACATCGATGTTGCGAATCTTGTTTCAAAAAACATTGATTATTTTAAAAAATTATGTTTTTTCTCATTACACAGGAAAACAAATTTTAAAAAAAATTTGTTTCTTCTCGTTTTTATTGAAAAAAATATATTGAATATTTTTTCGTCGTTGGACGTTAGCTGCAATAATTACTCAAAATTTAAATTTAAAAAAACAATACACGACTGGACTTGTCCACTTACTATTTACAACGTACATACTGTAGAAAATAATTACTTCTGATTGCGGATAAATTATAATTTTTTTATTCTCAATCAACCAACATTATTATTCGATTACTTCCACCATCACCTTTCCGAACATTAGAATCGCGGTATTCGACGTCCCGTGGACCGATCAGAAGCGATTTATATCGATAATACCCCGTCGTTCCGTAATTTTCCCGTTGGCAAGCAAAATAACAAAAAATTGTCGATTGTACCACGATGACACCGAATACCACAATTCTATTTATCGAAATGGTGATGGGGGAAATAATCCGCCGAATACCCCTCGAGCTTCAAAATGAATCGGAGTATTTCCCTCAAACTTCCCGGCATACAAACAAAAGCGTCAAGTTTCGGAGGAAAAATTCCAGCGAAACTTGACGCGCAAGCGCTCGAGATTTTTTTAAGGATGTTCGACACCCTTTTAGCCAAAATTGACGTTGTTTTCATTTTTCTGGCAAATTATCGATGGGAGTGACGTGAAAAAATATAACGATTTTGTGGTTTGTCATTCTTTAATGGCTCACGAAGTTGCGTAGTGGTGCGATAATTTTCATGCGTTTTTTCTACAGTTTTGTGATTCTTTTTAAAAGTTTAGAGAAAACGCAGGAAAATGTTCGCACCACCTTAAAATTTCGTCAGTCATTAAATAATGACAACACGCAAAAACGTTATATTTTTTCACGTCAATTCCATCATAAGTTTGCCCGAAAAATTAAAAAAACGTAAATTTTGGCAGAAAGGGTGTAGAACATCCTTAACCTGCGAAACTTTACATATTCGTTTGTATGCAACGAAGTTATCGCACGGAGAGAAATATTCAATAAAAATTACCAGAAAAAGACGTAAAAATTACGTTTCGAAACGTAATTTGGGAGCTAAGTAAAATTCAATAAAAAGTGTCAATCGTCACGTAAATTCTACGATCTGTTCCGTAAAAATCACTCATCCATCCGACGCTTCACGGCTAGCCATGAGTCACCGTGAGGGGGAGATTTTAACAACACGTTCCGTAATTTTTCCGGAACTCTTCGTAAAAATTCTTAAACATCCAAGAATTTTCATGTTCTGAGGCATAATAAGTCTTGAAGTTTCTGTTAGATTTTACAACTTCCAGAAAAATTACGTGACTTTTTCGTATTTTTTCGGTGACAGACCCGAAAATTTACTGAACGTTTCAGATTTATTCTCTTATATTCCTATAGAAANCGGGAAATACCCGATCATTTTGAAGCTCTCGGGATACTATAACCGATAAAAAACGGAAAAATTTTGTAAGCTTAGTAATAAACATCGATGTTTGAAAAGAAGAATCGAAAATCGATTAATCGGCCGTTGAAAATTTCAAGGGAAAACCATCGATGCTTGTGCATGAAAAATCGATGTTTTCGATTAATCAACAAGCATCGCTCATCCCTACCTTCATCGATTTAACCGACTGAGAATAACTCACTTAACCCCACGCCCACCCCCTTCCCCTTCAACCTCAATATTGACTTTAATATCTCGATATCGTTCTGCAACGAATATGAAAGAATAATAATAAAAGGGGTAGATTTCGGGGGAGAATGGCTTATGAAAAAACTTTCGACCCTCATCAAATCGTGAGAAGAAAGAATTCCTGAAAGAGTGGGTGGACCAATTCATGTTGAGCCTTCTCTGATACAATGAAACAAAGAAGATTACTGAAGTTTTTTTTGTCCGGGTAAATGAAATAGAAAAACATTTCAATTTCACAAACACTTGGGGGAGACAAAAACGACAATAATTCGCTGGGGGATTGTTGCACGATGTGCTGACAGAGGGGCGTGATGTTTCCAAACGTGGTAGGTTTTTCTTTTTATTAGTCCTCCACCCACCACCCACAATTTTACCCCAACGCCACTGGGACCAATCAACCATCCTTTACCCTTCCTACCCACCCAGTCCGTGCTCCCTCTTTGGCAAATCCAGGGGAAAAAAAATCTCGGTAAGAGCTTTTTTTTCGCAAGCTTTTATGCCGCAATGTTGTCCAGTTTTATTTCAATCGAACGTCAACACAATTTTTTTCTGTGCTCATGCCACTGACTTGTTGTTTCGCCAAGTCGTCGCCACACACGCGCGTATAAATCACACTGTGGGGAGAATATGGCGAAATTGTGTCAGCCACAAAGCGATATATAAAAAAATACATGTCATACACAATTTCACGCATATAGAGTGCTGGGTAGGGGAGGGGCTTTTGGTACATGATGCTGGCTATGTGTATATAGGGGAGGAGAGTATCAGTACAGACGATTTATTCTGGTTTCTATCGAACATATCATTGCGCAACTTTCCTACAATCCCCTTTACCACCCGCCGAACCTCAGTACCTGTCGTCGGGTATTTCTGGCTTTTAGAACCCACTATCTGGGTATTGAGGAAAAATGTACACTTTTAGAATGTATAGTATCAACGGGATTTTCCTCCGGGCTTTCTGCATACGATAGGAATAGCGAGGATTTTTTTTTGAAAAATCAGAGGTTATCGTTGAGAGGTTTTTTGCCGATGATAGGGAGAACAGGCCAATAGCTGAACTCGGGGCAATACCTGGACGATTTCACCTTTTATTGAATTTTCTATCAATAATAGAATGAAAACTGGACGGATTGTTGGCATTAGGAATAATAACAGTTGTGTATAATCATAGGATGAAATTTTTTTTCAAAATCTCAACATTACAGCAAGAAAAAAAATGAAGTATTCAGGGCCGCGATTTTGCTCGTTTTATGTCGACATTAAATCATAAATTTCAACCAATCCTAGTTGAATATTGCGAATCCAGGACTGTCATTGGTTGAAATTTCCGATTTTATGTCGACATAAAACGAGCAAAATCGCTCCCCTGGAGGTACAGTGCTGAGTGAGGAAAGAAAATACTTTTGACAAGGGAGTTTACTTGATACAAGAAAATATTCTCTGGTCAGTTTTAAAAACCGTGAAAGCTCATGATAAATCACATTCGCGATCGCAACGTAGATGTGAGAGCCACCAAGTGGTCTCTAAACTAACTACTCTTGGGGGCCAACCAATGAGAGCTCTGGGAGGGAACCAACGATCGGGCTCAACCAATGAGATCAAGGAGAACTCAGTGATATCATTGGTTGGTCCAGAAGAGTAGTTAGTTTAGAGACCACTTGATGGCTCCCACATCTACATTGCGATCGCGAATTCTAACAGGATGACATTCTCTTGTCCTGAGAAAATTTTTAAGCGTTCTCAAGACTAGAAATGATCTTGCGTTATATCTAGATTTTTTTTCATCATTGCTTTGCAGAAAATCTTGCACAAAGAGCACAACACTTGAGATCCATTTTCTATACACTTGAATTGATAATGAAAGTGTTCGTCGTGCAATCGAAACAAGAATTCCTCAGTTGGAGATGATGAGTGTTCAGATCGGAAAAGTGTGAACTCTCACAATTCATTAAATTCTAGATATAACACAAACTGTATAAATTTATGGAAAGACATGCTAAAACTTTGAAAATTTTCTCGGGACATGAGAATCTCATTCTGTTGAAAGATTTCTTTCCCTCAGTGTGAGCACAAAATTATTTACCAGGGTATTTCACGATTCTAGAAATTGACATGAGAATATTTTCTTGTATCAAAGAAATCATCTTTGTCAAAAGTACTCGCAATTTTTTCTCTCAGTGCAGGCATCAGTGACAGGGTCTCGTGGAGAAAAAAAACGAAGTTCTTACATTCCGAAAATTGAGAATCTATGTCGCCTTGAATTGCTTCACATTCAATAAAAAACAATTCACATGTTGGTTTAAACTGGATAAACGTTTTATATTCCTCCAGACCTTTCATGACCCTCCAGACCCTTCATCCACCGTTTATCTATTGGCCCTAGCGTCCAGTTATTGGGGATTTAGAAGATATGCTCCCCTTTTCCCTCGTTTAATTATTCTTCTCTTCATTTTTTCCACTTCAAATTATTGTTTTCCCTAATTCATAGATTCCTTCAGATCTAGAGCTCATTTTTTATTCATTTGGCTACTTCATCGATTTTAAAACCTTTAATGAAGTTCATTATTTCCTTAACGGTCTAGCTATTGGCCTGTTTACCCGATTTTTTTACGTGAATTCATTTTTGGACAGTATAAAGTAAAAATTTACACATATTTGATTTTTACCGGAAATTTCAGTCTCTCCAACTTTGGGTTCATGAATTTGTTAATTAAAATTGAAATTCAAGTGTCGTTCGACGCAGATTCGTCATGATCGATTTCCAGGGTTCATAAACATACGGACATATGGCGCTAAATGTAATAATGCGACAGCTGATGCTGGAGAACAATGCGAGATATTTAAGAATAGATATGATACTCTTATTTATTTTCTCTCCCTTGTTTCCTTACGAGGGATATAATGGGGTTGCTGTCGGCTGATGACGATCTCCTGGAATGCGAGGGAATCTCTCCAGATGTGAGGGTGTCACGCCTACTTTACGGAAGTCGAGTGGTCGGCAAGGGTTCAGTTTTCTTCAGAGATCTGTTTTTCATGGGAGGGGAAACGGTAAATTTCCGGCAAAATTATTAGAGATGATTTGAAAGTGTCGGCTGTTCTGAAAAGCTTTAAGAATTGGAGTTGGCAAAAATGCCCCTCATCGTGTGAACCTCAACTTCGCGCATGACATGACCGTCTCTCTCGCTCTAGCCCTCTCGTAAATCAGTCCTTTCGTATAAATAGGGAACTTGCATGTTTGAAAACAATTTTTTCCTCACATATATGCCCCCAAGAACCCACATTTGATAAGGAAACACACGGAAACTAATTTAATAATTATTTATTTGCTTTTAAAAATGTCATTTTTTAAACATTCTAAAAAGACCTGTGACGTCAACTCACCAGAGGCCGAAATTTTCGTGTGGCGCCATCGAGCTGTTTAGTGCAACTGCTGGAATTAGAGATGCAAAATGACCGACATTTTTTAGATCGCGTCATATGACCAAAAAATGACGGTCATGTGACGCACAAATTTTCCAACTACAAATGATTGTCACAAATCATTTGTAACCAAATTGTTGTCAAACCATCTGTATAGTTGCATAATGACGGTCATAACTAATTTCCAATTTGTGACGGTCATGAATAAAACAAAATAGTTTCATCTATATGGATGGAAAAAGACGTGATTTCCATTTCAAAATGCGGATTAGGCCAATACAAAAGGAATTCAACTGAAAATTGACCGAGAAAAAAATAAAGTTTCATCTATATAGATGAAAAATGACCGTCATTTTTTCTTGACAAGTTGTGACAGTCACAGAAGAGGGAGGGGGAATGTGACAGCCGTCATGAACCCCTCGGCATGTGACCGTCAATGACGGTCACATGACCGTCATATGACGGGTCATGTGACGCATTTGCATCTCTAGCTGGAATCTAGGAAAATACTCCGTACATATATTTAGCTCCAAAATGTCAGAAAAAGCGGATCGCGTGATGAAAGTTCTTTATAAATATTATTTTGTAGCAGGATGTAAAAATACAACAGTGAAAATTTTACAACCACGACTTTCGAAACTTTGGCAGATTTAAACCCATAAAATCTATCAACACGCCGTCTGAAAATCATTTTTCCGTACTGATCTTCCCTTTTCCTTGTTCGGGATTGGTATTGGCCCTTCCCAAACTCGTAAAACTGAAAATAACTACGGAAAAATAGCGTTCACGACTAGTTTCATGGGGTTTTTTTACTCGCGTGGTTGGCCATAGTGTAGTCAATCTGGCATTTGACCTCCATATCGATAAATAAATTATATACAGGTAGAAACATATACGAATAGATAGATAAAATAATTGTTTCAATAATTCTTTCAAATAATTAACCTCCTCGATTTGTTTTGGCTGAACGTCCCGCACTTTGAGAAGCTAGAATCTAGAATAACTCAATAGCGCTCCCAATGGTCGCAAGAGGAATGTGATTTCGGTGAATTGACGTTATGACCCCAAAAAAAGTGTTCAAAATTGATGCATTTTTAATCAGTTATTACAAAATATCCAGACAACTTTTCGGGAAACTTTTTACTCTGTGATGATTCATAGACAACAAAGACTCTATTCATTTGAAGATATTTGAAAAATGGACTCTATGCAAGTTCCCTATTCCGGAAAAAATCCCTTTATTAATAACATTATTGTCTCTTCCGATTTTTATCGTGTCATTCATACCCGGAAATACCCTTATTCAAACCGCTATCATCATTATCTAAAAACCTTCACCCCTCGGGAAAAAAAACCTTGAAAATATGAATCGTGATAACCCGTAGGATCGTTAATAAGCCAGATTTTCTCGGGGAGGGAACGCGAGATAACGAAAACTATTGGAAAAAATAACACAGGGAGCTTACTGGGGAACAAACGAAAGGGATGCATATCTGTGGTGGGCACAGACCTACACAACACGTTAACACGAGAAAAAAAAATTTTTAAAAACCACGAGCACGTAGGCACATGAAGAGGAGTAAATATATAACGAGTATAAAAAAATAAATAAAGGATTAAAAAACACGTTTTTTAAAGGGATTAAAAAAATAATTTCAGTGAGAAACAGAAGAAAGTTGAGTTATGGAGGAGAATAATAGTACGCGACGGCTTTAAATCTACGCCTAAGGGATCACGATGACATCATGATTCCCATTGTGTTCTAGATATGACGAAGACGGAGGATTAGTTATGCATGAATAATTTTCCATTCACGAATTGAATAACAAAGAAATATTTAAAAGAAATGATCGCACATTTTTATTCCAAAACGAAAGCGCATAAATCGATAAATTATTTAAGTTGTTGTGAATGAAAAAATTGTGATGATTTTTTATTTGACATTTTAATTGGGCTGTTTTATTGTATAAATTTTAAATAAAAACAGAACATTTATCGACGAAGAAAATGCTAAAACACCGCCCATTGTATGATGTTAACGTTTTTCACAGGGAAATAATTAACGTGAAGAGTTGGAGAGTATTTTATCCACTAAGAAATCATCTAAATTTCATAGATAAAAAATAATGTTGCGATAACATTGGGTAAGGGTGGACGATTTATTACGATAATTATCTGCTCGATTTATTCAATTGAATTAATTATCATTGTTAAGAATTGATCATGAATTTTGAGGGTTCAAATGTATGATTAAATCACGAATAAGATTTAATAAAAAAAAGAGGTAATTATTTTATTAAAGAAAAAATATAAAAAGTTGAACCTAAAATTTTTTATTGATTGCGGATAAATTGAGGACGAAGAGATTATTGTAAAATTCTATTTCAGTATTGATATTTGTTTTTATCGTAAGTAAATTTATCAATTATTTATCAACTCGTCATTATCGTGATTTAATCGAATCAAATGTGATGCGAGAGAACAAAGAGGATGGGAAAAAGTGGGAGAGAAATTATAAATTTTATTGTAATCGTTGATAAATGCTCGACTTCTTGGGTGTAGATAATGGAGTGATTGTTGGTGGAAATGACGTAAAATCATTAAAAGTTGGAGGGAGAAATGTATTATTCGATTTTCACAAAGTAATTCACGAAAGACAAATGAAATGATTATGATTAATAAAAATTATTGTACCACGGGCCGAGCGTTGTGTTACGACGAGCTAGCTGGTTTGTAAATAAAACAACAAACTATTTGATTCTTTGAAGTCATTCGTTTTTTTTTAATCCTTTCTGAATTAACTTAAAAATCATGAGACTAGGCAACAATTATTCAACTTGTTTTTATTAAAGAAATTGAGTACAAAGTATCACTGCAATTATTGCCAATTAATATCTATTTTCATGTTTCTAGAAATATCTCTACTATGTACATCTATATTATCCCTTGGGCTATTTTACTCGGTCAACCTTAGATGTTTTTAAGGCATAAATTACTTGGAAAGCGGGATGCTATGTGCTATCCATCGACTTTCCGGACCTCTATATGAGGGAAATAATTGAATAATTATCAATGCACAAATTAAAAAATTCGGAGGCACACGGATGTTCAATATACCGGTCGTAAAATGTCTTTGATTCTACTATGTACACTTTTGTAGTATCAGCTTAAAGTTAATCGATACTGACCGAGTCAATCAGACGATGGCAAAACGTCATGTGGTCTCAAGTATTTCAAAGTTAATTTTTAGAAAATCGAGCGAGCGCCAGCGCAATTAAAAAGCATTTTTGAGTGATGGAAACACTGATGAAATTACAATTGAATTTCTACGTTATTAACTAGAGATGTGGGTGACCATCGCTGCTGAAATTTCCAGGTCACTTTTCGGACATTTTTATCAGACTTAAGTTTCAGTGGAATTGCAAGGAATTTTGGGGAAAATCAATGAAAACTAGATTTTAGTGCAATTATTCCCTAAAAATTAGTAAAAAACCGGAAAATTCTGATAAAATTTTCTTGAATTTTCAATTTAAAAAAAATTTAAATAAATTAAAGCATTCTCGTCTTCACGCTTCTCAAAATTTTCAAATTTTATCGAATTTCATTTTTTTAATAAAATTTGGGGAGAGTGGGGCAAAATGAAACAGATGAAAAACGACGATTCGGCGCAATTCAAGCAAAAAAAAAAATTTTTATTAAATACTGATGTAGTGTACTGATAAAAATAATAATTTTGTATTCGTCTGATAATTTAATTTATTAGATTACGCTGATTACACTTTTCTGTTTTCATTCTATTGAATGGAAAATAATTATTCTCATCAGTACTCCGAAGAATGAAAAAAGTTAATAAACAAAAATTGATTAAATTGCGTCAAACAGTCGTTTTTCGACTGTTTCATTTTGCCCCACTCTCCCCTACTAAATAAAATAATAATTGATAATAATTCAATTCTATTAAAAAGTTTTCCGATCGAGCCCTCAAAAAATGACCCAAATATGAGAAAATATGACGGAAATAAAACGGGCATTCCACATCTCTATTATGAACTACCTCCCCTGCAACTCCCGCAGACTAGAACTTTGACATTAAATTGTTTCACGATACACAAGGCAGTTGTTCGTAATTGATGCACATACCAATCATGTCTTCCATTGACGTGAAATTCTCATTTCCTGTGCCAAACGCCACCCTTATGTGGAATGGAGTGGCCGATGTTTCAACTCGGCAATTACCCTCAGTGTCCATTTCCCCAGGTCCACAAAGTGATGTGCCACAGTGCTCAAGGTCACAGACACCAGCGCCATCATTGCCCGGCTGAAAGCGAGAGAAATGCCCTCGGTGTAAGTGAAAAATCCATTTAAAGTCAGACGATTTTATCATGCTCGAGTAGTTAGGCATGGTAATCAGGTAAATTTGTAATGAGTGTTTGAAGAGGGCATCGAGAGCACTCACTGAATACCTGATGAGGATATTAAACGACTAGTGTCTGGTAATTGCCTCTCTACATTCGTTTTGCATTACTAATTGTTGTATATTGTCGGGAGTAAGACTCGACAATTTTTTTTCCCATATTTTTTTTAGAGGGGGAGTTGTATGGAGATTACCTCTGAATTTTTCATCGTTCAGTCTGACAAAAAGTGAAATAATTTTCTCCCCCTTTGACGTTTAGAGTAAATATTCTTGAATATTCAAAACTTTTTTTTTAATTCACCTGCATTTTTTCCCACATTTTATACGGAAAAAATGATATTTCTCTCTGTGATCGGTCTTTAGATGAACAAATAATCGCGATGATTTTTTTATTCCTCGAGTGAATAGTTAACAAGGACAATTATCGAGGCGGCCCAACTTCATTTCCCTCTTGATGTGTGGGGAGATGCGTTAGTCATTCCCATTGTGCTGCCGCAATTCTAATTTATCCTCGGGGGTAGAATAAATTTGAAGAGGATTACAGGAATGGTTTAATGGAATTCAATTACTTAGAGGAGATTAATCATATGGATTCTAAAAATGAAATGAAAATTCTAGTCTGCGAAATTTTAGAGAGAATTTTCGTTCAACTATTCCAATACGGAAAATTGAATCACAAACTGATTTATTAATTCCAGTTGCTATAGATATTTCACTGCATCCCAGACATTTCCATGCAGCTCTCGGAAACTTTGTCTGCAAATACAGAAACTCGACTGTCTTGACTCAGCGATCGATTGGATATTTGAATGAATTTGTGATTGGAACGGAAAAGTTACATTAAGCCAGCAATTTAGTTTTTTGAATATCAAAGGAGACATTTTTTCAAACATTTTCTGTGAATTTTTCGGCCTAACGACATAACAATTTTTTTTCACCCCGAGCCAAAGGGTCAGATTTTCGATTTTTCCAGGGGGAAAGTCGGCTTTGGCCAAAATCTAATTTTTTAGCCGGGTGGACGTTGATTCCAACTATTTAAGCGACGGGCTATTCAGAATTCTCAAAAGTATGTGGAAAAAGTGAAAACTGAAATTTTTTTTTTTCACGTTTTCAAAGGGTCAAATTTTCCGTTTTTCAAGGGAGAAAGTCGACTTTCGCCAAAAACGAATTTTTTATCCGGATGAACGTTGATTCCAACTATTTAAGCGACGGGCTATTCAGAATTCTCAAAAGTATGTGGAAAAAGTGAAAACTGAAAATTTTTTTTTTCACGTTTTCAAAGGGTCAAATTTTCCGTTTTTCAAAGGGGAAAGTCAACTTTCGCCAAAAACAAATTTTTTATCCGGATGAACGATGATTCCAATTATTTAAGCGACAGGCTATTCAGAACTCTCAAAAGTATGTGGAAAAAGTGAAAACTGAAAAAATTTTTTTTTTCAGATTTTCAAAGGGTCAGATTTCAGTTTTTCCAGGGGGAAAGTCGATTTTCGCCAAAATCGAATTTTTTAGCCGGGTGAACGTTGATCCCAACTATTTAAGCGACGGGCTATTCAGAATTCTCAAAAGTATGTGGAAAAAGTGAAAACTGAAAATTTTTTTTTTCACGTTTTCAAAGGGTCAAATTTTCCGTTTTTCAAAGGGGAAAGTCAACTTTCGCCAAAAACAAATTTTTTATCCGGATGAACGATGATTCCAATTATTTAAGCGACAGGCTATTCAGAACTCTCAAAAGTATGTGGAAAAAGTGAAAACTGAAATTTTTTTTTTTCATATTTTCAAAGGGTCAGGTTTTCCGTTTTTCCAGGGGGAAAGTGGACTTTCGCCAAAATCGAATTTTTCCCTCGCCTCGCCTCGCGTGCCTAAAACGTCCCTTTTCCACACATTGTGATGAAAAATATCGTTCGATACTCGTGGGAAAAGAGTTTTTTGGCTCGTGGGATCATATCACTCGCCTTCTGCTCGTGCTATAAACCTCCCACGAGTCAAAAAACTCTTTTCCGCACTCGTAACGAAATATACTATTCTCGTATTTTTCCCGAAAGCGATCATCTCCTCATAATTGCGACCACCAGTCGTTTATCAGGACTCTAGGTGTGACAAGTGTGGGTGGACACCGGATTAAAAGTGTCGAAATGCAAGGGGTGGGGTATTGCGCCATGTAAAATCAATTCAATTGAATAATTCATGAGGATTGAGGTACGGAAGTCGGGTGTGGTATTCTGCAGTTGCCTACATTGAACGTAAAGATCGATGAACACGTGTGTATCTATCTCCATCAAATGCCTCCACGGATAAAGTGTATACATACCGTTATGAATTCCTCAAAGTCACATGGGATGAGAACACGATCATTGCAGCGTCTGATGGGAGTAGGATCATCAGAGCCAGCCCCAGAGCCATCTGCAAGGTTCACTTGGTTACTCTGGTTTCCAGTTAATCTACTGGGACCTATTCTGAATGAGTCATTGCTGCATGGTGAATAAGCAATGCTGCACATCTCTCTCTCCTGGCGTATGCACAGCAGATAATCCTGATTTGATAAGTATCGTCCGTTTGGCAAGTAGTTTAAAGTTTTTAGAGTACCACGCGATGTGTCGAAGTATTGGAGGCAGCCGGCTGGTGCACGCTGCTCGAATGGCAATTGAACTATTGACATTTCCCATATTCGGGATTGCAGACTACTGGGTAGAATGAAGTCAAGAGTCACTGGACCCTCTGACACGTCCACGTACACTTTGAATGAAAAATAATGGGCTTTAAGGATTTGAATTAAAAACGCTCCTTGAAAAAGTTCAGAATCTTTTCTACTTTCTTTAATCATTCTATCATAATTTTTGGGAATTTCTACATGATATACCACTCAATTTTCAATTTTGGATTACGAAAGATAAAAAAATGCAGATCTCATTCGAAAGATAGTACACCCGGCGCTTAAATTTAGAAAAAAAATTTTAATTTAAATTTTTAATGATCATTACAGCTAACGTCCAGCCACGGAAAATAGTCAACATATTTTTCTCCATTAAAAATTCAACTCTCCAGCAGTACTTATCACTGAAACGTAAGTTCCTCGGGTTGCATTTTTTCAATATTATACTTTTCCATAAAAATCAGAAGAAAATAAATTATTTTCAAAACTTGTTTTTTTTCCTGGGTAATGAGAAAAACAGATTTTTTTAATAATCGATTTTCCTTGAAAAACATACGAGAGCAATTTCTTCTCTCGTCTCGTCGAGAATTGAAAGATTCTCTCGTCTCGTTTCGTCTGGCCTTATCTCGTCCCTATTATCCAATTTGCGCGGAAAAGAAAAATACACAGAGGGACAGAGAGGGGAGGCTCTCTCAACTCTCGTCTCTCCTCTCGTTTCTCTCGTTCTGCCGGCTTTCCTCGTCTCGTCTCGTTTCTGTCATTGTCTCGAATGACTCGTCTCGTCTCGTCATGTCTCTCGTGTCGTTTGTCTCCTCTCGTCTCGTTTCTCTCGCGTCTCGCGGCATCATTACCTCCAAAGTATTGTCTCATCATGTCTCGCGGCATCACTATATATTTTCAATAAATAGTAAAAAAGCATGGAGAAATTAAATTCCTTGAGGCTCTCGAAACGGAGTTGGGGCTGTCGATTCACATAGAACAGAGTTACGCAGTGTATGACGCGCACGCTAGAGGCGCTGATATCACCAGGAGATACATCCCCCTTTATTCCATTCACAGAAGCATGAGAACCACAGAAATTACGGAGACTAAATTGTCCCGCATACATTTCATTTATACTCCATTGTCTTCTCACCGCGAAAATGTAAATACCCCGTTATTTTCTCCCGATAAATATGTAAAATTGTTGGTGCTTACTGTGCTGTCCACTATTCCATCCGCAAAGCTGGTATATTCGATCGCCACTCGTGATTTCCATTATGTCTTCATCGCATCCACCAGTTCGCCTGTTCGGCTGACCCTATTCACCGGAGGAGTGCTTTAGTTTTTCATTCTTATTTGTGTTTTTATTACTTGCAAAAAATAATGGGAATCAATATCCGGATAGTCTTGGGAACAAATAAATACGTAACGGAGAGGACGACTTACGATATTAAAATGCAAAAAATCGATACGAAGCTGACTGACTTGGGGCTCTATCTTTCTGATGATCACTGAACAATTCATGGGCTGATCGATGAGGTTTGGGAATCCCGGGCTCGTCACGTACGTCAGGTTATTACCAACTTCACTGTTGCAAGTCGCTGTAACTGTTCACGAAATTTTCATTGATTATTTTTCCAACCTAAATGTCGGGCAATATAATTGGCCCATTCGACATCACGTGGTAGAAGCTACAGGGTTTTCAACTGATAATTTTTGGATAATTTTCTCTGGTAGTTGCTATATAAAAAACAAAACATCATGCAGTCGAATTAACCCCTCGTCAAACTGACAGATTGAATTCAATTGTGGTAATCCGAGGATTTTTATATAGTTAATTACACAATTTTCGTTTCTCAATTGTGAGTTTCGTCTCATGGTCCAATTATATTGCCCGACATTTGGATTGGAAAAATAATCCCCCGAATACCACACGAGCTTCAAAATTAATCGGGCATTTTCCTCAAGGTTCCCTGCATACAAACGAAGTCGTCAAGTTTTTCAGGAAAAATCACTCGTGCTTCGCACTCGTGATTTTTTAACCTGAAAAACTTGACTCCTTCGTTTGTTTGCAACGAACCTATCGGAAAATACCCGACAATTTTGAAGCTCTGGTGGTATTACAAGTGATTATTTTTCCAACCCAAATGTCGGGCAATATAATTGGCCCATTCGACATCACGTGGTACAAGCTACAGGGTTTTCAACTGATAATTTTTTGATAATTTTCTCTGGTAGTTGCTATATAAAAAACAAAACATCATGCAGTCGAATTAACCCCTCGTCAAACTGACAGATTGAATTCAATTGTGGTAATCCGAGGATTTTTATTCGAAACGAGTGCTAATTATACATTTTCGTTTCTCAATTGTGAGTTTCGTCTCACGGTCCAATTATATTGCCCGACATTTGGATTGGAAAAATAATCCCCCGAATACGACACGAGCTTCAAAATTAATCGGGAATTTTCCTCAAGGTTCCCTGCATACAAACGAACCTATCGGAAAATACCCGATAATTTTGAAGCTCTTGTGGTATTACAAGTGAATATTCATCTTTATTATTCCAGATAGTTAACAAATTACTTGGAAAAGTTTACGGGCAACATGAGTAATGGAGACGCTCGGGAAAAATAGAGGCCAGGGAGGTGAATAAATTCCTAAAGTGCAAGCCATTTTTCCTGATTTCAAGTTTACGAAAGTTGTTCCGAACTTTTTACAGTAACAGCACCACCAATTTATAAGAAATCTTTCGTACACTATTTGCCTCAAGAGTTTCAAAATTTTCTTGAAATAGTTTCAGTGAAAATTTCTTATGGCTTGTCACTCACAACTGAAATGAAAAACTGGAGAAGAAAATTTCATTTTCCGGGCCGTTGAGTCTTCATTTCTTTCGAGTCCACTTGTTATTATTTCTCATAAATTGAGGATAAAATATTTTCACTGGCTCTCGGGCGACGATGGATAATTCAATCAAGCTAAGCAATTGAATAATATATTCACAAAGAGGCATGTGTATCCTTGATTACAGTGAAAAAAATATCAGAACTAGAATTCCCCAAGAGCCCCATTCCCTCCGAACTAAGAGAGCCGAAAAAAAAAAAATACCAACAGTTGGGGAAAATAAAAATCCGCCTGATATCTGTATTTATGCATTCCACGTGGAAACCTCGGATGGTTTAACCACTCTTTCCTCATATTCATTTTTTTTCTTTATTCACCATTCACTGCTTCCTCGTTTTTCGTGCAATTTCGCCTCGACTCCCTACTCCCTTGCACTTCTGTGAAGTCCCTCAGCTGTTCAACCAAACACATCACAATCTGGAAGAGAGAATATTTGAACAAGAGGGACAGGGGGTGGGAGGGGGAGAAGGCAAAACTGAGCGTTGAAAAATTCACGATCCACCGCTGAGTCTGTTTGGGTTGAAATAAAAAAGAAAAATGGAGGATGTAGGCCTCCGTCCCTTTAAAGCTGAACCAACCGACGAATTTCCCAAGTGACAACTGGTTGAGATGTGGTAGGAGCTACCAAGATTCACTGCTACGATAAAGGAGTTGAGTGGGTGGTGGGTGGGGGGACAGGTTGGCAAACCGGTCGTGAACCTCAACGGTATACCTAGCCTGAAGAAAGGCACGCGAGTAACGTCAGCATAGTTGTAAACAAGGTACTTGGACTGGTGGTGAGATTGGTCCATTTGGGGGAATGAGTCAGGGTTATGTAGCGGTGAATTTCGGATGCCTGGGGGATTGAAGGATATGATTGAAAATTTTGGGAATTGATGGGTTTTTAACTTCCCGGCACGAGGGGAAGTTATTGTAATGATTCTGAAAATCGAGGGTGGAATTTGCACTCCATCCGATCTCATGTTTGAAAGATTTTGGTTTTAGAGACACCCCCATGGGGTTCGGGATGAACGTCCTTTCTTCATCGTAATTACCCACAATCAAAAAAGTGTCTCATTTTCTCAGAGAAGTTGTCTTTGAAACTCATTCTCAGGTCGGCTGAAGATTACTCGAACTTGCACAATTTACTTGTTTATTTGACGTCTTATTTATTTCGGTAAGATCGTATATCGCAATAAGGTTTTGCAATAATCTACAATTTGTTGTTAAATTTGATTCATCAAAAAAATTGACGAAAATTTATGGAAAATTTAACAAATGGTTGTCGAATGAAATTGAAAAATCTTTTCTGAATTTTAATTAATTAGTTGTCAAAGTTCACCAACACCAGCAATCCAGTCGAATTTTTTGTTATAATGAACACAATCTGACGTGATTCAGTGAAAGGAACGTCACCTTCATATTATGCGGTGGAAATAGACATTAGATCCGCCATTTTGTAGTCCATGAAATGCACAGCAAAATGGCGGATGAGGTACAGTCGCTCATAAAACGAGGAATTTCAATACATAAATTGTATTATTTCAAGAATTATACAGAATTATTTCAATATTTTGAGGATATCTTGAGAATGACTCGGTTAATCGAAATGTGGGACAGTCTGACAAAACCTTGGACGAGGCAATACGGAGTAACTGTACCTCGTCTTGGCCGGTCAATGCTGCAATGAATTCCAGACCTGTTTCGAGATCCTTATCCATCGTTTATTCTTCATCCAATTTATGCATTTACTTTTTATGATGGAAGAAACTTTATTTCCTCGGTGAAACGATACTATCGCAATGCATCTTCAGTGATATTATTTGCACCGGCCACCGGTTCACCCATTTTTCTGATATCTCTCAGTGAAAAACCTGACGCAGGAAGCGATTCTCGGAAAATTGAATTGGCTGAATATCTTCTATTTACCCAGGATTTTCATCCTTACTCTAACGATAAATATTTACTCACATACACAACAAACGCCGAAGCCAAGGGCACATGGACCGTGAGATGTTCCTTGCTGAATTCGGCATTCGTACGTGTTCATGCATGTGCCGCGCCGGCGTTTGTCATCCGTGAGACACTCCTCCTCGACTGGTACAGGGAAAAAATTTAATACTGAAACGGAAGAAATCGGGGTGAAAAAGTGAATTACTTGTCACTCGTGATTTATTGAGGAATTATTCGGCAGAATGGATTGACACGGCCTATCGGGGCGTCATAAGACATAATGAGTGGTATTAGGGCAACAGCTGTTATGTCCCTCCATTAACCCTAGTTTGGTCACCATAGGAGGGAAACGCCGCAGAAGGTCGATTTTTTTTTCTTACCATTGACTGGCTGGGCGGAAAAATCCTAAAAAATTGGAATGCTTCAATTCAAGTGTCTAGAAAATTATAATATTTTTTAAAATTATTTATATCCACAATTCCTGAAGAAAAAAAATTATTTCTAACAGACGGGACATTTTTCCCATGTTAAATGAAATTGTCCGTTGTGCGACGTTGCCGAAGTCTCGCTAAACGCGCCCGGGCAGTATAGAGTGAATTCGGCAACGCTCGGGCCTAAATAACACGGCGGCGATTCCCTGCGGAGGTGACCAAGTCGCAAGTTCTCATATGGGGACCAATTAGGGTTAACGGTTATTCAACGCTATCAAGATTCGAGTCTTCTGCAATTTTTCAGCAGTTTTCAAGAATCTTTGAATTTACCGTAAGGGTAGAGCTACTTTAAGAAGCAATGAAAATAGCAAGTTGAAATTTGGTATGATTATAGCTCTTCCAACACTGAAGGTTGGTATTTTGAAACGGCGGCTGTTGACACCCTGTGGCATGTGGTTACGGTACGCCTGTCACAAGGATATGGAATTGCTACGGATCCATTCAGAAACTTAATACCAATGGAATTGGTAGAAATAAAAAAAAGCAATCAATAAATAAGTTCGTCTTCATGAGATTATTAATTAGGAGGAAGGTCAAAGGATATCGGTGATTTCCCGTTATGTTTTAACACGAATTGTGTTAAAATAAGGTCGAATTTGTTTGTATTGTTTTTCCAATGTCTGAAGAGGCTGAAATAATCAGCCAAACGTCACACTTACGGCAGTTTAATCAACGTCGTAATTTATTCTCCAATTTTCGTTGACCTTCCACTTCATTAAACGAAAGGAAGAGGCTAATGACGCAAAAAGTAACGGCCAGATACCTTCTGTCTGATAGGCTCGAACCCCTGCTTGTTTTATTCGAAACACACGATTTGGAAAGCATTTGGAATGTACGACAAAATTTTACAGAAAAACTTGGCAAATTCGATGGAGAAATCAATTGAATTTCTTTGGAAGGCAACAGCCAACCACGAGCGTTTTACATAATTCAATCGCTGCGAGACATTACTCTCGTTCCGGATTAATCAATAATTATTCAAATATGATTAAACTAGATAACAGATCTGCATTCATACAACAATCCGCATTGGTTCACTGCGTCCAGTGACTATAATTGAAATCGTATAATACAGAATGTTGCGTTCGTTAAAAATAATTACGACGAAATATCCCGCAAATCGTGAAACATCACATGACAAAAATAAATTCTGATTAATTTCAAACACAAACGTGTTGATGACGTGAATTCGCAAAAGGGAGGAACAAAGAACAGAATATCAGCATGATTTTGTGCACCTGCACGGCGATTTATTCGTACAATTCTGTGGATTTATCCGGCATTAAAAAAATCCACGTGTCCCGAGCTTTTACGCATTCCCCATGACAATGTAATTCCCTCGTTCCGGGGAATGCTCAAACAAATACGACATTGTAGACATATCGCAACAAATGGTGGTCGATAAATTCACGGGCGAATTGAATAGATTTATTGAATTACGAGCGAAATAAATATTTTACCTCAGTTACACAATTGAAACACGCGACATACTTCACTATACACTAATTTCCAGAGACTACTGTGAGTGTATGAGTTTTAAAAGCCGCAGGCTATATTGAAGTGAGATTTTTCATACATTGAAGATCGATTGAATATGTTTAAAAGTGAGTGATTAGTACAAAATAGTATATTTCGATACGATTGCGGGAATAGTATTTTTCCGGCCTGTTGCGATGGGGTTTTTTACTCGTGTGGCGTTGGCCTCCGAGCCGTAGGCGAGGACTGGCCAACCACATAAAAAAACCCCATCGCAACAGCCCAGGAACAATATTTTCTGTAGTGATTTTAAAGTTTTCGAGCTTGAGAAGTATGTAATACCAATTCCCAGACGAGAAATCGTGAGAAGCAGTACCGAAAAATGATTTTGGGCTCATGGGAGGTTTATAGCACGAGCCGAAGGTGAGTGATATAATCCCACGAGTCTAAAATAGTATATTTCAGCACGTGTGGGGCAATTTCGTCTTTAACGTGTGTGGGGTTTACAGCATGAGCCGAAGGCGAGTGATGTAACCACACACGTTAAGGACGACATTTCCCAACAAGTACTGAACAAAATTTTATGTCACGAAGAAGCGCGAAGCGTCTCGTGTCTAATTCAGCCGGTTTCAGGCATGAGTGGCGTAAACACTTTATTGACACTGCTGCTACGTTCACCTCGTGGCGAAAAGTGCCTTTTCGTTTACTAGTAAACGAAAAAAGGCACAGTTCGCCACTCGCTGAACGTAACATGACTGCCAAAAACTATTGTTCGACACATGTGAGACAGAATTTTCACGAGTGTGAAGTTGGCGGCCCGAGGCGAAGCCGAGGGCTGCCAATCACACGAGCTGAAAATTCCTATTTACTAATAGTAATATACTATTTTGTCACTGCTGCTACGTTCAGCCCATGTCGAAAAGTGCCTTTTCGTTTACAAGTTTCGACTTTTAGAGTGTCACAAATTTTGGTCATCGAAAATTAAAAAAACCGATCGATGAATTAAATTTTAATTAGTGGTGATCAATAGGGCTCAACAACACCTACATTTGAAGAAAAAAGCTTCAATTTTATCCATTCATTAGCGGGCAATTGAAGACAAACTTTGTTACATACGTACACACACACGTACGGACAAGGTATAAAAATTGAATTTTCGGACTTTTTGGATCATACTGGGACGATATAGCACAAAAATCCAAAACTTAAATTTGAACGATTCCAAAGTTTCCATTTGAAAGCAAAAATACGGTTTCCGAAAGTTGAAACAATTTCACTGATTTATCCATAAACAACTAATGTTTAAAAAAATAATAATTCTGTGCAAAATGTTTTATTTCACAAAATGATTGTTTTCCAATCTTCCCTCACACATTTTAATTGACAAATTTGACGATCAAAAATGGTTGAATCTCCAGAGTGATCTGTACCTAACTGTAAAAGATACTTGGATATCCTCAACTACAGACGACGCTCAAAATCTCCTCGTCTCCAATACTTCACAATTAAGAAATTACACTGACTAACCCCTGGCCTCGGTGCGCTTCCCTGAATAATTCCTCTCATTTGAATTTCCCAACGCTGACAGCCAAAATCCAAGCGCTGGCCACTGTTGACTCAGTCTCACCGCACAGAGAATAAACATCAGTGACCATGGTGAACATGGGCCCATGATAGGGGCTACTTTAACAACGTATATTGTGATTTTCACTACACCTTAGTTGCCTTTAAATACGTAAACAAGTGGCTAACGTACACAACGGGGGCTGTACACCACTGCACCACTGAATTCACGCGGTGTTTACTGGTTCAAGGTCTCGGCTGGTGGATACCAAAGCCGTCAAAGTGACCAACCGGACCCCCCACCTGACCGGCAATCATTATCCCTCGCTGCGAACGCCTGGAGTCACTCTGGGGTGGGGAATGACCAGGTAATCACGGAGTCTTTTTTTGAGGCCAATGACTCCGCTTGAATCACAAGTTTCTCTAGTTGATGTAACTTTTAGTCGAAGTTTTGCAGGTCTTCGTTGATAATTTATGAATTGGGTCAATGGTTTGTGGAACAAGTGGAATGCATGGAAGAACAACTTTTTTTTTCCTGATTTTTTTTTCGCGGCAAATTATAGACAACGTGAAATCCCCATCTGCTCGATTTTTCTCCCTCAAAGCTCATCATAAGGTTCAACAAGAATGCTGAAGCCAAAGCTTTGTGACGGTGACTAGCGGGCTATCCATTAAACCACAGACTGCCGCTCGTTAAAAGTAATTATGCGTTCATGTTTCTTCCGCTTTTTTTTCTTCATCGCCAACATCTCAGCGGAATTTTCCTCCATAAACCGGGAATCCAATGAATTTCCGGTGATTAAAAATTCATCTTCATGCTTGATTCAGGGTAAAAGTGGTCAATTATTCACGTGGTTTTTGTTCATTAATTTAACATGAACTGTCTGCCCTTTTCCGAAATAAAATCCGATGCAATGGTCATTTGACCTCGATATGAATAATTTTGGTGATACCCACATCGAATTGAATCCCAATTAATGATTTAATGAATTGATTGATTGAAACATTTATTGAATCCTTAAATTTATCGTTTTTACAAGTGATTTTTTTTGGTGGAACTCGATTTTTAAACCACCTAATACTGCAGCCATAAATGTGAGGCTGTGAATTTTCAATGTTGCGTCTACTCCGTTTTCATTGAGGAGATACGTCGGTGAAATTTAAAAGTCTTCACTGGGCTTTGGGACCTATTGAACAGTTTGTGATATATAACGGAAAATTATTTTGGATTTTGCCTTGCATAACCACGAAGAACTTCATTTTTGCAGTTTTCACTTTCAAAATGCTCCTTATGTCGTAATTTTCATATGATTCTAGCTTTTTTTTGAATGTTCATTACACTGCAAAAAATAACGTTAAGCACCCGTTTTACTTTAATCGCAAATAGATCATGAATAAATGAATTTTGAATTTCATAAATTTTTCGCGGCTCTAGAGAAGCACTAAAATTCATCGGTTTTAGTAACTGAACATCGTAATCATGCGTAATCTATCTTTTATGAAAGAAAATGGCAGGTTGAAGCGAAAAAGCGGGTTCAATAAAAAAATTATGAAATTCTAAATTCATTTATTCATGATCTATTGCGAATAAAGGAAAACGGATCCTTAACTTTATTGTTCGGACTGTAACGAACATTATAAAAAAAAAAGCTAAAATCGTGTGCAAACTACGGCGCAAGGAGCATTTTGAAGGTAAAAACAGGAAAAAAAGAAGTTTTTCGTTGTTATACGGGGCAAAATCGATCGGTTCCGCGATTTTTCCTAGTTATTCTCAATTTTCGTCATATATCACAAACTGTTAAATGGGTCCCAAAGCCCAGTCAAGACTTTTTAATTTCACTGATGTGGCAATAAACAAACAAGTGGACAACGACATTTTTTAATAAATGAGTACAGTAATAGTGGCTAATAAATTAACAATTTGCAATTAAGCAATTTCCAAATGAGTTCTCTTTTTTCCAATTCTTGATGAACAGATGAACCGCCAACCGCGGAATTTTTAAATAGAATTGGTCAAAAACTCACAGCAAGTTCAATGGAAATCCTATAAAATTTTCTATCGAATTCGCTAGCTTTTTCAATGGAATTTTTTATTTAAAAATATTGCTGCGAGCTCTCCGTTTTATCGACATTTTCTCGTGAGCCATCAGAAGATAAATGAGAAGACATCCATGCCTACCGTTCACAACAAAAATATTTCGATGGGGAAGAGAAGGGAGAGCCGATTCACACTGGAGTAGGAGAGGAGAGCGATCAGAACAGAACGAAAAGGAATACTCCAAAAAGAATTCAATAATAAAGAATAAAGCAGCTAGAACAATCAACGAAAGGGATTTAATTAACAAAATAGTTTGAAGATTTTTTATATGATTTCTACGAAAATTCGAGAATAAAGGGAAAATGGAAGGAATGGCTAGTGGTTATAAGAAGAAAATGTCAGACTCGTACGAGGACGAGGAGGAGAAGAAACACTTTCAACGGATCGTCTCGGCGTTCAAATATTACAAGTGAGTGGTTTGGATTTTTTTGTTTTTAAGAATTACAGGGCTGACGTTATGTAATTGAGCCGCTCAGGTGATGCCCTAGCGGTACCAGTCAGTGTTTTTTCTACTTGTTTTTGCTGGGGGAACATAACCTGCGGGTTTTGTAAAGGTTTTATCTGCTCTTTTACTTTACATTTTTTTTCACAGGTTTATACTGGAGAAAAAAATTTATTGAAATTTATTTATTTACTTTCTACAAAACAAAAAATAAATATGCAAAATTGTAGAGAAATGCCTTCAATATTTCTCTCATTTTTGCTTTTTTAATTTACATTTTTTTCACGTGTTTTATTCTGTACAAAAAAGTTATTGAACGTTTGAAATTGTATAGATATTTTTTTTCAGATTTTCTACAAAACAAAATATTTAAATATACAATATTCTACAGAAGTGCCGTTAACATTTCTCTCATTTTACTCATAATTTTCAATAAAAAAAATATTCATACAAATTTCTCCACTTGCACCTGGGTTTTTTACGGTTTTATTTGATTTTTTAATTTAAATTTTTTCACGTGCTTTATTTTGTACAAAAAAAGTTATTGAGCGTATAAAATTGTATTGATACTTTTGTTTTTTTTCAGACTTTCAACAAAACAAAATATTTAAATATACAATATTCTACAGAAATGCCGTTAACATTTCTCTCATTTTACTCATAATTTTCTATAAAAAAATATTCATACAAATTTCTCCACTTGCACCTGGGTTTTTTACGGTTTTATTTGATTTTTTACTTTCAATTTTTTCACGTGTTTTATTTTATACAAAAAAAGTTATTGAACGTTTAAAATTGTATTGATACTTTTGTTTTTTTCAGACTTTCTACAAAACAAAAAATATAAATATGCGAAGTTCCACACAAATGCCTTCAACATTTCTCTCTATTATTCATGATTTTCTATAAGAAAACTTCATAAAAATTTCTCCACCTACTCCAAAGAAAATAATCCACCAATAATGAAATCCCCCATTTAGTTAAAAATCACTTTTATTTGATTTTCAGACCCCATTCGTTACAAAGAGTAAAGAAGACTGAGAGTTACCTTCTCTCCCTGCCCCCACATCACCAAAAATTATTAACGAAATACAGAGAACATCTGCAGGAAGTCAAGCTGTGCATTGAAAATAACGACGAGATAATAAAACTCATCATAAAAGACGTATCGCACATATTCGAGAATGTCAATCCATCGAGTGCACATACCGACAGTGTAAGACAAGTTTTCATGGTGTGTGGCATGTTTATTAAGCTATGATAACGATGTGTACCCTCGTGATTGCGTGCTCGTTGGGTGATAATGAAATTATTTTTACATTTTTGTCGAATGAATCGATCGAACCTCCCCGTCGTTTATCATTGTCATGGTTTCGATTGTATAAATGAATTATTTTATTGTGTGAAATATAGGTAGGTCTGATTGCAGACACTCAATCCACGACCGGTGTTGGCTGATCAGGAGAAGGTTCAGGCTACTATTAAACAGTTGGTGAGGGATTGGAGCAGCGAGGGGAAAGCTGAGAGGAATGCCTGCTATCAGCCCATTATCGATGAAATTATCGGACAATTTCCCACTGAGTTTTGGTATGTGGGAAGTATCATGAAATTATGAGGCATTTTACAGGTTTCTCAAGGGGAGAGTACTATGAGTTAAAGGCCGCGAGCTATTGGAATGAGATTTCTCATATATTGAAGATCGATTATATATGTCTAAAAACGAATAATAAGTAGTCTCTCAACGAGTAGAAATTTAGCAATCGAGTAGAATACGACTGCGGCTAAAACATAGCCATTGGAGGAGTCTTTCAATCCCAGTTAGAAGGAAACATCAATTATATAAATTAGCTACACGCACGAAAAAATTTAATAGAAAAACCTATCGAATTCGTTAGAAAATTCTATTGAATTTCTATTAAACTTTCTATTAGTTTTTGACTGATTCTATTGACATGTTCAATAGAAAACATTCAATAGAAAAAGTCAACAGAATTCGATTTTTCTACATAACTTATTCTTTTCACATATTTTCTATAGAATTTGCTCGACTCAAATTTTCTAAGTTTTTTTCATCTTATTTTTCTTTTCTTCTCATCAAGAAAATCAAACGAAAACACTTAGAAAATTTGAGCCGAGGAAATTCTATAGAAAATATCTCAATAGAATAAGTTATATAGAAAAATTGAATTCTATTGAGTTTTTCAACTGAATATTTTCTATTGAACATTTCAGCAGAATCGGCCAAAAACTAATAGAACAGTTCAATAGAAATTCAATAGAATTTTCTAGCAAATTCGATAGGTTTTTCTATTAAATTTTTTCGTTCGTGTATTCGACAGTAATTCGAAATTAATCCATCAACGTGTGAATTGAATAAATCAGCAATCAATACATTATCGAGAAATAATCCGGGAAACTCAACAGTAATTCAAATTTATGAATCAACTTCAGATTAATTATTTGAGACATTTAATTAACAGTCTTCAAGCAAGTGTATATACGTATAAAGTTAACGAAGTGGTTCAATCCCACAAATAAACAGTGATATTTTTATAAAGGCGTGTCCAGATACTTTTCGGCCTTTCTTGCAAAAACCTCCCACATCCACCGTAAATTCAGAACCTCTCCCAAACAGACATTTTTCGTGGGAGATTAATGCGTTTTAAAAATGATCTGATGACATTTTTCTCTGAATCTACTCGTTCTCGAGATATTTTGAGTTGACAAAAACGTATTTCTCTTTTTTACTTGAAAAAAATCAGCTAATTGTCGATTTATCAATAATTATTGAAAATTATTTTTCAAATTATTCAGGAATGCAGCTGATGTTCAGGTACTCGTACCAGGTGCAGGTCTGGGGAGATTGGCATATGAAATAGCAAAACGTGGATACACCTGTCAAGGGAATGAATTCTCCCTCTTCATGCTGTTTGCCTCCCACTTCGTCCTGAATAAGTACTGAAAATGTTCATTTTTATTTCTTTCGTATCGTTAATATCAGTTTGATATTGACGAATATATGAATTCCAGATGCAGAGGGATAAATTCATACCAGGTGCACCCCTGGGTCCACCAGTACATGAATAATCTCCTTGCTGGGCATCAAACACAGGCTGTTTCATTTCCAGATGTTAATCCCAGTGATTTACCTGAAAACGCCCAATTTTCCATGACAGCTGGGGATTTCCTAGAGGTATGTAACATACGTCATATTTTCTCTGCAATTATTTTGGCATTCATTCACATTCTCATGAATATTCCTTTTCAGCTTCTTTCTCCTTTATTATGAGCCCTTGGTCTGAATTCTTTTTTCATTCATAAATATGCTTTCTTCACTATGTATGCCTCATATAACTGCTTCATAACTTTGGCATTAGCATCAGGTTGCATTTCGCTTTATTGTATTCCAGGGTGTCTTCTTATGCTGAAGGGGTAACAGAAGCCCAAGATTTCCTCGAAATTTTCAAACAAATTTCCTGCTCAAAGTTATTAATATTTTTTGAACCCTAAGCACATTGATCTCCATTATTGCTTCCTGGAGATTAATGTGCTTGGATTTGTAAAAGTATCGATAACTTTCAGCAGGAAATTTGCTCAAAAAATTGGAAAATTAATGGCAATCTGTTACCTCTTAAGGGTAACGAAATTTAAGGATATTTAGCCAATGTCGGTAAATTGGCGGTAAATGGCACGAAAAAATTTGATAGAAAAACCTATCGAATTCGTTAAAAAATTCTATTTAATTTCTATTGAACTGTTCTATTAGTTTTTGGCTGATTCTGTTGACATGTTCAGTAGAAAACATTCAATAGAAAAAGTCAGCAGAATTGGATTTTTCTATATAACCTATTTTTTTCAGATATTTTCTATAGAATTTGCTCGACTCAAATTTTACAAGTTTTTTCATTCTATTTTTCTTCTCTTCTCATCAAGAAAATCAAACGAAAAACTTGAAAAATTTGAGCCGAGGAAATTCTATAGAAAATATCTCAATAGAATAAGTTATAAAGAAAAATTGAATTCTATTGACTTTTTCTACTGAATATTTTCTATTGAGCATTTCAATAGAATCGGCCAAAAACTAATAGAACAGTTCAATAGAAATTAAATAAAATTTTCTAACGAATTCGCTAGGTTTTTCTATTAAATTTTTTCGTCCGTGATGTTTATTTTGTACAACATAACGTACAGTTGATAAACCTCAATCAATGAATATTGTCAATATTTCAGGTATACACAGATAGCAATCGCTGGGATTGCGTTGCCACCTGTTTTTTCATCGACTGTGCCAACAATGTCGTGCAATTTATCGAAACAATTCACAAGATATTGAAACCTGGGGGCATTTGGATCAATCTGGGACCACTTCTCTACCACTTCAGTGATATGCCTATGGAAGACTCGATAGAACCCAGTTACGAAGTTGTCAGAGAAGTTATCCTAGGCTTTGGATTTCAAATTGAGGTGAATGTCACTACATGTGTTTCGTTAAAATTTTTCCTTCCAAGAAAAAACCATAATGTGTTCTTCTAAAATGAGCAAAGAATGCTGAAATTCTCCTCTTACATTTCACAACTCGATTGAATTATTCTCATTCTGCTATTTTTTTTGTCTAACAGAAAGAACAAACTCGTGTGCAAACTCGATACGCCCAGAATACAAATAGCATGCTCCAGTGTGAGTACCAAAGTGTCTACTTCGTGTGCAGAAAGTCGAAAAAAGATCCACCACACGATTACAGAAATGGCAGCGAAGTGAATGGCACACAAGAGCCAGGAAATTGAACGACAATTAGAAAAGTGTTTTTTTATTGAATAGAATTTAACAAATTATCTCATAAATTGGACGATAAATAGCACAAATTAACTGAATGACCAAAAATGAGTAGATCATTGGATCAGTGAGATCTTCTAATTTGCAGAGCTGACTATACCGTACATAGTATATCAGTAGTGCCTTTGTATCGATAATTTTTTGTCCTCGTTTTGAAGGGGAAGAATTGTTAAGTGGTGGAACGGAATGGAACATTTTTTTTAACGAGAGACGACATTGAGGGTATCACGTTTATCTCACCACTGAACTCCTTGGGCATTATCGCCTGCAGTTACGATATTAATTCATATCCGTAATATTACTGAATAGATATATTGTAATGTGAACAGCAGATTGATATTTTAGGTAGAGCTACAAATTTCTCTCGTATTTACAGTTAGTCTTGTGTATAATAACCATCAGGCGAGAAACAATACTTTCTTGTTGGCAAATGACTTTGTGTATGCAATATCTACATTTCTATGAATCATTGTACATAATTATGATCCAGCGAATCCACTTTCGGCATAATTTATTTCAACGTTGGAATTCATCAAAATAAAATGGAATTTATACGACTGATGAATGAATGCATGATTCATTTTCCTCTTGTGTGGCATTACACCTTTTACAATAGAACTACAGTTTCTCAAGGTTGTGCACTCGTTGTAAGGTAATACATAGAACCGAAATAGTTGGAGGTGCACGAGTGCACAGCTCAATGATGACAAAAATAACAAGAATAAACATATTAATGGAATATGAGTGCAAGTGAATAAATAAATGTGGCAAAGCAATGAGAAATTTTATTAAAATCTTTATTTGCACGAGGAAGACACGTCTGTCCTCACTGGGAAAACGAAAAGCAAAAATAGTGAAGTTCTATTACTCAAGAGGACACAATCCTTCTTCAAATTTCACCATGTGTTTAGGATTAAACCGCTCTCCAGTGCAGAGCACAACGAATCGTAAATTAGAAATGTTCCCTTTCTAGAAATGTTTTCCCAGTACGTCATAAATCTTCGTCAAGTAGTTTTTGTGCAATAATAAAAGAGCTGTGCTTGAATATTCCAAGACATCAATAATAAACTCAATAGGCGAAAGTAACGACACTGATGAATGAATAAAAAACTCTGCACCGAGTTTTTTTCAGTTTCATATACTTTTATTTAAATACTGTACAAACAATTGGGCTATCTGGTTCAATTCAACTTGATGCATTTTGCTGTACGTCAGGAATTGTCGCCTCAGTCTCGTCAATTGCGCTGCACTCGTGCTCCTCTCGATAGTTAAATCGTACGAAGGCAACTTTATACCGTTTGTTATTCCCATTTGATCTGCAGTAATGATTGCCTGGGAAATTAATTCAAAGAGAATTCGGTGAGAGGAAAATGAAGCTTTCAATCGGTTAATTTTTCGATTTTTTTTGGCTTCAGTGGAAGAGATCTCTGGAAAAAATCATTTGTTTACTCATAAGCGATGATTGTTACTTACGTTGACAATTTCCTGGGAAATTCTGTCCAGCTCGTAAAGATAATTCGTTGCAGAAACAGCAGGCTGGAATAGACATAAATTATTTGTTTTTGCCCTTGCTCTTCGGGTTGAATAAATCAATTTCACTTACAGATTGAGTGCTCATGTTGGGTTTCGGTGCATCGACCGAATAGAGGGAATGGTAGATGTCTTCTAGAGGTAATTTGTCGTCTGGAGTCACTGAGAAGAGAGGACTGTCCCAGCGATTTTTGTTATTTGGGGTTTCGTATCTGAAGTTGTAATATTTTAAAAATTAAAATGTCAAACATTTTTTTCAATATTGTCCTGAAGTTTAAGGCCCGGTCAATTATCTTTAGAACGTTATCTCGATTATTTTTCCATCTTCATAATCTAAAATATATAATAATTTCCATTGGATTTTACATCACGCAGGAGTCCCTAAAAATTATGATTGTACAATCAAAAAAAGTAGAAAAAAACTCGACAGTTTCAAAGAGCGTTTTTAATAAAGATTAAGAAATGAGTCCGATAGAGAGAAAATAGTGAATCGATAATTTATCATGGTGACTAGCGATCTGACAGCCATTGAATACTGTGACAAATGACGACCTAACAGCCATTAGATACATCAAATTATTACTTTGCAATTTCCTCCCTATTATTGGGTTTATTTCCTAATATTATTCAAAAACGCTCTTTGAAAATGTTTAGCTTTTTTCAACGTTTTTTATTGTACAATCATAATGTTTGGAGACTCCAGGGCTATGTAATACTGAATAGCAATTGGAGATCATTTCAGATTATGAAAATAAAAAACACAACATGTATTGAACATCCACCGTCCATCTATTGACCCTGGCGCCCAGTTATCGGGGATTTGAACGATATTCCACTTTTCCCTCATTTAATTATTCTTCTCTTCATTTTTTTCCACTTCAAATTATAGTTTTTGCTTCCGAACGGAAGCCTCGTATTTGCGCGATTTTTCGATTTTCCAATTTTGATGGCAAATGGCCATCAAAAATGAAGGAGCAGGGGAGGGTGGGGTAAAACGGACACTTTAGACTTTTTTAAAATTATCCATAACTCCGAAACAAATTGAGCAATTGAGCTCAGTTTAGGCTCGTCGCAAAGGGAAAGAATTGTTCCTTGTGTTGAAAAAAAAAATTATTAAATTTTATCAATATTTCAACCCCTCATTAACATTTTAAAAAAAGTCAAAAGTGTCCGTTTTACCCCAACCTCCCCTAGTGCTAGAAATGACATTTCTTGCGTGTACAGAGAATGCAACTTTTTTTAACTACTAAATCTATTTTTGCGACAAAAATTTTTCATTCCGGCGCACTCTCTGCATGTTTAGCACAAAAAAATTCTTTTTTGATAATTTTCAAAAAACTATTTTCTTGGCACAATAAGACTTGTTTGAGAACTTGGTCGTTTTTCTCTCAGTGTAATTCATATATTCTTTCAGGTCTAAAGCTCATTTTTTATTCGTTTAGCTACTTCATCGATCTTAAATCCTGAGTAGTCCAACTATTGGCCTGTTTACCCTACCTCAAAACAAGAGCGTCGAAGGTATCCCTGACATATCGTTCACCCTCTTCTCGTCCACAGTTCATCAACCAAGCATGTTCCACAGGAAGATCACAATGAACTGTGCACTGTGGAGTTTTGTAGAGCTTTGACAAGCAATAGAGCTCGTATCTGGAGCCCTTGATGTAGTTGCTCCCGTCGACAATCAGAACATCTCTGGAATTCAGTGTCCTCTGCACTGTAGACCTGATCTCACCCCTGATCGCCTTCTCCTTCTTCGAGTCCATGTAGAATTCATTCTTGGTAAAGCCACCTTTGATAATCAACTCAATCTCACTCACTACCTCCACTTTTTTGTTTTTATCACAGAAAAATGATTTTAATTCTTGAGTTCTCAGGGTCTTGCCACTCGAGGGGATGCCTGTGATGATGATTAAAGGCATTTTGTGGGGATTATTTGCGGAAAATGGAGGAAATTAATTAGAATTATTGTTTTTTTTGTTATAAAAATTTTCGAATTCACCTCTTAATGCTGAATTCTTTTAAATCAATGGGAAAATAGAGGAAGTAACCTCAAGAATGTGTTGATACTGTGGTAAAGCGCCATCTTTAATTGAGTATGAATACTTGAAAAATTAATTTACGCGCTTGAAGTTCACGTTTTTTAGGGGAGGGTGGGGTAAAATGGGCACTGTAGACTTTTTTAAAATTATTGATAACTCAGAAACAAATTGATCAATTGTGCTCAGTTTAGGCTCGTCACAAAGGGAAATAATTGTTCTTTGTATTGAAAAAAAAAAAATTAAATTTCATCAACATCTTTCAACCCCTCATTAACATTTGAAAAAAAGTCAAAAGTGTCCGTTTTACCCCAACCTCCCCTAGTTTTTCAGTGTAAATCATGATTTTTATTATTTTTTTGCTTCTCAATGGAAGCAATGGAATCTTTCCATTTTCACATTTTCTAATTTTGATTGGAAATGAGATATAGAATGGTCTGAAAGGTAAAAATACGAAGTTTGGCGACTATGTTTGCATGTGACCACGTCCATCGCCACTTTCCCGGTGGTCAATTTTTAGAAAATTGAGTAATTAAATGGTTAAAGTAATTTTAATAAATCTGAAATTTTGGCGGATTAATTCTCTTGGTCCTAATGAGGACTAACTCTGGGCAAAATTTCAGCCCCATCGATCTAATAGTTTTCGAGAACAAACGATTCATTTTTAAACAGTTTTTTGCAAATATCTTCAAAACTAAGGGCCAATATTGATTTTTTTTGTCGGTTTTTTTCCTTCATAAATTGTCATTGGGATTGTCATGAAAATTTAAAAAATGGATGAGCTATTCCTATTATTGCAATTTGTGAATTCCCTCCATCATCCATTCGATCTTCTCATCTTTACCAACATGATTGTTTACTGCACATAATAGTACATTAGAGTACAAGGGCACAAATTTCGTTTTCAACGGATGTGTAGTTTACAGGCCGAGCCGAAGGCGAGGTCTGTACACACATTCGTTGAAAACGAAATTTATTACCGAGTGCTCTATAATATTTTATGTCAAGTCCTGCAGAAGTCGAGTGTTGAGCAGGCGGCGCGAAGCGCAGCGTGCGATAAACTCGACTTATTGCACGGCGCGACATAAACAATTGTAATTTCTCCCGAGTAAAGAGCAACTGAATTTCGGCGGGATGAAAATAAAGCGCCATCTGTGATGGGTTTGCGAACTTTCTCCCGACCAATCGCTGTCCGTTATTTCAAATCCAAACGGTCTGGCGTCCACCGGCTGGCAACCGTCATTCGTCCACATTCGTCGTTTCAGTGCAGTTCGGTGTGTGCCTCTGCTGGTTGTTCTTTCCCAAGCCTCTGGATTTTCTATTCCAGAAAACTAATTACCCCCAAAAACTCAGTGATTACCCCCTTCCCATCCGCAGACCCTTCTCCCACTGACTCCAAAGAATAGTTCGCGAAAAGTGATTAATAATTCGGAAAAATGTAGAGTGAAAACCTGATTTTCCCAACGGATTTTCGTCGCCATGACCGGGAAATTGGCATTTTCCTCAGTTGAGCTGACAAATTGGATTAATCTAGTCCATAACAAACAATAATTAATTCCTAATCGATTAAACATTACGACTAATAAATATTCAATTAAAATAACCTCAAAGGCTTCGATTCGACCAAAAAACAGAAGGAAAAAATTTAAGTGTTTTGAGATTATTGAGGTGTTTGGAAGTGTTAAAAATGTACAATTAATTTATTCAAACTTCTGAATGAAGTAATTATTCAGTGAAATTGACCGTGCGATCCTTTATTTCGTAAATAAAAAGTATCAAAATGTCGGATAACATCAAGGTCGCAATAAAAGTTCGTCCTTTGATAAAGAGGGAGAAGAAGGACAATCTGCCTGTGCAATGGGCTATTGACAACAACAAGATCGCCCAGTTCGACGTTGAAACGAAGAAGAGAGGCGAGACTGAATACACATTTGATTACATTTTCGATCAGAACTCCACCAATGAAGATGTCTTCAAAGCGACAGTTCAGCCTGTGGTATGTTGGATTTTTTAATCAAGGAATTAGGGTAAACAGACCAATAGCTGGACGGTTAAGGTATTTATGGCGTGGTCAGGGGGGTCGAAGAAAAGTCGAGAAATTGATGATTTTTCTTTATCCATTCTTTGATTTTTTCAAAACAACTATCAAAAATCCTAAATAGTATAGGAGAATTGATGAAACACAGGAATTTTTCTAGAAAATGCATTCTAACACGGATTCTTAAGGGATTAGGAAAAAAAATTAAAAATAGAAAAAAAGTCGCCATGGTTTTCATGGAGATGGAAAAAAATAATCCAAGTGGCCTAGTAGAATTGTTTAGAAGAAATAATTGAGGTATTTATGGTGTAGTCAGGGGAGGTCGAAAAAATGTCAAGAAATTGATGTTTTTTAAAATGCATTCTTTGATTTTTTCAAAACACCCATCCAAAATCCTAAATATCCTAGGAGAATGGATAAAACACAGGAATTTTTCTAGAAAATGGATTCTAACACGGGCTCTTATGGGAATTACGAAAAAAAATTAAAAATAGAAAAAAAGTCGCCATGGTTTTCATGGAGATGGAAAAAAATAATCCAAGTGGCCTAGTAGAATTGTTTAGAAGAAATAATTGAGGTATTTATGGTGTAGTCAGGGGAGGTCGAAAAAATGTCAAGAAATTGATGTTTTTTAAAATGCATTCTTTGATTTTTTCAAAACACCCATCCAAAATCCTAAATATCCTAGGAGAATGGATGAAACACAGGAATTTTTCTAGAAAATGGATTCTAATACGGGTTCTTAAGGGAATTAGGAAAAAAAATTAAAAATAGAAAAAAACTCGCCATGGTTTTCATGGAGATGGAAAAAAATAATCCAAGTGGCCTAGTAGAATTGTTTAGAAGAAATAATTGAGGTATTTATGGTGTAGTCAGGGGAGGTCGAAAAAATGTCAAGAAATTGATGTTTTTTAAAATGCATTCTTTGATTTTTTCAAAACACCCATCCAAAATCCTAAATATCCTAGGAGAATGGATGAAACACAGGAATTTTTCTAGAAAATGGATTCTAACACGGGCTCTTATGGGAATTTGGAAAAAATAAATAAAAATAGAAAAAAAGTCGCCATGTTCATGAAATTTCGCACTTGGGTGACGTTTTCATGGAGGAACCTGGAAAAAAAAAATCCAAGTGGCCTAGTAGAATTCTTTAAAGAAGTCTTTAAAGATGACAAATGTTTCTAAAGATGATGTCTGTTTTCAATTGAAAAGCGCAATTGTGACAACATTGTCCAGTGGGGTCTAGGAGTCTCCCCTGGTTCAAAACCATCTTTAGAGGCCCTTACACGCCATTTCTCGACCCGCTCTATCATTTGAGCCAAAAAAAACATTCATATCTTGTCTGACATCTCTGCCACAAACTCTGGTCATCAACTCTGGTTTTCAGTTGAAATTGGAATTGTTAATTTACACAATAATAGGAGTGCATTGACGATTTTTTCTTAACTCGCAAAAATCTTCAAACAATTTGCTACCGATTGGTGATAAAATTTTTTGGAAATAATGAAATAGGGGGGATAACGCCTTTTTTTTCAGGGGTGATTTTTCAAAAATTTATTTTAAAAAAAGTACTAACTAGCAAATGTTTTTTATTAGCTCGCAATTTTCTTCAAAACTACTTCAATGAGGAAAAAAATAAAAATTTGGAATATCTATATATGAGGGGCAATTGATCGGATCTCTGGACGAATATAGAATTTTCATCCAGTTTATATAAACATGTGAATTTATTTTTATTGGATGTGAAGAAATACAAGGCCAAATAGATTCTTAATCTTGGGAATGTGATTCTCCTCCTGAATATATTGTGCTATTTCCCACATCTGACTCTTTCGGAAGAGAACTTCTTTTTTTTCTCCACGACACTTTGTCACTGATGCTTAGCAAATAGCAGCGCCACGCCACCCAGCACTGTACCTCCCGAATATTTTTTTTCTCGCTGTAATGTTGATATTTCGAAAAAAAACGTCATCACATGATTATACATAGATGTTATTATTGATAATGATGATAATCCGCACAGTTTTCATTCTATTATTTATAGAATATTCATTAACAGGTAAAATCGTCCAAGTATTGGTCCATCCATCCTATTTGTAAATAAAATAAAATCAAAGGAGAGAAATAAAATTAATTATTTTCAATCGTCAATCACTTCACAATTTTTTATCATTTTGAAGATATTTTTAGCTTCTTGAAATGAGACCTGACTCATGGAAATTTCATTTGGTATAATGTGGGTGATTTAAAAATGTTCACATGAACATGCGGCGTACTTTCTCCCAAGTGAAAGCTCATCGTCTTCGCTAATTGTTATTTTTATTTTAAAAATGACATAAAAAAACCTGACACTCACTTTTAATGGCAAAAATCTGTACACTATTCAAAAAAATCAAGCGACTCTAAATTCCTAAAATTCGATTTCTATTTCCTTTAATTTCTATTAATTCACGTGGATGAATCAAACGGAAATTCCCAGTTTCCATCGATTTTTCCACAAAATTTAAATTCCAAAATTCCTCGGAACTTTAGTGAAACCATGTGCTGAAAATATTCAAGAACTGCACCAGAAACACCAGGTAGACATTTTCAATCAACTTCCTAAACTTCAAAATTTCAATTTACAAGCCATCACAAATTCATTTCCCCCTGACAAAAGCCCCAAGACCCAAAGTCCCCCGAAATTCCAGGTGGAAGCAGCGATGCGAGGGTTCAATGGAACCATTTTCGCCTACGGTCAGACCTCCTCCGGCAAGACCTACACGATGATGGGCACGAAGGAAGAGCCCGGGGTGATTCCCCTGGCAGTGAATGCGATATTCGACTGCATTATGAAAGACGAGACCCGAGAATTTGTGCTGAGTGTCTCGTACATTGAACTGTACAATGAGAAGGTGAACGACCTCCTGGACACGAAGAATCAGGACCTGAAGCTGCGCGAGGACAACGGCGAGGTAAGAATGGACTGCAAGGAGGAGGTGGCGCACTCGGTCGAGGACATCCTCAGGGCGATGAAGAGAGGAGAGAAGAATCGTAGTATAGGCGAGACTAACATGAACGAAAAAAGCTCGAGGAGCCATACGATCTTCAGGATCACCATCGGAAGTGTCCTCCGAAGTGATCCCGATGGAGATGCCACCGTGGCTCAGTTGAATCTGATTGACCTGGCTGGATCTGAACGAGCCAAGGAGACTGGAGCCACTGGAGACAGATTCAAAGAGGGAAAGCACATAAACCTGTCGCTCTCAACCCTGGGGCTCGTCATCAATCAGCTGAGTGAGAGTCAGGTCAAGGGCAAGGGGCAGAAGGTGGTGGGTCACATCAGCTACAGAGACTCAAAGCTGACGAGAATTCTGCAGTCCAGTCTGGGTGGCAACTCCCTGACTACTATCATCTGTGCTGTGACACCTGCGGCTGGGGACGAGACCTCTTGCACTCTGGCATTTGCTCAGAGGGCGAAGGGCATTAAGAACAAGCCCAAGGTCAACGAGACTGGCAGTGACGAGGCACTCGTGAAGAAATTCAGAAAGCAAATTCACAAGCTCGAGGAGAATCTCAAGAATATGTCGAAGCAGTTGAGGGAGAAGGAGGAGAAACTCCAGGATATTGAGGTGCTCAAGGGGCGAATTGAACTCCTCAAGACCAAAATCCTCTCTGGGGAGGGGCCCAGGAGTGAGGGGAGGAAGTCCAAGAGTCAGTTCACCAGGCGGAGGACCTGGGGGGGCTCTGGGACCTCTCCGGCTGATTCTCCAATTAGTTTCCAATTGCCAACTATTCCGGAGAGTGATTCACACTCTGAAGACCCTGAGGAGAAAAAACAGTACATCAAGAGGAGGCAGAGTGTCTTCAGGAATGTCAAGATGGTGGCTGATGATGAGTCTTTCTCGACGAACTGGGAGGATTTCGAGCTGCAGCTCATCAAGGACGAGGAGGAGAAGATGGCTCGGTGGTCCTGTGAGAGCACTGATTTAATTCAGGATCCTCGGGAAATCGACGTTCGTCGAGTGAGGTTCATGGAGGAGCCAGAGTCAGTTCATCCTGTCAACTCTGCCAATGCTGAATGCCCAACGACACCAGAGAAGAGTAAATGTCCTGACAGTTCATCACCAGAAACTCCTAAGACACATCTTCGCCATCAGATAACAAATCTCTGCGTCGAGTACAATCAATTGCGATCCTACACGACTCTGGAGAAGCAGCTGCGCCAGGAGGAGCCGACCCCCCAGGAACCGATGCTGGAATTCATCCAGAAATCCCTTCTGGACAGTGAGCAGGTCTGCAGAGACATAAATAAGAAGTACTCAGAGTTGAAGAGTGAACACTCAATTCTGAAGAGCGAGCACCAGGAGTCCTTAGCCCAGTGTGAGACCCTTCGAAAAACCATCGAATCCCTGACATCAGCGAACGAGCAGCTGCCAACCCTAGAGTCTGAGAGGAATTTCTTCAAGGCCAAGTTCACTGAGACGACGAATAAATTGAAAATTCTGGAGGATGAGACATCCTCCCACGCGTATGCCATGGAACTCTTGATTAATAAACATAAACTCAGGGAAAAAGAGCTGGAGAAGTCCCTGGATTCCGCCTGGGAGGAGCTGAAAGCAGTAAAAGATGGACAAAGTCAATCAATTGACAATAAAAATGACAATAATGACTCCCTAAAAATTTTAATCAATGATTTGACGAATAAATTGGCTTCAGCAGACGAGAAAATCGAGGGAATTACTAACGAAAACAAGGAATTGAAGGAGAGACAAAACATGTTGATCTTAAGAGCCGAGGAAGATGTAAAAAATTACAAAGAAATTGTCGATGACTTAAATGAAAAGATCGAGAACTTGGAAATGACTGTAAAAACCAAAGACAATGAGATTTCCGATCTTCAGAAATCAATTTCTGCTTTAACTGAAACTCATGAGAAAATGTTGCTGGAGAAGTCTGGAGAACTGTCAGCAGTAACTGAGACCCTGGAAAAAGAAATTAAACATCTTCAGACTGAAAACGAAGCCCTCAAGCTGGAGTTGACCCAGAAGAGTCGAAAAGTCTCATCCCCTGGAGCTCCAGAAAATCCTCTGGAGTCTTCTCCAGCCGCAAAGACCAGAATTCCACCCCTGGAGAGCTCAAAATTACCGTCAGAACTGGAGGAAACAAAGCTCAAGCCTCAGGGGAATGTCACAACCACTGAGAAGACACTACTGGAGGACAGCATCATTTCTAACACCAGCTTTTTCAACTCTTTCGCCCTTGAGAAGTCACTCGCCCCCACCGACTCAGTATTCACCAACGAGACAATGTCCGTCACTGCAAACACCACGATATCCACTAGTCTAATTGACCCAGAGCAGAGTCTCCTTCAGGAGTCTCTGCTCCAAAGCCTGACATCCAAAAGCCCAGAGCAATTGGTATCAGTGATCAATACCCTGGACAAGGAGAACAGACGACTGATGAAAGAGTTTCAGCAGAAGGCACTGGAGAGTGAAGAGATAAAAAATTACATTTCAACCTTCAAAGCTGACGTGGAAAAGCTTCGAGAAACTGTCATAATCCTGACGAACGAGAATGCTGAACTTACGATGAAACTGGAGCACGAGAAGGATCACTCTGATGAGATAAAAAGATCCTTTGAGAAGCAGATGACAAATGTCCTGGAGGAGAAGAGAAACCTGGAGACATTGAACAAAAGTATGAACAACTCTGGAATCAATCTCATGAATTTCAGTGTCTCCCCTGGGGACGATCTCCAGGTAAAAATCGATTCGTTGATAGCTGAGAACACCCAGTTGTCCTCTGATTTCATGGAGAAATTGGAGGAACTGGAGGAAATCAAGAGAAATCTCGAAGCACAGAAGAAGAGGTGCGAGACATTTGAGAAGGAGAATGAAGATCTTTCGAACAATCTTATGGAGAAGATCGAGGAGTACGAGGGAATCATCAAGGGCCTCAAGGACGAATTGTTAGTGAAGAGTGATCACTGCAAGAAGTGCGGTCATCTGGCTGAGTTGATTCAAACACGTAGAGCTTTGAAGCAGGAAGTTAAATCAGCAGATAAAAAACTTGAGGATTTGAAGGAGGATTTTGAGAGGAAATCAGCGAGTATTGAGAAGCTGCAGGAGAAGGCGAAGGAGAACGTGAATATTTCTGGTCTTCTGGACGATACCATGTTCAATGGAAGTATTCTGGAGGCTCCAGAGGGTGTTGATACTGTGTCGTATGTAGAGGAGAAGGTGCAGAAGTTGCACAGTGAGTTGGAGGGCTTGAGGACTAATTACGATAGTTTGACGATTCTCTACAATCAGAAGTGCCAGGAGATCGAGACACTGAGTGATAAGAAGATCGATAAGGTCAGGGAGGAGGTGCAAAGACATAGGGATGATCTCCAGAAATTTAAGAAGTGCATTAATAATGTGAGTAATGCTCTAGAGAAGTTCAAGGATGAGAAGTCGTTGGTTGAGGGCGAGATGGAAGCTCTGAGGGAGGAGAATAAACGTTTGATGGAGAGGGTGAGAGAGGAGGAGAGAATTGCCCTGGAGTCAAGGGCTGCTGGAGAAGCCATGGAGACACTGCAGGGGACTGTCGATACTTTGACTAAAGATTTGAGGAATTCTAGGGATGAAAATGGTCGTCTTGTTGATGAAATTTCATCGCTGAAGTCACAGATGACTGTTCGAGATGTTTCTCCAGGACTCCAGGAACTGGAGGAGGTGAAGGAGTTTTTGAAGGGAGAGATGTCGCAGCAGTTTGAGGAATCCTCGAAGATAATTGATTTAGTTAGGGTCTTGATATCGATAAAAAATGATGAGATAATTCTCCAGGTTTCCAAAAATTTTGCAGAAGAACTGGAGACCCTCCAGGAGTCTGTGAAAGCCTTGACTGAAGATTTACAAAATTCTAAGCAACAAAATAGTCGTCTCATCGAGGAGATATCTTCATTAAAATCACAGACAAATGATCAAGATATTTCTCCCGGACTCCAGGAACTGGAGGAGGCAAAATCATACTTGATGCGAGAAATGTCCCAGGATTTCGAGGAATCTGTAAAGATGATGGATCTCATAAAACTCTTCGTCTCCACAAAAACTCATGAGGAAAAACTTCTCCAGGATTCTAAAAGCTCTGGAAAAGAACTGGAGACTCTCCAGAAATCTGTGAAAGCCTTGACTGACGATTTACAACATTCCAAGAAAGAAAATAGTCGTCTCATCGAGGAGATTCCTTCATTAAAATCACAGACGAATGATCAAGATATTTCTCCAGGACTCCAGGAACTGGAAGAGGCAAAATCCTACTTGAGGAGAGAGATGTTCCAGGATTTCGAGGAATCTGCAAAGATGATGGATCTCATAAAACTCTTCGTCTCCACAAAAACTCATGAGGAAAAACTTCTCCAGGATTCCAAAAGCTCTGGAGAAGAACTGGAGACCCTCCAGAAATCTGTGAAAGCCTTGACTGAAGATCTACAACGTTCCAAAGAAGAAAATAGTCGTCTCATCGAGGAAATTTCTTCATTAAAATCACGGACGAATGATCACGATATTTCTCCAGGACTCCAGGAACTGCAGGAGGCAAAATACTACTTAATGCGAGAGCTGTCCCAGGATGTCGACGAATCTGCAAAGATGATAGATCTTATAAAACTCTTCATCTCCACGAAAACTCATGAGGAAAAAATTCTCCAGGATTCCAACAGCTCTGGAGAACAACTGGAGAATCTCCAGAAGTCTGTGAAAGCCTTGACTGAAGATTTACAACATTCCCAGAAAGAAAATAGTCGTCTCATCGAGGAAATTTCTTCATTAAAATCGCAGACAAATGATCACGATATTTCTCCAGGACTCCAGGAACTGGAGGAGGCAAAATCCTACTTGATGCGAGAGCTGTCCCAGGATGTCGAGGAATCTGCAAAGATGATGGATCTCATAAAACTCTTCATCTCCAGGAAAACTCATGAGGAAAAAATTCTTCAGGATTCCAAAAGCTCTGGAGAAGAACTGGAGAATCTCCAGAAGTCTGTGAAAGCCTTGACTGCAGATCTACAAAATTTCAAAGAAGAAAATAATCGTCTCATGGAGGAGATTTCTTCAGTAAAATCACAGACAAATGATCAAGATATTTCTCCAGGAATCCAGGAACTGGAGGAGGCAAAATCCTACTTGAAAAAAGAGATATGCTCCCTCCAGTCGTCCCAAAAGTTCGACGAATCCCCGCTGATAGCCGATCTGATAAAACTCTTCATCTCTACAATAATGGCAAAAGAGAGTGAAATTATCCAGAAAATCCAGTCCTCCCACAAGAGGGAGAAACTCAAGCTGGAGGAGGAGAAGAAACAGCTGGTGGACGCGGAAAAAAGGTCGATATTGTGGGCGAAGGAGCTGGAGAGTGACGTAGAGAGACTTCAGCAAGATTTTTCAACCCAAGAGTCGAAGAAATCGTCCCTGGAGGAGGAAATATCACGTCTCAAGAACCTCTTGAAGGAGCTGCAGCACGAGAAGAACCTGCTGGACGAGAAGGTGAGGGTCATGGAGACGGATTACGTGACCCTCCAGTCGGATCTGGAGAAGTACTCCAAACGGTCATTCTCGGAGGAGTCTAAGTCGTTGAGTTTGGAAGAACATGACAAGATTCTCCATGAGCTACTGATGAACAAGGATATCGAACACTCGTCGAAGGTTCATCAGCTGGAGCAGGGGCACAGGATGAAGGTCGAGGAGTTGGAGAACTCTCTGGAGTGTCTCAAAACGAAGAACATGGAGTTGAGGAGGAATATAGAGGGGCTGGAGGCCAACAAGGAGAATTACCAAGCCATCATCGATCTCAAGGCCATTGAACTGGAGAAATCAGTGGGCACCATTGATCGACTGGAGAAAGAGTTGGAGGAGGCGACAGCAGCCTGTGATAACCTCAGGGGAATAAACGATGAACATCTGGCTAAGGTCGAGGAGGTCACGCAACTCCTGAAGGTCAAGTGTGATAAACTCTCGGAGATGAAGAATCAGATTCAGGGAATGACTCCAGAGTACGAGAGACTTAAGGACGAGTCACTGGAGAATCAGTCGAGACTGGAGAAGTACAAGACTGAAATTGAGTTCTTGAGGGGGGAGAACATAAAACAGAGGGCCATGTTGGGGGAGGTGCAGGATGCCTTGAAGACTCAGGAGATTAAATCTGTGGGTCTTGAGAAACAACTTGCTGAGAGCAGGAATCTTAATGAGGTGGTCCAGGGGAAGTTGAGGGATATGGGGGAGAGGATCGAGGGACTGAGAACGGAGAATGAGACACTTGTCAGGAAGATCAGGAACAGTACGAGCAAACTCACTGCTGAGAGGGATCTCGAGGATCTCAGGGATGAAAATGCTGGGTTGAAGAAGAGTCTCGAAGGTGCCAGCAACAGAATTCTTGAGCTTCAGACCCAAAAATCCCAACTCCTCTCCGAGATAACGGACCTGAAATCTGTTCTTGATACCCAAAAATCCCAACTGCAAGTCCTTCAATCTGAGAACAAAAAATTGGGGAAAGAGAACAAGGAGTTGGACGACGAGATGGAACTCATGCTGCAGAGAATCCGAGAGCTGGAGGATGACAATGTCAAGATGGAGAGAAAATACTGGGACCTCAAGGAGGAAACAGCCTCCCAGGCCCCACCCCAAGGCCCAGAGTACAATATTCTGAAAGAAAAATATGATAAATTGTCGAAGGACTTTGAGTGTCAGTCGATGACGTGCGATTTATTAACGAAAGAGAATGCTGAATTGAAGGTTAAAGTGAATTCTGAAGGGCTGAGTCACTCCAGGAGCAACAGCTCGTCGAGGTCAGCTAGTCCCACTCCGGGTGTATCAATGAGGAGAAAGAGACGAAGTGATCTTTTCAATCAGAATCGACCGCAGGAACTCGCCCAGGAGTTCGTCGTGACTGAGGAGAGAGAGTGCAATTGTGAGAGCTTCAGGAAGACTATTCTTAATCTGGAGCACGAGCTGGTCCTCAAGAAGGGGAAGATAACAGCTCTCGAGATGAAGATCGAGGGACTGTGCATCCCCTACAAGAAGAGGTGCCAGGATTATCAGGAGACGCTGGGCCTAGCTAAGCAGAATATTCAGCAGTTGCAGAAGGAGGTCAACAGACTCAGGGAGGAGCAGGGCAAAGCCAGCAACTGCGAGAAGTGCAAGTTCTGGAGGAACAACAGGAGGGATGCGGAGACGCAGTGCATTCCAGAGGTCATGACCGGGTTCATGGCACCCAAGTCTGGAATTATCCAGGTAATTTTTCATTTTTACTTCCGAAGGGAAGTTTTGTAATCGTTCAAATTCAAGCTTTGGATTTTTTGTCATATCGGCCCAGTATGATCCTAAAAGTCAGGAAATGCAATTTTTAGACCTCGTTCGTACGTGTGTATGTAACAAAGTTTTTCTTTAATTGTTCGCTAATGAATGGATGGAATTGAATCTTTTTTTTCAAATGTAGGTATTGATGGGCCTTATCAATCGCCATTAATTAAAATTTAATTCATCGATTAGTTTTTTTAATTTTCAATTTTTTTCCAAAATCGGTTGTCCTACGATAACTTCAAAAAATGTTCTGAATTGATTGAATGATACCCCAACAGAACAGCTGTCCCATTGAACAGTTTGTGATAAATGACGGAATATGGGAATAACCACAGAGCCGATCAATTTTGCCCCGTATAAACATGAAAAACTTCATTTTTTCCTGTTTTTACCGTCAAAATGCTCCTTGCACCGTCGTTTCCATACGATTTTAGCTTTTTTTATTTTATGTTCGTTACACTCCAAACAATAAAATTAAGCATCCGTTTTACGTTATTCGGAATAGATCATGAATAAATGAATTTTGAATTTCATAAATTTTCTTTTGAACTTACCTTTTGGCTTCAACCTGCCGTTTTTTTGCTCATAAAAATAAAATTACGCATGATTGCAATGTTCAATTAATAAAAACAATCAATTTTTAGTCCTACTCTAGAGACGCGAAAAATTTATGAAATTCAAAATTCATTTATTCATGATCTATTGCAAATAAAGTAAAACGGATGCTTAACTTTATTCTCTGAAGTGTGACCAATATTTTAAAAAAAGCTAAAATCGTATGAAAATTACGGTGCAAGGAGAATTTTGACCTTAAAAACAGCAAAAACTCAAGTTTTTCGTGGTTATATGGGGCGAAATCGATCGGGTTCGCGGTGTTGCCTAGTTATTCCCATATTTCGTCATATATCACAAATATATATATCCTCTCAACATTTTATCGAAGAGCTGAGGGGAGAACTAGAACCACAAAAAAAACCACTGGTTGTATAGAAGGAAGGGATAATAAGAATAATGATGATGATAACGTTCAACTAAGTTGAAAATCTGACAAAATTAGTTGAAAAGAAATCATATTCAAATTAATAAGATGAAATAAACAATGAATTTATGCATTGAAGTTCGTTTTTGTCATTTAAAAACAATTTTTAAATATTAATGTCAATTTTGGAATTTTATTTGACAGGACCAGGTGATGATTAATAAGAAAATTGAGAAATTAGAAAAGGAGAAAGGAATTCTGAAGGGCCTGTGCATTTCTCGTCGTTCAGAGATCCACGTGTTGGAGAAAAAAGTGAAGGAGCTGGAGCTTCAGTTGCAGTCCTGTGAGACTAGGTCTGGTGATTCCCTTCAGTAAGTACAATTCAATTTCTTCCCTCATTTTTTAAATAGAAAAATAACTGTTATTCCAAATTTAACGTTTCACTTCGAAAAATGTTTGAGTTTCTCCATCTTTCGATTGATAATCGATTAATTTATTGTATTCACCACAAAGATCTAATGGCAATATCAGTGAAGAATCGAAAGAGAACGTGCCTTCAAACATCATGGACATCATGGGACAGTCTAAGTCTTCTTCATCCCGTTCGTACAGACTAAACCAGTGATTGATAAATTACGTTTTGCAAGAGTATTTAATAAGTCAATTGGATGAGTTATATATTAATTTAATCAAGTGACCTTAGTATTATGTTATGTGTATTTGTGGAGTATGTCAGTGTTCACTATGCAGAAAGTATTTTTATTGAGAATCACGAAGGATGAAATATAATTTCTATTATCTTTTGCAATGAAAATCATGTGATTTATTCCCCTTCCCCTAAATGTCGACAATTATGGACTGGAATTTTCATTAACTAAATGAAATAAAATACATTCACTCATAAAAGCTACTGAAATTGAGAGAAAATTGCGAAAAGTTAAGGTTTTTCGGGATGATTTTCTCAAGCAAATGTGAAGTTAAAGTTGCTAATTATTCAAAGCTCATTACTTAAACAATTCTAAAGCATCTCTAATATTATGAAATAATAATCAATTTCTTTCAAATTATAATTCAATAACAAATGTGAAATTAATGTTGATAATTTCTCAATATTCATTGCTTGAAAAATTCTAAAGCATTTCTAATGTTATAAAATTGTAATTAATTTTTTTCACATTATAATTCAATAATGTTATAATCAATGGGTTCATTGCTTGATCCTAGTTGGCGTACACTAATTTACGATAAATGATTTTAAACTGTCGTTAATAGTTCCTTAATTTCATGCAAATGAATAATTATGTCAAAATGTTTAACTCAAGGTAAATCAAACTCTCACATTTACAAAAATCGATAAAGCATTTTTATTACTCAGTTGACGTAATCACGGTAATATTGTCAGATAATACATCCGTCAAAATTTTTTTCAACAATCAATAATTCAGGGGAGTCGGACATACATCACATTGTTCCCTAAATTTTTTAAAACTTTACACAATTTTTTAGTATAAAAATTCGGATAAATAAGATACAAAAAACACGTGAGGATTTCAGTCATAAAACCGAAAAAACTGAATTATTTTAGTTCGTTTAAGTAAATTATTTCGTAACAAAATAGTCAATTTATTCGAATTATCATTTTTTGTTCTAAGGAAGGCCACTTCACGGACGAACTATAATCATTTGCGTTTAGGGAACATTCGAAATTATTTTGTTCAATATTTCCCCTCAAACGTCACGCTCTCATCCTAATACTCATTCTTGCTTCTATCTACGAAAAATTAATGAAAAGAGTGTTTTGAAAAATTACGAACATAACTTGATCAATTTTTCAGGACAGAATGAAACATAATTATTCTCTATTGTACTTTCTTGTGTTTGAAAAGACTTTCATTTAAAAAAATCATTTTTAAACATGATCCGCACGTTTGGGATTCAGTGGCGCAGAGGCTTGATTCTGGGCTTTCTGTTGGGCTCGTTTTTGGGCACGGCGTTTTTTCGCTTTGGCATCAGCTCCTGCTGCCACGAAATTCGTGTGGAAGTATTCCTCAATCTCGGACAGTTTCTTCCCGTGAGTTTCTGGGAGTAGAAGCCATACGAAGACTGCAGCGCCGACAGAAACGCCTGCGAAGAACCACTGAATTGCATAGGATCCTGAAAAATTACATGATAATAATCCAATAAAATTTTTGGTTTCCAATTTTCAAGTTCTGTCATTGATTCTATTCATTCTATCGAAAGACAAGGATGGAAATCGAATTTATGGGTATTCTTCCATTATTTGAAACCACTAGCCAATTTATAAACCTCCTTATCTAGCTGGAAAAAAAAACATTGCAATGTCAACATACCTCCTAGAAAATCAGAGAGGCTTCTGAAGCTCTGGACAGCAGCAAACATTAGTATATTAGCCATTGCATAACTGATTGACTGGGCAATCCCTCGGATTTCCGTTGGAAACAGTTCAGCAGTCATTGTCCACGGAATAGTTAGCATTCCAATCATGGAAGTGCACACGTAAAGCAGGAGACAGATAACAGGTGCTATTGCACGTGGATCCTCCTCTCGGTTATCTCTCTTGATGACAAACGTAAAGTACCCGGAGATGCCCATGCAGAGGGCCATCCCAAGGGCCGAGATGATGCACAGAACTCGTCTTTTGTATCGCCTCAGTAACCAGGTGTTCACCATAGAGCAGAAGAATCTGGTGAGACCGACGAAGGTTGAACATGTATAGGGATCAATTTTTGCTCCGGCTTCCTAAAATAAATAACATCACGCGATGATTCGTGATAAATCGTGAGGGTCAAACGAAGAGTTTTTGCTTCCAAATGGAAACTTTGTAATCGCTCAAATTTAAGTTTTGGATTTATTGTGTTATATCGACCCAGTAGGATGTGTACGAATGTAACAAAGTGTTTCTTCAATTGTCCGCTGATGAATGGATGGAACTGAATGTTTTTTTCAAATACAGGTATTGTTGAGCCCTATCAATCGCCATTCATTGAAATTCAATTCATCGAATAGTTTTTTTAATTCTCGAATTTTTTCGAAAATCGGCTGTCCCACCATAACTAAAAAAATGGTCTGAATTGATTGAATGATGGATTGAAAAATTTGTTTGGATGTCTTTTTGACGGAGTCCGAAGATGAAGGCGATAGCAATAATCGTGATTTTTATTTATTTGAAAATTTGCAAAAATTTTGTATTTTTTTTAAATCAAAATTCCGGGGATATCTTTGAATATCATGCTTCAAATGAATTCAATCATAGCTTGACATGTTTATTTTAATGCCATTAAGTCGAAGTTAAAAGATGATTACGATAGCTATATTGGTTGATTTGATTTTCATGATGATTGTCAAAAATTTCGAATTTTTCATGAATTTCCCTGAAAGTGAGCTGTCTGACGGTTTTTTCAAATGTGATGTTTCAAATTCATTCCAGTATGTACAAATAAAAATTTTTTTCGGAACTCTAAAAGAGACAATTGATTCTATAGAAAGGAATAACAAAAATAATGATGATAATAACATTCAACGAAGTTGAAAATCTGCCAAAATGAATTGAAAAGAAATCTTATTCAATTTAATGAAGTAGTAAACAATGACCTACATGATAGAAGGAAATGATGTGCAAAGTAAACATTTATAAGCATATTGCTAAATCATTAGCAAAAAAACCACTATACGTAATATGAGAGGACTTTTTCACTTGTTTTAATTCAGACAACTCATAATTTTCCTCATCAATTGACTGAACTCACCACAAACCACGTGACAGCGTAAAACAGAGTGATATAAATCCCCGAGAATTGCTGGAATAAAAACAGTAGAAAGAGAATGAGCAGTGGTTTCCAGCCAGTTGGTTTGAAGAAAGCCCTGACTTTGGTGCTGGCACCACCGTGTTTGCTCCTCCTCTGTTCACTCAATTTAATCTCATTCTCCTTCGTTATGGTGGTGTAATGCTGCTCAGCTGCAGGGATCTTCCCATATTGAACGTCAGACTTGTACAGCCTGTAAACATGAGGGTCGATAACGAGAGTGCATCGATGAAAATTAATGCTCCCACATGACATTTACTTGGACAATTACCAGTGAATAATGAATTGAATGATGAATGAGATACCAACCATTCTAATACTTTTTTGGCCTCATCATTGCGTCCCTTGGCAACAAGCCACACAGGCGATTCGGGAACGAACAATTGGATGGCAAATACTGGTACAACGGCGTAAATGATGCTCAACCAGGCAACAAGACGCCAATCCAGGAATGTACCCTTGAGATAGACAAGCACCATTCCCAGTGATGCCAGGGTGGGTCCGAATGACATCAGGGAGCCTCGTAACTCAGGCCTAGCCACTTCTGTTATGTACACTATTGCAGGTGAAGTGGCTAGGGCTGTTGACATTCCCGAGAGAATTCTTCCCACTAGGATCATGGGAATGTTTGTTGCTGTGGCTATAAGGATCCAACCGATGACACTGGGTATCGTTCCAATTTGCAATGTTCGAAGACGACCCACTGTTTCCATTAGGAAACCACCCAGGAGGGAGCCTATCGGTGCCGCGATTACAACAACACTTGCTGCAAAGAGGATTCAGAGGATTCATTCTTCATTATTTTTGCTTTGCAATGGAACTTGGCAATCGCTCAAATTTCAGTTTCCAATTTTTTCTGTTTGTTTCAATGAAATTACTTGAATTTTTTCATGAATATAGACTGGAGGAAGCTCTACTCATTGAAATCAATTAAAATTTAATTTTACATACAGATTGGAAAAATTGATGTTTTTCCAAAAATCGATTTTTCAACTATCACTCAATAAATTTTCATCAAAATGTAGTTAGTCATGGCTCAAAAAATTGATAATAATACCCTTTTGATTCTATCAGAATATGATGGGGTCGCACAATTCGTTGTTGAGTTATAGCACATTGTTTATGTGATTTGAAAGAGAAAATCGGTGTTTTTCTTCAGTACTGAAGGAATTATCGACAATAGTAATTAAATCAGGGCTTGAAAAGTATATTTTAATGCCTTCTTAATCAAGTTGAAAATTGGTGAGAACAGTATCATTGCTTATCCAGTTACACAATACCGTCATGAGTTTCTCATATAAAAATCTTAATATCTATTAAACTCAGGTACCAGTCTATTATGTTGAATACTTATTAATAACTATAAGAATTATTTGAGAGAATAGAATTAGAATTAGAAGTAGAATTATTTGAGAGAACGAAATAATACGCAAAATTTTGATGGCATTTCAATTAATGATAAATATCACGACATGAAAAATAGAAAAGCAGGGATAGCCATATCCGTCAATTATAATTACCGTTAAATTATTAAATAGTCAATGGCCCGGTTGCACCCAGCCCTGTTATCCAAATAAACCACAGGCTAAAATGTATCCTCGGGATGAATTATATCGTAGGGGTCATAATTATTCAATATTTGACCCGAAGAATAATTTTTTATTTATCCTGTAGCCAAATTTGAATTAACGCTGATTTAACCTTGGAATTAAATATTATTTTTTGTCCCTGGGATAAATTTAGGATAAATCCCGGGTAAAATAATCCATCGAACATCCAAATTGACTTTTTTTCTTATCCGACGTTTTCGTTACCCGGAGGTGGTGCAACCGGGCCTATATCCTTTATTTTCTTCCACGCATAAATCGCAAAAAGAAATTACCTATCCAGGAAGTTTCAGCCTTAGTAGCCCACAGTTGGGTGCTGTTAGCCTCGACGAGAGTGTCATTATTAATTTCTATTTTGGGAATTAATATGGCTGAGTATGCCATACTGAGGCCCACAGCGATGTGAAACGATGCGGTGAGGACACAGGCTGTGATCTGTGGAGAATAATGTATCGATACTGATGTCAGAGCAATTTGGGGGGGAATGCAATTTCGTGAGGAGCATTTCGGCGGCATTATTTACCTCGGGAATTGCATTTTTGAGACGTGTAGGCTCGACAAAGCCTTTGTTCAGACTTCTGCTGGAGACAATTGCATCCTTGAAGCATTCTCTCTCGTTTTCCTCTATGTTCTTTGACGCTTCGCGTTCAACACTGAAATTCGGAGGAAGATTCGATACGTAACGCACGAAAAAATTTAATAGAAAAACCTATCGAATTCGCTAGAAAATTCTATTGAATTTCTATTAAACTTTCTATTAGTTTTTGGCTGATTCTATTGACGTGTTCAATAGAAAAAATTTAATAGAAAAAGTCAGAATTCGATTTTTCTATATAACTTATTCTTTTCATATATTTTCTATAGAATTTGCTTGACTCAAGTTTTCTGAGTTCTTCTCATTCTATTTCTCTTTTCTTCTCATCAAGAAAATCAAACGAAAAAACTTGGAAAATTTGAGCCGAGGAGATTCTATAGAAAATATCTCAATAGAATAAGTTATATACAAAAATTGCATTCTATACTTTTTCTACTGAATATTTTCTATTGAAGATTTCAACAGAATCGGCCAAAAACTAGTAGAACAGTTCAATAGAAATTCAATAGAGTTTCTAACGAATTCGATAGGTTTTTCTATTAGATTTTTTCGTCCGTGGTGTCATGAAGAAATTGTCATAATTTTTTGTCCCCCATGAGAATTGCTCGGAGGGATTGCCGTCGCTCTCTGCAATAAATTATCGACGAGTGCGGGTAAGGGACTATAAAATGTGTAAAAATCCATGTATCTCGATCCCAGCAATCCCAATAGTTGCCGTCATCTCGTCCGTTTAACGCCAAAGGCGCGTTTTATGGGAAATATTCTCGTTAAATATTGAGTTCGACTGCAAAAGGATTTATGAACAATCTTTTGTCGGTCTATGACTGCATTCTTCGACGCGAGTGATTCTACCCACGACAGCAGTTTATTTCATAACACTGCGACGTGCAATTCTCAAGCTATGGTGCTCCTCAAGTCCTCAATATAATGAAAATAAAAAGCGATGAAAAATGAGATATCGCAATATTTATCGGGGTCTGGAGGAGTTGTGTGTTGTAAATTTATATGAGAGTAATTAGACGAGATGTGTTTTTTATTTATTGAGCAATAAAAAATATGACGAATCAAAAATCCCAATAATCTTCTTCTCCTTTCTTTTGAATAATGAGGAAATTTTTTTTTATTCATATTCTTTCTCGGGGGCACAATAATTGGCTTGGGTTATCGCTTTGAAAGGCTTGGATAGGCACACGGAATGTCTGCATGTGGATACATAATGTCGGATGTTATAGTATTTGACGATATTGAAGCGTTCGGAATTTAAATCTCAACTCAATTGTTACGGTGAATGAATTTGTTTGAGTTGAGAGAAATTCTGTTACTTATTTATAAGAGAGAAATGCTCAAAAGGAGAATTTTGAAGAAATTTCCAACGCAACTAGGGGAAACAGGCCAATAGCTGGACGGTTAAGCAAATATTGAACTTCACTGAAGGATTTAAAATCAGTGAAGTAGCTAAATGAATAAAAAATGAGTTTTAGACCTGAAAGAATATATGGATTAAAAAAACAATAATTAAAACAATACGTGGAAAAAATGAAGAGAAGAATAATTAAATGAGAGAAAAGTGAAATATCGTCCAAATCCCAGAGGAGGAAAAAGGAAGATGTGATGCTGAATTGTAATTTGTAATCGAATAATTGATTGGCAAAATCTTCACCTATCAAAACTTCTCAATAATTTTCCATTCTGCTGAATGAAAAATTACTAGTGTCATTAGTACTCCCAAGAATAAAAAAAAGTTGACAAAAAGTTTAATAATACATATTTTTTTGCTTGAATTTCATCAAACAGTCGTTTTTTGACTGTTTCATTTAGCCCCACTGTTTCATTTTGCCCCACTCTCCCCTATTTATGTAAATTTTTTTCAAACATATACATATTATTTATTTATAAGCTAAGATAACCCTTAGATATTTCTAATTCTAGCATATGCTTGGCAAAATAGATTGCGTATAAAAAATGATTCACCTATTTTTTAATCGAGGATTCCCTAAAAGCTGAAATCCTCCAGCTATTGGCCTGTTCACCCTACTCCTCGATAAAATAATCATCGAAAGTGGCATAAATATCATGAATTCATCCCTCAACGGAGAATTCCCAGCATCAGCAAATATTCTCACGTTACGTGGGAGATTAAACAGCTCCGACTGATGATTAATACGTGACGACTGGTTAATTATTCGTGAACGTGACGATCAAGGCAACAGCTGACAATAAAAGTGCAGCACAGGCACTCGATAAATGTTTTAAATTGACGCGTGTACATAACAGTGTCGGGTTTATTTAGTCGCACGAGTCCAAAATCCACTCGAATACTTGTGGCAATTATGTGGTCGTGATTTTTTTATTGAAAATCGGAGAAGATGTTGTGTTAGTTTTTACAATTACTGGAGGTAGACGGATTTTCAAGCGATCGATTTTTTTTTCATCCATCAACTCTGATTTTTTAATTAATTCTCAACCATTCATTTAACGATCGATCATTAAAAAATTTGAATACAAATTATTACGGAGTCGAGCTGAGTGCTTCAGTAGAAAATATAAATTGTAGTGACCGATAATTATCTCAAGTCACGGTATTCCTGAAACTCTTACAAAACATGGAGTTTATCACATGCAGTCTAGCAGCGGTCAGTCTACCACGTGACACCCTAGGCAAGCCTTTGCGTCAATATTGTCGTTGATGGAACGAACCACGCGAAAACATATACCAGTCAATTCGACGAACGAACGTTTAATCAACACCGTCTATTTTTTTACAGAGAATTGATAGAGTGGACATTCAGAGGATCGAATTGAGGGTGATTTTTTCACGAGTTGGACTTCAAGGCTATGATTTACTATTGAGGAATTTCGAGTCGTAAAGTGTGAATTATTACATCTGAATTATTGTTTACACTTTTACGAGACTTGTTAATTAGGGGGGATTTGCAATTTTTCAAGATTACGAGACTCTTCATAAATAATTCTTAAACAAAGGGGTTTTCCAACGTTTAAACAATTTTTAATTGAAGAAAAAACATTTTTTGGAGAAACTTTTTGAATCAAAATTCAATTAAGAGTGAATTTGTAACAGATTCCATTCTTGATTCAAGCGGCAAAAACGCGGAGGAAAAAATGAACTCGAAGAAATGCTGACGATCTTCGGATTGTCACATGATGAAATAGAAATCATCATCCCTTGACCTTGGCGAATCGTCTCATTGGCTCAATCAGTGGTTCGGTATCTCGATTAATTTTCCTCCCAATCATTTCAGTTGGCTATCGATTTCCGCGATAACGATCGCACAAGCACGCGCTCGGCCTCGAACTTCACATTACGTGGATAGTTCCAAAGTGATATATCGATTAACCCTGGAACAGTTACACATCGGGCAATCCACTTTGTCGCGAGTGTTTTTTTTTCTCTCGTGGCTTTTTTATTCAGACTTTTGTCCCGTGACGGGCGGTGTCAAGCTGTCTGCAACGGACTATTTTTGTAGTTGAGTTCACAGAGATGTTTGCCGAGTTGCATAATTTCTTTGGAACTTTAAAAAAAAAATTTTCTCGAGATGATGACAGCTTCTTTTTTAATCTGAGATTTGTCTGGGTGATGAGGGATTTTGGAGGAAAAATTCAGAAGACATTTTTTGTTGGAAATTTTCTGGTAACCTCGTCATTCTCAAGATATTTAGGGCTTTACAAAAATTATCTTCAAACCCAATAATTTTAGGAAAAAAAACAAGACATTCTTCGTGGAAATACATTGATAGCGGGCTTCCGAATGATATCTTGATATCTCGATTTTTGCACAAGCTGGAGTGTTTACAAAGTTTTTTTTTTATGAAAAAACGGAAAGACGGGATTATCTTGAAAACTTTGTATGAACGGGTATGTATGTTTTGATTGATTTAGATAGAAGGCGTCGAAACGAAGATTTTGAAAACAAAATCGAAATTGGTCCACAGGTATTGAAGATATTTGCGGAAAACTATTAAAAAATGAATCGCTTTTCCTCCAGAATTGTTGGATCGATCAGGCTGAAATTCCACCCAGAGCTAGTTATACCTATAATGTTGGAAAATTTCAGATTTTTTGGAATTACTTTAGCCACTTAATTACTCAATTTTCTAACAATTGACCACCGGGAAGGTGGCGGTGGACGTGGTCACATACAGAAATGGTCGCCCAACTTCGTATTTTTACGTTTCAGATCATTCTACATCATTTCCAATCAAAATTAGAGAGCGTGAAGTTCAAAGGATCGCAATGCTTTTGTTCGGAAGCAAAATAACATCAGTAGTGGTAAACGGAGATAAATCGACTCATCTCCCAGTTGAGTTTTCGAGGAATATTTCCGAATCTAAGGGAGATAGCGAAATTTTCGTAATTACGTTTGTTATAGCACTCAATCGGCTCCACAAAAACGGTTATAGCAAAAATTTTGCTATCTCCCTTAGATTCCGAGATATTTATTGAAAACTGGTCAATAGCTAAAATTGACTTATCTCTATTTACCACTTCGCTACTGATATATTCGGGAGATACAGTGCTGGGTGGCGTGGCGCCGCAATTCGTTAAGCATCAGTGACAAAGTGGCGTGTAGAAAAAAAAGAAGTTCTCTTCCGAAAGAGTCCGATGTAGGGTAAGCTACCCAGTAGATGGACGAGCTACTTTTGGATAGGAAATTACGCAAAAAAATACTGAAATGTGAATTGTTACTTTGAATTTTCATTAACTGTGACTCTCAATCCCTGAGTGGCGATTTTTTTTTCGATCAATTTTTTTTTAATTGCTAAAAAACAAACGTCCATCTACTGGGCAGTTTACCCTAGGAAACAGCACAATATTTTCAGGAGAGAATCGCATCCCGAAGATTGAAAATCTACTTAGCCTTGTATTTCTTCACATTCAATAAAATAAAATTCACATGTTTGTATAAACTGGAAAAAAATTCTATATTCCTCGAGACGTTATTGGGGATTTGGACGATATTCCAATTTTCACTCATTTAATTATTCTTCTCTTCATTTTTTCCACTTCAAATTATCATTTTTCCATTCATATATTCTTTCAGGTCGAGCACTCATTTTTTTGTCAGTTAGCTACTTCATCGATTTTTAATATTTTAATAAAGTTCAATATTTTCTTAACCGGTCAGCGACTAGCCTGTTTACCCTACACCCTCTAAATTCCAAGGTCCCACAACTATAAAACCTTGATTTAAATCTCGATTGGAAAGGCTTTACGAGGAAATCCTCGTACCTGGGACTTTATACCTGCTATAAGTACAAACGAATAATCCGAAGAATAAAATTAAGAGACTCACCTCAGGGAATAAGGGTCCATTATAAACTATCCTTCACAGCCAAGTAAATACTGATTCTTCTGCGTGTTTGAACTTCACTCGAAATTCACAAAATAATTTCAATTTGGGTCTGTTAATCTTCCGTTATCTACTATTATTTCTTTGTTAATTCTCCTAGACACTTTCACGTCAACTCATCGCCATTGGCACGTCAAATTCCACCATTTTTATTCACCTGCAAAAGGAAAATCATCATTGCCAACAATTGATTCATAACAATTTTCCATCAAATTCTCCCGTCAAAAAAGATATCATTTTTCCTTCATTTTTTTTTCTCGAATTAAATTACGAATTACTTTTCCTTTCGTGCGACTTGCACTCCTTCGCACAATTTTATTAACCGCTATCAATCGCAATACCACAATGAGTCGATCGACGATGAAAATTCATGATAACATACGCGAAGAAAAAAAATCTGTAATCCTATCCCGATCGCTTGATATCATTATCTCGAAAATACCATGAATGAAAATAATGAACTCCCCTTACGGGATATACAATCATGTACTTATTGATTCGACTGACGGTTGTGTTTTGAAAACAATTCAAAATCACCTCTCACACAGTAAAAAATAATTCCATGCCTCGACAATCCGTCATTATTTAACGTTACCGTTTAAACGAAAAAAATTGTTTTGAACTGAAGAAAAAGAGAAAAAAAATCCTCCGTTACAATTGTTATGAAATTAGATGTCGAACATTTTTTTCTTGAAAATTCTTTTTACTCAATATATATTTTTCTAATTTAACAATAGAATCATAACAAATAACAATAAAAATAAATAATAAATTCATAATAAATTAAATAAATAATAGCTATAAAGTAACAAAAAAATACGTCATTTTGTAGTATTATTTTTTCTATCTCAATTATTTGTCGATTAAAGATTGAATTTCTTCGATTAAATTTTTTCCACAAAAAAAGTAAGAACGATGCATTTTTCTTTTAAAAAAAGAGAACTGTAACACCTCAAAAACCCACAGCCATTCCATTTTTGACATTTCTTTCCCCAGATTTTTTTCCTAACAATTAAAGAATTAAAAAACAGAAAAGAATAAAAAATAGCGAAATTTTCTCTGACAATTTACCTGACTTGACTCGGATAAATCGATGATGCAACTGTCAGAGACAGCTGCCCTGTACCAAAACTGCTGAAGTCGGTCGTTGACGACAGACTGGTCGAGCGTGCCTCATACCCCAGTAAATGTACCCGCAATGAGAACGGTGTGCGCGATCGTAGCGTCAGCAGGAGGAAACTAAACTATTGGTGAAAATGTATAGTCACTCGTATTACCAAACTGGTCTATTAATAATGACAGACGGCGTAATTTGCAAGATTTCGTGAAATCTCGATTCACGTGTGATGCAATTATGTCCAGATCTTCCAATTTTTCTCTGCTTATTCATTCATTTTTTTCGGATCATGGCATAAATCTAATGCCCATTCACCAATCTAATAAAGGAAAGATTTTTCGGTTCAACATTTTTCAATAATTCTTAAGGCCACAGTTACTCTAGCTATTTTTCCTCCAGTGAAATGCTTGTCTAATTTTATAGTCGAACATCAGAGCTTTCATTTGAGCACCATTTGACCCCAAGTTTCCGGATATTTTACAATGATTTTATTATTTAAACTTTGCAGGTCTGAATCTGAGTTTTGATATTGAATCGTTAGAAAATATTTTTGAAATCAGTATACCTCATTCCACAGTCATTTAGATCAGTAACAGAGATCAACGAGAAAATAGTATAACGGAATCGAATTCAATCGAACAACAATATTTTTAAAATCTGAACAAAAAATTACAAGTTATACTTTTGGAGAAAGATTAAGAGATAATGAAATAAGCGGGAAGTTGCTATTGTATTGCATATAGAATGGTTATTTTGCATATAATTTCCTTCTATTATATCTAATTAATTGTTCATTTTATTTTATTAGATTGAATAAGATTTATTTTCAAATTTTGGCAGATTTTCAACTTAGTTGAATGTTATCATCATCACTATTCTTATTATCCCATTCTCCTATACAATCGATTGTCTTGTTTACGGTTCGACCTCACCCCTCAGCCCTTCGATGAAATGTTGATAGAAAAATTTTACTTTACATACTTGAATGCATTTGAAACATCACATTTGAAGAATCCATCAGAAAGCTCACTTTCAGGGAAATTCATGAAAAATTCTAAATTTTCAATAATCATCACAAAATTCAAATAAACCAATATAGCTGTCGTAATCACCTTTCAACTCCAACTTAATAGCATCAAAACAAACATTTTAAGCCATGATTGAATTCATTTGATGCATAATGTTCAAAAATATTCCCGGAATTCTGATTTCCAAAAAATACAAATTTTTTGTAAATTTTCAAATAAATCAAAATAACGATTATTGCTATAATCAAAAGGACATCCGTTCAAAAGGACATCCAAATAAATTCTTTAAGCCATCATTCAATCAATTCAGAACATTTTTTTTAGTTATCGTGGGACAACCGATATTCGAAAAAATGGAAAGTTAAAAAAACTAGTCGATTACTTAAATTTTAATGAATCGCGATTGATAGGGCTCAATAATCCATCCATTCATTAGCGAACAATTGAAGAAAAACTTTGTTACATACATGTCCGGGCGAGTTCTATACTATAGTATTTTTGATTGGTCCAGTTGTATACCCTCTCGGGTTTTTACATATTATTCCCTTCCCATTGCCCCCTAGAGTATAACCATGAGTACAAAAAATATATGAAAATACAAACATATTACATATTAAGGACGTAAGTCCCAGTCAAACAAAATTTTTATATAATATATTATATAATCTTTCATCTCTTGGTATCCAGCTAAGACAAGACTTTCAAAAAACTGACTAATCATTAAGTTTACTGTTTTTTAAACAGAAAAAGAGGATAAAACATATTCTCTCACTCTCAACTATTTACATCGAGATCATTGCACTTGGGTGAGAGCACGCATGAGCTAGTTAACATAATACTGAAAACTAAAGTGAATAAAAAGAAAATCGATTAGAGAGATAATGAGTAATTGGCGTCCCAGCCTCGAGCCGTTTCTCGACGGGCGAGTTCTAAAATAGCTATTTTCATCACGCTGTGACGAAAAGTGAACTTTTTGGCACGCTCCGCATGCCTAAAAGTCCAATTTCCGCCACATCGTGATGAAAAATATTGTTCGTAACTCGTGAAAAAATGTTTTTTAGCTCGTTACGAAATATACTATTTCGTCACAAGGCAGAAAAGAGTATATTTCGTAACGAGTGCAAAAAACATTTTTTCACGAGTTACGAACAATATTTTTCATCACGATGTGGCGGAAATTGGACTTTTAGGCATGCGGAGCGTGCCGAAAAGTTCACTTTTCGTCACAGCGTGATGAAAAAACTTTTTTGACAAGTGTAAGGGTTGCAGACCGAGGCGAAGCCGAGGAATGCAATCACACGAGTCAGAAAAGTTGTTTTCGGCCGAGTGACGAACATAATTTTTCTTCTCAATGTCCGTAAACAGCATTTGACGGCCACGAAGTGTCCGTAAAACGACGTTTTACGCACAGTGTGATGAAAATTGCATATTTCTGACTTTTTGGATGATACTGGGTGAACGATAATTGCATCTAGTATTTAAACTATTTTTATTTCATCCCAGTAATTTCCTTCTCCAAAAATTAAACAAAACCGAGGTGCATCGTTAATAATTTAATTGCAGACTGATCGAATAGAATAAGCCGATTGATTCGTCTGCAATTAGTTCTCAATTACGGACAATGCTCAGTCCTCAGGGGTTCTCTCCCCTCAACATCTTGCGATCAATTCAGTCGACATTGATCATTCACTTGGAATTCAGCGACGGTTAAATCGCAGGATACCGTCATTTCAAATCTCTGCTTTGCACAACAATTTTGGGTTGCCACGTTTTTTTTATTCCTCCATCAGAAGTCGTTTCTCCCCGGGAATCAAACACGCACGCAGGAGGTAAAGAAAAAAATTAATGAGACTCCATAGCAACAGAGTGTACTATCCTGGGGAGTGCATTACGAACGAAAAAAAAAAATTTTCTTTCAGTCACAAAAAAAGAGTAGAAAGTGAAATATTTTTTTTTTGTGCAATCTAGGCATAATTTATTTTTTTGTAAGTAATCCCCTCAAAGCTACTGCGGTTTACGCATCTAATAGGAAAAACATTGATCCTTTGCAAGAGCGCGAGCTCCTTCGTGATAAGATAAGCCCAATTTTTAAGAAATCACCGACTTGAATCGATCCTGAGACACATGCGTAGTTATCGCTCTCGATTACGAAACAGTTCACCATTATATTCATAATTGCATGTTCTCGTGTGATGCCTAGAGCGGAAAATCGATAAAATTTTAATTGGAAACCATAATACAATTTATCCATTCCCTGCATGATGGAATCGTTACAGTGTTGCGAACAAAGACGACTGTAATTTATGATCAGCGTATCATGATTCTTTCTCTGTGATTCAGAAAAATAGAGGAAGCGATCGCTATGCGATGACCACAGGGGATATTCAAGATATTAAGGTCAAGTGTCAGTCGATGATAAATTTCCGAAAATCATTGCCTCTTCTTTTCTCGGTATCATGAAACCATCGTGGCATCATTGTTCTCATCATTTCAGAGATAATTTTCCAAAAAAAAAACAGTTTGTTGATTGGTAAAAATGATTGAGACTAGGAGTAGAATAGAAAAGTCCACAAGTGGGCAACTCATTTTCCATGAAGGAATATTTAGAATGATTCACTGTGGTGGTATCTCTGAGACCTCCATTGGGAACATTATCACACTGGTTTTATCGATCGGAAGGAAGCCGGCCGGCTTGGAAGAACGTCGACGCCAGGCACCGACGTAAGCGTATGCCATTCACCCTGCCATCAATAAACACGAACATCCCCGGCTCCCCTGAATTGACCCTTGTTTTTCCGCGTTATGTGTCGCGATTGTTGACTGATGCATTTTGCAAATTAGAAATTTGTTTGGGTCCACAATTTTTTTTTGCCTCAACAAATGGGTGCGGTTGTTATTGAGTGGATGCGGGTGAATAGATACAGCTGACAAAAAATATTCTACACGGAGAGAAATATTCAATAAAAATTACGTATCTTTTCCGTAATTCCGAAGCGCATTGCGGTTGTAGGAAATTTTACAACTTTTTAGGGCTGGCGATTTTCCGAGTCTTGTTGGTATCATCAACATTTCATTCTCAGTTTTAAAAAATCATAAATTCATCATTCGTTGTTTAGTGCGGAAAGTAATTTTTCTGTCATTTTCATTCTCACATTCTCTGCCTCAACGAAATACAGAAGAGTAAAATCTTCAATCTATTCGTTCCATGTAAAAATTTGCCAAAATTATCATCGACATTTGATTACGAAAAATTATTCAACTAATGGCTAACTCGTTAGATCGAGCGAGCAATCATAACGGTTCGGCTTCATCACGCTAGCTGTGTAAGCAATCTCTTTATTGTTTACGTCAGGTTCAATTAGTCGATTAACCCGGGCAGATGTGGTATAACGTTTCACCTAAAGACGAGATGTTTGTGAATCGTGTGGACTCATAAAACTACTTAATCATTTAATCAAAAGTCGGGTCCTTTCCGCTTCAAAGTTCGTTTCAATTTCATTCAATTATCATTATTTATAAATTACGGAAAATTTTTTTATTGAAGGGGAATTTATTATTTATCATCCATCCATTTAACGATGAAGAATGGTAACTTAATGGTACCATCTGTCATGCGAAAATTGCCGAGGAAATATAACATTTCGTTTTACCAACATCTGATATGGAAGATTCCTCTCTCATCGGCTTTAAAGTAAAAAAAACATTTTGGACTCTCTAAATACCGTTGAGGGCGCTGTTTTTCGTCAATATGGTCGTTCTAAGTAGAGATGCAAATGCGTCACATGACCCGTCATATGACGGTCATGTGACCGTCATTGATGGTCACATCATGAGGTGTTCATGACGGCTGTCCCAATTCCCCCTCCCCCTTCTATGACCGTCACAACGTGTCAAGGAAAAATGACGGTCATTTTTCATCTACATAGATGAAACTTTTTTTTTCTCGGTCAATTTTCAATTGAATTCCTTTTGTATTAGCCTAATCCGCATTTTGAAATGGAAATCACGTTTTTTTCCATCCATATAGATGAAACTATTTTGTTTTATTCATGACCGTCACAAATTGGAAATTAGTTATGACCGTCATTATGCAACTATACAGATGGTTTGACAACAATTTGGTTACAAATGATTTGTGACAATCATTTGTAGTTGGAAAATTTGTGCGTCACATGACCGTCATTTTTGATCATATGACGCGATCTAAAAATGACGGTCATTTTGCATCTCTAGTTCTAAGGCGCTCATATACGCGCCTACACAAACCCAAAATTTGGTTGTGTTGTGTGTGTGAGTGGCCGTGCGCCTTAGATCCTAGGTGGCGTTTTCTTATTCAGCGAGCCCAATTACCTACTGTACATATCCCTAAATACGCAGTGGCATTGTAATTGGCGTGTGCTCTCCGAAAAAACGGCAACAACGATAATCAAAGAATTTCTGAAACAGAAGAACTTCATTTTTCGTGACATCAGTCGCATACGTTATCCCAATTATTCGTGGTGGTCGATGCGTTCACAAAGTTTGTTATTGCAAAGGCAGGGAAGAGCACTAAAACACTTTATGTTGAGCGGTTTTTGTGCGTCATCGCTGATACGGACGGTTTCCCAAAACGTATTATAAGCGACCCCAAGCAGCACAGTTCTGGAGGGTATCTGCAAGTATACCAAAAAGGCTTCCTAATATCTGTCCAAAAAGGTAACTTGTGTCTAGAAATTACCTAGAAGTTAACTAAAAGTTATCGTATGACTACAGGATACCTTTTGGACGGACATTAGTCAGCCTTTTTGGTATACTTTCAGATATCTTTCGCAAGGTTTGCTACTTGGGACGGTGAAGCGCATTCACTAGCCATAAGTTTTAGAAATTTTTGCGACGAAAAAGGCATAAAGCACGTTTTGACAGCAGTACCCAAGTAGAAATCTGCAGAAAGTTATCTTTAAGATGAAAACTTCCTATACTAAAGTCTGTCCAAGAGATATCCTATTTGAAAAGTTTTCTGTTTGCTATCTTTAAGACGTCTCGGCGGGAGCGATTTCTTTTGGACAGACATTAGTATTGGGACCGCTATTTACCGATGGTGGCGTGGTGATCGCCCTCATAACATGGACGACCGATGGTTTACTCGTTCAAACTTGTTCAAACCCTCACATTGTAGCTGACAATAGTAGTTCCTCTTCGACTCATTCATGTCTGTATTGTTTTTAATTGTTGTACTCGAAGGTCCGATGGTGTCATTGTTTAGAAAAACTTGAGGATTTGCAAAGTAATTGATTGAAGTACCAACGATAAACCATCGGATGGCCATTTTTTTAGTACATGCGATACCCACCAGAAATCGCAGCGATTTATAGCGTCCCCAATATGAATTTTCTGTCTTAGACGTAACGTTCTGCAGATTTCTACTTGGGTAGCCACTCGACGGGTAAATGGGCAAGTTGAACGCTACCAATAGAACCACTCTAAATACACTCACCGCGAGCCTCGACGAAAGTCGGGCTCTGATGGGTCGGAGCTACGAAAAAATAAAGTGATGGGAATCCCACTGTCTGCAAGCATCTAAGCATCAGCCATTCCGTCAACTCTTGGCCTCGGCGTCTGTGAATCTCTGAACAATTTTAGATAATCGACTATTTTTTACGCACATTTGACTCAAAAGCCGTATTTTTATACCAAGAATGGTAAGTACATCTTTTGTACATAATTATTTCGTTAATTGATGAATGCGAACGTCGTTAAAGGACCTTTCCTGTGCAGAATTTCGTAGACAATATGAAATCCCTTTTGATATTCTCTCCTCAAGTTGATTGTTTCGGAGAATAATCCAAAGTTATGGAACCCTTTTGCTTCCGAATGAAAGCCCTGTATTTGACCGATGTTTCGATTTTTTTATTTTGATTGGAAATGGTGTAAAATGTTATGAAACGCGAAGAAATGATGTTTTTACGGTCATGTCTGTGTGTATGTATGTGACAACTAAGATTTTTGGCGATTAATTGTTAGAAAATTCAACATACATACGGTGAAATTTGTCGATAAAAATCTGAAATTTTGGTCCATTTTAGCTATGATTGAGCTCACCTTTGGCGCGCTGTTTCAGCCCGATCGGTCCAGTAGTTACGGAGATATAACAACTTGTTTAAATTTAGTTTTTCCTCAATATCTCAAAAACTACTTCACCGATTCCAATTTTTCGTTTTTCAAAATACTCGTCTCGATGTCCTCTATCTAGATCAATCAATCAATCAATCAATCAAATATATATACCCTTTGATACAAAGTTTGGAAATATTGCTGTTTTTCCGTTTTTTCATGAAAAATCTTGGTCAATATGAAGGACAGGGACCACAAAATTGAAAATTTAAATTTCTCTGAAAAAAATTCCAAATTCTTCCAAATTGTGTCTGAACCTGATTACTAGAATTGAACCTCTCTGAGACATAATGAAGGAGCATAAAGTAACGGAAATTATTTTCAGACAGAAACAACGATACAACGGGCGCGCCCAACGGCCAGGGACTTCCTCCAGAAGTTCATCGAGATAATCAGAGAGATGACTGATGTCGACCTCCGAAATTACGAATTCACCGATGTATTTAGAGACACCCTGACGAATATGGCGAGCATGAAAATGCCGATCGAGTTTTGTAATGCGATCGTCAACGTCTCCATCAGACTCGTGAGTCTCGGCGGCGAAACCGCTGACGTTACCAAATTCGTTGATGCTGTGATGGAGACTCTCTCGGTTTTCTGGGGATGGTTTGTTAAGAAATTCTCCTCCCGATTATTTCTATGGCTGATGGTAATCTGGCCCTCATCTTTCATGAAAATTATTGTTAACGTTCTTTGGTGCTTGGTGGACCAGTATGGGCCGAGATTGTGGAACGAGTACATTCAGCCCAGACTTCGAGGCTATGTCGAGTTTGCAACTAAAAAAATCCGAGCAATTGATAGCACTCCTACGTAAATAGGCGCGCTGCGGAAAATGGGATTGCACTAACAAATTATTGATTTCCGTAAAAAATTCTATCGAACTTCTATTGAAAATTCGATTGGTTTTTGATCGATTCTATTGAAGAATTAGGGTGAACAGGCCAATAGCTAGACTCGGCCCAATATCTGGCCGATTTCACCTTTTATTGAGTAATCCATAAATAATAGAATGAAAACTGCACGGATTATTATAATTATCAATAATATCACTTATGTATAATCATGTGATGAAGTTTTTTTCAAAATATCAACAATTCAGCAGAAAAAAAATATATTCAGGAGGTACAGTGTTGGGTGGGGTGGCGCTGCAATTTGCTAACCATCACCATCAGTGAAAAAGTATCGTGGAGAAAAAAAAGTTCTTCTCTTTTCATTGAAAAAATTAAACAAAAAATCCTAGAAAATTTGAGGAAAATTTGAAGAAAAATTCAATAGAATTTGTTAGTGAAGTCAATACATCTTTCTATAAAAACTTTTGTATACGTTTTCAAGATCTTCTGTTTTTCAACAATTATTTATTCCATTTTCATCAATGACAATTTTTTTACAATTTTTTATTCAGTCATCCATCAGTTGAGAGAAATTTATTGAATAGAAAAACTTATTTCCAGATTTGTTTGTAATGTAAAACTGCTTCATTAGACTGTAATGGAAAATTTGAATGGTCAATTGTTATTCGATTGGAATAAAATTTTTAGAATGTTGAAAAAGTATTTTTTTTATTTCTTTCTAAAATTCATTCCCATATTGGAAATAACGTCTGCTCTTCCACCTGCCCTAACCTCTATGCGATGTTTACAGTCTCTAACCTAAAAAAGTCAATATTAGTGCCGAAAATTCATCGCAAAGAAATATTTTCTGTAAAAACAATAAAAATGAAATAAAAATTGATTTTCACAATTCAGTTCCAATCGTCATTGTTCACCTGACAAAACAAAATAATAAATAATTTATTAATATTTCAATAGTTTAAAGTAGTGTACAAAGTGTAGAAAAAAAATTGATAAAAATTAGTGAAAATGCTGAAGAGATTTTCGAAAATTGCTCAGCCCTCAAGAAATTTATTCGATAATTTTTTTCGACGATCGAAGGTGAGTTTTCATCTCATAATTTCAGCAATATTTCTACGATTTTTTCTTCATTTAGAAGTTGCCACAAAAAGAGAGGCGAATAGTCAACAATAAATTCGGACAGTACGAAGTTGTTGTGCCCTGGCATGTGAGCCCTTTCAAAGACGTTCCATCGTCAATCCCTAAGCCTTGCTACTACAGATCATATTCACAAGAAATTCCCCCTCCCATAATTGAAATAAAAAATGATGATCAGATCGAGTCCATGAGGCAGAGCTGCATGCTGGCAAAAAAGGTTTTAAATCATACGAAAAACATAATCAAGGTGAGGAATTACCAATTAAGAAATTGTTCTTATCTGTTCATGTTCTGTGTTTAACATGATTGGAAATTTAATATTTGTTGACATTAAGAAAAAATTACGAGAGAGTAGGTAATTTTAAATAGCCCATTCTGATAAAAATGAATCGAAAAAAATTCGGCACGTTACTTTTTGGCGCTGATTTGTTTTGGCGCATATGAAAAAATTTCTTGAAGGGGAAACGGAACCCCTGTGTCTATATGAACTTTTAGAATTGTGTTTTCTCCTGCAATTATTATTATTTATTTATGAAACTTCTTCATTGACTCAACAATGCAATGATCGAGTCAATAAAGTAGTTTCATAGATAGAAATTAATAATTGTAGGAGAAAATTCAGTAGCGAAGTGGTAAAACGGTATAAGTCAATTTTGACTATTGACTAGTTTTCAATCAATATGTCGGAATCTAAGGGAGATGGCAAAATTTTTGTTATGACCTTTTTTGTAGAGCCGATTGAGAGCTACAACAAATGTAATCATGAAAATTTCGCTATCTCCCTTAGGTTCGGAAATATTGCTCAAAAACTCAACTGAGAGATGAGTCGACTTAAACCGTTTTACCACTTCGCTACTGAATTCTAAAAGTTCATATAGACAAATGTGAGTTTGTGATATACGACGGAATATGGGAATAACTAAGAAAAATCGCGGAGCCGATCGATTTTGCCCCTTGTACCCACGAAAAACTTGATTTTCTCCTGTTTTTACCTTCAAAATGCTCCTTGCGCCGTAGTTTTCATACGATTTTAGCTTTTTTTAAAGTTCGTTATACTCCAAATAATAAAGTTAAGCATCCGTTTTACTTTATTTGCAATAGATCATGAATAAATGAATTTTGAATTTCATAAATTTTCGTTTGACCCGCCTTTTCGTTTCAACCTCCCGTTTTTTTGTTCATAAAAATTAGATTACGCATGATTGCAATGATCAGTTGCTAAAAACTGAATTTTTAGTCCTACTCTAGAGACGCGAAAAATTTATGAAATTCAAAATTCATTTATTCATTATTCAAATTCTTCTGGGCCATGTTTTAATCAGCAGCAATAATCAACACAAAAAAATGTTTAACCTAGTTTAATTGCACGACGTTTCGAATGCACAAAGCATTCCTCTTCAGGTGCATTTATTATTCTAAATTAAAACAAAATTACGAAGTCATCGGATGAAGTCCGATGACTTCATTCGATTAACATGACAAAACGGCATGGCTGTTTGTTTACATCGTCACATAACAGCTAGAAATGAACTCTCAAAGAACATGTTCGTAAAATTAATCAGGTATTTCCCTCAAGGTTCCCTGCATACAAACGATGCAAGTTTTTCAGGAAAAATCACGCGTGATTTTTTAACCTGAAAAACTTGACTCCTTCGTTTGTTTGCGAAGAACCTATCGGGAAATCCCTGATAATTTTGAAGCTCTTGTGGTATTACATACGAGAAAAAAATGATTCAATATTTTGTTGAAACTTTCAACCAATTGCGTCCATGAGAAAATACATGAGTGTATAAATATTCGTGTATAGAAAGTGTAGTATATAACAAATATGGAAAACAGAAAAAATCGATCATTTAAAATAATAATTCTTTTCAGTAAGATCTGAAAATGTTTTTTTCGAAAGCTATTCAAGCTTTGTTATTGATTGCATTTGGCGCCAAAAAGTCCTGTTCCGAAAAAAAAATTTATTTGAACTTGAAAAATGACTTAATCCGGATTTATTCATCATTTTGTTTAGCCTGGAATTACGACAGACTTCCTGGACGAACAACTTCACGAATTCATAATTAATAATGGAGCTTATCCAAGCCCTCTGCATTACCAAGGATTTCCAAAATCAATTTGCACGAGTGTTAATAATGTCGCGTGTCACGGAATCCCGGACAATCGTCCGTTGGTCGAGGGAGACAGTCTCAACGTCGATGTCTCAGTGAATACGATGTCCATGAGTATTCGAAGGGGTAGAACGGATCGATTACCCATGAATAAAATCCAGTGCTAAAGCTCAAAAAAATATTTTGAAAATTATAGAAAAATGGGGGAATCCCACTGTACGTCCGTTTTACTCCGCCCTTTCCCAGGAAAATAATGATGAAAAGTTGATTTTTTTCTAGGTCTACTTGAATGGTTTTCATGGCGACTGTGCAACAATGTTCACGATTGGTAAAGTGGACGATCAAATGAAGAAATTGATAAATGTCACACAAAAATGCCTGCATGCTGCTATCGATATTTGCAGGCCTAATGAACAGTTTTGTAACATAGGTGAATGCTTGTTTGAAATACTACGCTGAGAGAAAAACGACAGAGTTCACAAACAAGTCGAACTTGTGCCAAGAATAGAATAGTTTTTTGAAAATTATCAAAAAAGGATTTTTTTGTGCCAAACATGCAGAGAGTGCGTCAGAATGAAAAATTTTTGTCGCAAAAATAGATTTAGTAGTTCAAAGAAAATTGCATTCCCTGTACACATAAGAAATGTTATTTCTAGCACTGCTCCTTCGTTATTCGATACTCTTATACGTATTTTGCTCCCGAAAAATCTTTGTTTTATGCGAAACGAGGAATAGTAGTTTTTCGCTTCGACTGTCTAATAATCACAGACAAGAAATGAACCCTTAAATGAAACAATAATAATGATATGATAGTAATCTTGTAACTTGGTGATAAAATATTTGTTGATAAATTTTCCTCTATATGAGATATTTTCATCCTGAAAAGGCACCGTCTGGTGTGAATTACCCGCCTCTTGAGCCAAATATTTCGTTGCTGTCGAAAGCAGAGCAATTATTCATGTTTGAGACTTTCAAATTTAACCTAAACAAATTCTTTTTTGGCAATTTTCAACTAGCGATTTTGTTGGCCCAAACAAGACTTGTTTGACAACGTGTTTGTTTTTCTCTCAGTGTACGAGGAGAATAATTAGATATTTACATTAAAAAATAACTGAACGTCTGATGTTTTCAGGGCATGTTGTTGAAGAAATAGCGAATGCTAATGGATTTTCTGTTATTCCTTACTTCGCTGGACATGGGATTGGCACTTATTTTCATGGGCTACCTGACATTTTTCATTTTGGTAATTGATTTTTTCAATTATTTGTTCAGGAAGTAATGGATTGAAAATAATGAATTTCCCACAAAAAATCTCCACCGTTTTTTTCATACTTCTGGCGAATTTATTAATTGTGCCTATTATTTCAAGCTAATGATGGAGATGGAGAGATGCAGCCAGGAATGACATTCACAATAGAGCCAGTGTTGACCCAAGGAGATATTAAAATTAAAGTGCTTCAGGATGGATGGACTGCAGTGACTGCTGACGAAGCCAGAACAGCACAGATTGAACACACTGTCTTAATTACTGAGAATGGCTGCGATATTCTTACTTAGTAGAAAATAAAAACAGTTCTCTTCCAATGGGCAATTTTTATTTACGAATTTTTATTCATCAATTAAAAAAGATTATTCATGAAGATTTGAATTATTCGAATTATTGAAGAATATAATTGAATAATGTATTCAACAATTTACATTCCAGCAATGGCCCAGTGTCCTTTGACGTCGATTGGTCCCTTTATTTCGATGCCTTTCTCCTTCGTGATGACTCCCAGTTGATACTGAACGAATCAACAAATCAATAGTTAATTTAGCAATTAGTTCAAGCATTAAAAAATGGAAAAAATGTTATTTTGGCAAGTTTTTACGGGTGACAACTCACTTTGGGAAATGATCTGCCATCCCTCAGGTAGAGGACCTCCATGCACTGGTGGAGGAGCTGAGTGGCCTCTTCCTCACTCATTTCTGGATTTGCCTCGTGTCCTTTGCGAAGTAATGGAGTCGCCATGTAGGCACCGTAACCAGTGGCAATTACTGGGTCGACGTAGGCTGTTCCAAGTTTATCCACTGTTCCCATGAATCTGAATGAGAAATCAATGAATTAATTGATTATGTTTAGTTTATTTTTCGCTTTAGAGTGCATTCCATCAGCTGTGCATGCGTTTCTTCCCCATCTGAACGTCTCCTCTGAAGTTAGTATTCCTTTTTGCCTCCGAATGAGAGCGTTGTAATCGTTCAATTTAAGTTTTGAATTTCCCGTGTTATAGCGACCCATTATGATTCAAAAAGTCCGCAAAATGCTATTTTTAGACAGTATGTATGTATGTGCGTACATATGTAAACAAATTTTTCTTTGATTGTTCGCTAATGAATCGATGGAATTGAATCTTTTGTTTTCCTCAAATGTAGGTATTGTTGAGCCCCATCAATCGCCATTAATTAAAACTTAATCAGTAGCGAAGCGGTAAAACGGTTCAAGTTGACTTAGCTCTCATCTGAGTTTTTGAGGAATATCTTTAAAACTAAGGAAGATAAGGAAATTTTTGTTTGACCTTGTTTGAAATGCAGTAAATAAGTCATTATCTAAAGTTACCGGTCTCAACGGAAAATCTCGACCGACTCGGGACCCTTCCGGTTCACGGGCAAATCACGAAGCAAATCGCCAAATATGAAATTTCAGTAGTGTCAATCTACTCCTCAAAGAGCATACATCGGTTAGTCAGGGAGTCTATACAGTACAGTGTCAGAGTAACCGAGCATCGAGTACATCACCGAGTATTATATCGAGTCTAGCGCTCTGTGAAGCGTTTCTATTTCATTCAATTATCCATTAATTCCGAGTTAACTGTCAATTGTTTTGGGTCAATCATCAAATTTAATTTCGAGAGAATATCTAGTGCGGTGTAAAGACTATTATCAAATTGACATTGAGACATTCACCAATTCGTGCATCCCTAAAGTCAAGACGTGTGACTTGCGCACCTTTCTCATTTTTTGAGAAATATTTAATTGAGTGAATCGATTGGTTCTTACGGTTTTCCATTATCGAATCCAGCAATTATGAAATTATTCCACAAGGGATCGAACTTCGATCTCTGGTTGTAGAGAACTCGTGTCAACCAGCAGTGGAGGGATTTCGGTTTCAACGTGAAGCCATCATCAAGGCAATGCTCTTCGAGACTGAAAGACCACATTTTAATGATAAAAAATTAATTAATTGGTTTGAGCCATAGTCAAATTATGAAACTTCAGGATGAGAAAAATATCAATGATTAGGGGAGAGGGGCAAAATGCATCAGCGGGGAAAAATGAAATATGGGGCAAAATGACACAGTCCAAAAAAACTTCTCTTTGATGCAATTCGAACATTCGGTAAAAACATGCAGCGAATTACTTTCTACATGAGTTATAGAACGAAAAGGACATACAGACATACAGACTCGGTTGAAAATCTTAGGTTAACATTTTTTAAAATTAATTTAGGTGCGATTCCGTTCTGGAGTCTGCATTGTGCGATGATTTTAAATATATTCAGGGCAAGTTCAAATTTCTTAGTTGCCATTTTCAAAAGGAACAATACCGTGTAATCAAACATTTGTGTTTCACATCAGCAATCGTAACCAAATGATCATGAAAAATTGAAATCGTCGTTTCTTGTACGAAGAATATGAAATCAAAATATTCGCCCCTCTGCGCGCAAGTAGTGGGTAATACGTAATTCTCGGAATTTTATTCCCCTGCAGTTCCGGTGGTGTCTTGCACGAAGATTGGACTGTACAGAAAATTCATTGATGCTGACTCACATTTTCTGATCAATCATGTTCTTGAGATACTGATAATCAGCATAATCTCCACCAGCTCCCATAATAATATTGTCATTGACTTTCATGATACGTTCGACATTTCTGTATCTAGCTAGTGATCCATAAGACGCTAGAATGTCAGCAGCAATCATGACACCATCCTTGAATTGCATTCCAACGACTGACGTGCCAGTCGTCACTGGAGACCTTAAAAAATTATCAATCGGTTTTCTTAACTATTTTTCAGAGTGGGAGGGACATTAAATCAATGAAGACATTAAAGAAAATAAAAATCCCAGCTTTATAAAATGTTAGAATATAAAATTAACAGAGTGAAAAAAAATAAAAACACTCACAAGTAAATGAACAATGTTTTAATATTATTCTTTTCGTGTGAGAAATTCGAATTCCAATGAAACTTCAATAATTTTGAGGTTAAGTTCGCTTCGCTGAATTTTCATTCACGAGAAAACGATTCAAAAAAATTTCAATTAGTAGAAATGTGCTGATTGAACTTCTTCGAAGGGAAAATCGGTATTAAGGATTGAGTACAGATTTTTGAAAACGGTTTTAAGAAATTTGCTGAGAGTTGAAGTGACTGGGATGATATGCACTTTCGAGAATTGATAGGAATTTCGTCGATATTTATCGAGGATTTTGTTGACTTACTGTGAAACCTGGATGGGGCTGGCATTGTGGTTGACAACTCTCCCTGGGAAATTGTAAATAGCCCCTGGTGCTGGACCATTTTGCCAAAAAGGGGCCGGAGAAAATATGTCCATGTTGCTGAATGACGCCATTACTGTATTTTGTAAAGGTTCGGTTTGAAATGTCATCCCTCTCGTTGAGACATTACTAGGCCCGTCGGTAATGCAGATGCACTCCCTACACTACCGATATAGCGGAGAATGGGGTAAAATGGACACTTTTGACTTTTTTTAAATGTTAATGACAGGTTGAATTGTTGGTGAAATGTTTTTTTTATTTTTCAATAAAAAGAACAATTCTTCCCCTTTGTGTTGAGCCTAAACTGGTTTCAATTGATAAATCTGTCTCTGAGTTATAAATATTTCTTTATAAATATCAAAAGTGTCCATTTTACCCCACCCTCCCCTAAACAAGATTTCAAATAATCGAGAATATAAAATTGTGGAATGTAAATGAAATTCCGAAAAGTAATTAACAAATGGGAAACTGCTCTTGTATTGCATATAGTAGTTATTTTTGCTAATAAATTAGCAATATGCTTCTGAATGGTTATTTTGCACATCATTTCCTTCTATCCTGCATAATTCATTGTTTATTTCATTTTATTAAATTGAATAAGATTTCTTTTCAACTGATTCGGTCTGATTTTCAACTTGGTTGAATGTTATCATCGTAATTATTCTTATTATTCCTTTCTTCTATACAACGTTGTATAGACAATCCGTACAGATTGTCCTTTTTACGGGTCTATTTCTCCCCTCAGCCCTTCGATAAAATGTTATTTGAAAAATTTCATTTACTGGCGGGATACGCCCCCTGCTCGCTCCGCTGGACGACCACCATATGACCCTTCATTTCTGACCCTTAATGTTGGAGTCTCAATTCCGAGTAAAGAATTTTCATCACCAGAAGGCAATTTGCATTTTTATAATATAGAGAGATACCTAGAGACGATTATTTGGAACCTTAATCTGACTTTTGTGATCCTCAATCTGACCCTTGTGACCCTTATTTAGATCCTTAATCTGACCCTCATTATAACTCTCATGAACCCTATTTTGACCCTTGTAACCGTTAATCTGATCCTTGTGACCCTTATTTTGATCCTTAATCTGACTCTTGTTATCCTTATTAGGGCCCTTAATGTGACCCTTAATCTTATAATTCGTAATCTCTTTCATATGACCCTTAATCTGACCCTCGTAACGTTTCAATTAGCGAACAATTGAAATTAAATGAACTCAAATTTGAACGATTAGAAAGCTTCCTCTCGAAAGCAAAAAATTGAATTATTATTAAATGAAAAATAATTATGGGTAAAATTGGGGAGGCGGGAGGGTAATGCGTAAATTACAGGATATAGTTAATAAATCAATGAAATGATGGAAATTATTCTGTTAATAAAGTCGACTCATCAAAGTTTTACAATTTTTATTTTTTTTAATCATTTGTTTTTCTCAGTTTTCTCAGTTACTTTCCTTTCCTCGTCTTTTATATAACGGCTTATGTGTATTTATAAGAATTCGAAGAAGAAAATTCATTGTCTTTCATCCCCAAAAACAATATCTTAACAATTAACGAAAAAAAATAATGTCAAAGCTTTCAATGGAAAATATGGAGTAATTGTTTATTGCGATTGTTGAATCGAATGAAATATGGAAAAATGCTGACGTGGAATTTCAATTGGTTTGTAGAAAAAAATTGTTATTCTAATTAATTGTTATTCGTAATTACTTCACTGACAATTGGAATAATCGAAATTCCACATTTTTGGCATTTAGCAATGAAAGTAATTACTATTATCTTTCATACAATATTCTGTCATTTCATTTACACAACAGTTTCATGTATTATCCACTCGCAAATTAATTTATCAGTGATAAATAAATGAAAAACTAATGAATTATTAATTATACATTTCAATTAATAGATTGTTAATCTTTTTAATCTCGCTATTTCTCTTAAACATTTCCAAAGTTTTGTCGGAGAAGCTCAAAAGTTAAAGTTTTTCTTCATTTCATAGCAAAAATTGTAGAAGAAAAAATTTATAACATTTTTGTTATTTTTTTTGCCTAAAAATTTACAACAATACGGGGTCCATTAATACTTCCATGTTTTTTTCATTCTTTTCCTTTTAATTAATTAATTAATTTTTGTATTGAAAAAAGAGCATCGAAATTACAGCGTGCGCATTTTCTTTTCAGTTATTATCACGGACTCGTATTTTATTTTTAAATATACCGCACTTTTTCAATCATCGCCCAAAAATTTTTCACCTTATGAGTTAATTTATTATCCTTTTTTATTAATATTTTGAGAGTACTTCATCAATATTTGTTTTTCTTTTTATTCAAAAAAGCCGTGGAATCAAATCGAAGCCGCGAATATTCTTTTGTTTTGTAATAATACGGGAGCCGAAACCTCTCATTATTATGCTATCTCTGCTGAATTATTTGCGTGTGAATATGCATTTTTGATTAATTCATTTATTGGCTGATTTCGGAAATTCGTTAACGAGATCATTAAAAAAAATTATACCCTGAGTTATGGAGACTCTACTAGCCTTATCTTCGCCCCCTCTCCTTCTCCTGCCCCTCCATCACGCCCCGCCCACCGTTACCGGTAAAAATAAAACACGTAAATTTCAACACACAAATTTAACACATGCATTTTCAACCCTTGACAATTTAGCATATACAAATTTAACACGCGTGTATTTGTGTGCGTATATATTTGAAGTTCCGTGTCACCTCAATAATCCCTACTTGTGATAATTTCAGTGCCGACTGTGATATTCTTGAGTATTTGCGTGCTCAAGCCAGCAATATTCGAATGCATGGCTTGATCAGACAGAAAGACTATTGAGAGGTTTACATCGCTGATGCCTTCTAAAGCGTTGTGTTTCGCGAGGGGCTGGTCACTCCTCACTTGAGTGACTCAGGGATTTCCAGAATCAGATGAATTCCTTTGATTTCTTGTTGATTTCTGTGATTTCTCGAATGATTTTTGTGATTTCTCAAATGATTTTTGTGATTTCTCGAATGATTTTTGTGATTTCTCAATCAGCATTATAAATCATGATTTCTTTTGATTTCTTATGATTTCCATGATTTCTAGTAGATTCCAATGATTTCAAGAAATTTCTTGATTTCAAGAAATCACTGAAGAAATCATGATTTCAAGACCAGAGTGGGGCGTCTGTCGATAATACGATGCGTACGTTGGAATTGGAATTAGTATTGATTTGATGATGATATTTTTTCTGATTATAAGTAGTGAAACTGCGAAGTGTTGTGTAGTATAATATTATTTTGGTGTGATCAGTTAACTTGTAACTTGATATCAATTTCTTAAATTTGCTGATTTACTGATTTTCATGTTCTAATGATAATGTTATAATGGCAGTTTTCTACATGACGTACCAATACGTATACAAAATACGTATACAATACCATAACAAAAATTGTAGAGTTGAAACTGCAAAATCAATTTCGATTTTACACTTATCGATGATTTTGAATGATTTCGGAAATCACCTGATTTCTTTATCATTTCTATTAATTTCCGATGATTTCCAGAAGTCTTTAGAAATTACTACCGAAAATGGAAATCACTTGATTGCCAGTGATTTCCATTGATTTCTGGTGATTTCTTCCTTGATTTCCAGTCGAATGGTCCAGTGATTTCCTAAGTGACTAGCCCCTCGGTGTTTAGTCATCGTATTTATTTTGATTGTTGGACACTTGGGCGATGCGTACGTTGGAATTGGAATTAGTATTGATTTGATGATGATATTTTTTCTGATTATAAGTAGTGAAACTGCGAAGTGTTGTGTAGTATAATATTATTTTGGTGTGATTAGTTAACTTGTAACTTGATATCAATTTCTTAAATTTGCTGATTTACTGATTTTCATGTTCTCATTTATTGATACAATTGACTGAATTGTTGTCCACATTCTTTTGATTTTTCATCACGCGAATTCTCAAGCCAAAAGTAAATAATTATTGGTTTCGAAGACGGTGTTGATAATTGTGTTGAATTTGTTTGTGTTAACATTTACGTGTGTTATTTTGACATGTAACCCTCACCCACTAAATTTTTGACGCTACATTTCAATTTCTGCAACATTACACACATCACGTGACCAGAGAATTCCATACAAACACGAGGTATCAGCTCCCGATAACAAATAATTCATAATAGGCATGAATAATTAATCGAACAATAGTGTTTCATCAATTATTCAATGACTCAATGTTCGATTGATCATCGAAACCTCATTACGATTTTATTGAATTTTTTTTTATACAATACGGGTAGTTTAAACAGTCCTTGAGCTCATGAAGGCTTCATTGTTTTTGTTAGATCGTTTTTATTTAATCAAGTTCCGTCGAAAAAATTCCTCTCACACCTCAAAACTTTCAAATACTTATATAAATCCCGTTCTATACTATCAAAGTATGCTTTTTAAATTGGACGCAATAGTTTTTTTTGGCTAGCTTCAAAAATGGCAAATGTCTCCCCCCTTTTCTTAAATATACATATCTATATTTTTCAATTTCGTTTTTTTTTTCGCGGGAAAATGCTTTTTGTGTACATGTTAATGTATTTTCTTTATCGATTGGATATTCAAATAGCGTAAATAGTATTTCTTTTTTTCTTGCTTTTTTTTTTTGTTAAATTGTTTTTTATTTAAATATTAAATTTAGTAGTAATGCGATAATAACCTTAGTAAGGCCCAGTAAGGCTACGTGGGTTTGTCACTTTCGTAATTTTGGTTTCACCCGTTTTATTTTTGAGTTTATTCAATTTTTTATTCATGTGAAACAATTTTTTCGGCTCTTGTCTCACGGATTTTTTTACACACATCCCCTTGGAGTTTTCAATTCTTCAGTGTCCGTTTTTTAAATTTATTTTTCATTCATCTACCCACAAGAAAAAAAGAGTGAACAATTTTTTTTCTCAGTCAAATTTTCATCTTTAATAAAATAAAACAAATCCAATTTCAAAAGAAAAGACGCCTCGTGCTCTTGAATCCCCCCTTTATTGTCACGTTTTTCCCCCTTAAATTAAATTTCAACGACTCTTCAATTCACCTCATGTTATTGCTCTCGAATCCATGAAATTTCAACTGATTTTCATTTTTCAATACTCCCCAAATTTTTTCTTCATTTTACCTAGCTTATGGAATGCCCTAAGATTATAGTACAGACTCAATTTCATTATTATTAAATTATTTTAAAGTATTAATGGAAAATTCACTTTAACTATTTGTTTTCTTTAAATTGTGAGACAGCACATTTTTCATTAATTCATGCTTTTTTTGTAAAATTCTCAAAATTTACTCATCAACCCCTCAAAACCCTGAATTCACAATTTAATTTCCTTGGCCTTTGAACTCTGAATGATTAATTTGTCTTTCATCAATGCCATTCACTCTCGCATTAACCGATATAATAGCCCAAAAAATTCGACAATAAAAATTTGAGGAAAAAAAATAATTGGAACATCTCACTTGACCTCGATTGCGAAAAAATCGCATAAACCATATATACATTATACAATATAATATTTAATATTAAATCTGGCGTTGAATATTAATATTATTATCAATTTATACTTTCATTCGTATCTTTATCTTGTAAATTTCAATACTTTCATGAAATAATGCATCATTATTTTCTGCATCAACTACTCTTCCCTCATATTTCGCATAAAAAACAAGGCAATTAGATTGAGTTTTTTTTATCGTTTACATTAATATTACTTAATTATTAAATATCTCTCAGATTAATCACCTCATATATACACTATATATCGTGTGAGAATTATTACTTTCTTTTATTTTGGTAAATTTTTCCTTGCAAACTAATACGAAAGGACTTAAGCTCTCAGTAAGAATTTTCGTTAATGTTATTTCATTTTTACTCAGCAGTTACCATTCTCCTTTTTTTTAATCAAGCCTTTATGCAAAAATTTAATTTGATTATCCTAACTAGATTCGAGACCCATTTTTCCCTCAGTGATTTTTTTTTCAGCTAAAGGTCCACCTAAAAAATGTTCGAATAAATCGCACACGATGTCTTCTTGTGGGAAAAAAATTTAGCTAAAAAATTGATTCTTTAGAGATTCTTTCTTTTGGGATTTCACTAACTTCTTATGAATAGAAATGGAAAGTTGGTGGTTATTTTTGGGGGTAATTTATGGACAGCCACACTCGTCAACCACCATTTTTGGTAAATCTCGCTTTATGATGTTTGAGTCTGGTCCATAATAGATGAGGGACATTGCTGAAAATTTAACTGGTGCACAGCATGGCTGCATACCATCCAGTTTGTCCATTTGTCTGTATTTCTCGATTACGTGGGTGTAGTAATTGAGGAATGTGTCTGGTGTTCTGTGACCAGCTGTACAATCGCCTCTACAGTAATTGGCATAATACCTGAAAAAAAAAATCATTAATAATATTTGACAACACGTGTAAAAACTTTTATAGAAAATTCTATTGGATTGATCGCCTCAATCGTGATGATGAATGAAAAATCGGTGAATGAATGAGGGTCTAGGCTTAATCAATTAATCGAATAATTCGTCAATCGATGAGTTGCACTCATTAATAAAACACGTGATCGATTAACAGGGCCTCTAGAATGAGCAATTTAGAGTCAACGGTGCATGTACTTGACTCGTGAATGAATTAATTTTTTACTCTGCGGTAGGTACCCCCGTTTTACCGAAAGAGTTACGAAAAATAATCATTATTTGAGTTTTTAACTTTCTCACGGTTATTTATTCAAGACTGCCGCCATGTTCAATCGATCTGTGAGTTTTGAACGAAAAATGTGGATGGAAAAACACGACATACCCCTGAGGAGCAATGATCCAGTCGTCCCAACCGAGCGTTGAGAAGTTGACATAAAACCTTTGTTTACAACACTGTCCTTTGACAGCTCCACTGCACTCTATCGCACGTCTCCTTACTCTTTTGACAGCTGTTGGATCCGTACGAACCACCAGGAATGGTCTATCAGGATCTTGAGTACCTTAAATCAATCCACAAACGATTTCTATGGTTTAACTCGAAATTTTCGTCCACCTCGAATTTTCAAGTGCTCATAATTCCCTCGAAAAAAATTATTCCTCCATTTTTCTTCGTGATTTTTACTCTTCCCGAGTGAACAATTGATGGCCCATACTCAGTTTTTGGAAAATAATTTTTTTCTGAGGAAATTCGGGGGAAAATCCACCCAGCCGCCATTTTGAAAAAATCTATTGGGAGCATTTTTGGGGGAAGCATGGAGGTTAGGTTATCCACGAACCTTTTGGATCGACAGACAACTCAATGACATTCAGCGAGTCTGTTCCAAAGGTCGATATATGGACATTTGTACCGCATCTCGTACAATCGATGAGTAATGTCAATTTTTCACGTGAATGACTGTGCGATGTGAACCAGGTGTTAACCACTCTCGTTACGTCAAATTTCTGCCAACCTAATTGGTTTACACTCACTGTCAGTGACGTCACCATTTCCAGATGCTCACTCAGTTCCTAGAATAAACTTTTCATTATTTTTTCTTGACGAAAGATAATTTTTTGTCGCTTAAGGGGTGACTACTATGAGTTTTCAAATTCGCGGGCTATTGAAGTGCATTTCTAGCCATTTTACATCAATGATACAATTTTTTCTATTAAAAAAACAAAATTAGCTGCGTAGAAGTCGAATTTCGAAAAACTAGCTCGTAATTGTTATTATACACATTTTTTTTGAATTTTGAAAAATTTTTTTTGAACAATAGAAAATTAAAATCATAGCAGTCTCCCCTTAGTAACACGCACGAAAAAAAATCGCCGATAAACCTAGTGAATGCTGTGAAAAATTATATCGAATTTCTATTAAAAAATATGATATGAACTTTCCAAGTTTTTTGCACTCTATTTTTCTTCTCGTTGTAATGAATGAATTCGACAAAAAATCTTTGAATTCTATTGATTTATTTAGAGAATATTTTTCATCAAAAATTTCGATTACCCAGTGGCATGGCGCAGTGGGTAAGTTCATTGCCTCACATGCGAAATATTCCGAGTTCAAGTCCCGGCCGATTAGAATGGTGGGATCTAACCATTTAAAGTCTTGATCATCATCGCAGTATAGGGTAAACTGCCCAGTAGATGGACGCCTAAGAAAACCGCCCAGTAGATGGACGTTTGTTTTTTAGCAATTGAAAAAAAAATTGATCGAAAAAAAATCCTCACTCAGGGGTTAAGAATCACAACAGTTAGTGAAAATTCAAAGCAACAATTCACATTTCAGTATTTTTTGCGTAATTTCCTATTCAAAAGTAGCTCGTCCATCTATAGGGCAGTGTCCATCTACTGGGTAGCTTACCCTACCCTAACCGGGTCGAAGCGATGTAAAATAACGATAAAAAAAAATTCGATTCGCTAGGTCTTTCTGTGAAATTTTTTTTGCACGTGAAATTTTGTCAGAGAATTGAAATTTTACCTTCCCCCGGAGATGCGTTCTATTGCCATATTTTACCCTAAATACCCAGAGGGTGATGTTTTTGTGATTGTACTGTCGTCGATGATGTTTGTAATGATACGAGCGTTTCAATTCGACTCTCGCCCAGAGCGTCGCCCTCTTGATTCTCACGGGCTCCAGTGTTGGCTCACCACTCGACATTGGAAATTCAAGGAGCGGTAGACCATTTAACGTTCGTCCTGAAATCACAAGTAACAAGTTCTTTAATTTCAATTTTCAATTGGAACTAGCGAACATGCGCTTCGCGCCCCTATTAACTTTTTTCGCGCGTGTTTTGAAGGTTAAAAACGGAAAAAATGAAGTTTTTCATGGTTATACGGGGCAAAATCGATCGGGTCCACGATTTTCTCTAGTTACTCCCATATTCCGTCATATCACAAACTGTTTAATGGGCCCCGAGGCCCAGTGAAGACTATCAACTTTCACCGACGTTATCCCCTTAAAATCGATATATTTTGTCGAATCGAATAAGAAAAACCCATAAATTCTATTTCCATCCTCGTCTTTCGATAGAATAAATGACAGAAATTGAAAATTGCCCGAGTGGAAATTAAAATCAGGATAGAATAAGAGACTGACCAGTAAAAACGGACTTTGATCAGTTTTGGATCAGAAATGTAACGCTTGTTTGGATCCATGCCTGATTAAAATTCTAGGATCCGATCTTTCTAACAGTACCGGATCCGATACGGATCTAGTCGAGATTTGACTGATCAGAATAGGATCACAATTCACTTTGCCGCATTGGATCCAGAATTCCATTCAGAATCTCATCAGATCCTGATCCGAAAGTCTAATCAATAAATTGTGTTCAGTATTGGACCTAAAACTGATCTAGATCCAAGCTAACTGAGTGAAATTTCTACTCGGGTGGTGACTAAAAACTTTATCGGATTATTATCATGTAATAATTTCAAATAATTAAAAAATCACGATTACATTGTTCTCCGAATTGTCAAACCTCCTATGAAGTGAAAAGTTGTAAATTTTCCGAGATGATACTCCGGTGCACTCAATACGTCGTCAGCCATTGCTTACCGAAATAGTGCGATCTCTATTTTCTTCACGGCTATAAATCCCCCCAGCGAAGAGTTCGGAGGGGGCCGGGGGGAGCGGAGGAATCGTATAACACGAGTTTCAAAATTTCTCTCTCTCTCTCTCTCTCTCTCTCTCTCTCTCTCTCTCTTTCTCTCTCTCTCTATCCATCATCCCATGTATCGTTGCATTTTACTCTGACTGAGGATGGGAGGAGGTTTTCAGCTATTATTGCTATATTGGCGCGACCAGGCGGATGCTGCTGAAATATCCCTCCCATCCCACCCCCTCGGCTTTCACAGATAACTCACGTGGTGTTAACTTTAACTCTTCACTACTATCCGGTATTACCACTATGATGACAATCGCCTGATTTTCAAGTTTATTCATAAGTTAATGTCTGAGAACTCAAAAGTAATGCGAAATGAGAAGAATTGAGACAAAATTTGCAGAATTTTTTTTTTTTTGGTCTCTAAATCAAATGAAAATTTTGAAAAAATTGAGGGTCGTGTCTTCACTCATAAAAGTCATCGTTGTATTTAAAGAAAAAGAAATTAACGAACCCGTTACACTGTTAGAAAATTACTCTTGGAATTGCAAGTGAAAAAGCTTGGAATTTTTAACAGCGACAAAGTTGCGTGAAATTTTTGTGGAATTCTTCATTGACGAATCAGTTAATTTCGGGAATATTCAAGTAATTCTCGATTTTCAGGTACGTACGGCACTGAAAAACCGTGAAAATTTTGAAAATTCAGGCCATAACCTCTCTGAATTTTCAATCGATTGAAAACGGAATTGTATGTGATGGTCAATTTTCACGATGAGTCCGAAAATTCAAACTTTCGTTGAAAAATCAATGAATCTTTAAGGGGAGACTACTGTGAGTTTTCAGAGTCGTGGGTTACTGGAGTGAGATTTTTCATACGTTGAAGATCGATTATATAAATCTGAAAACGAGTAATTAGTGCAAACAAAATTTTTTTCATTGTTCTTTTACCCGAAAACGCTTAAAATGTCAAAAATAGTCCAGGGCTTCCAATTTTTAAGCTACAGAGGTTTCTTCTTTTTCAAAATTTTCGGAAAAATGTGTGGAACAACAATTACGAGCCAGTTTTTTGGAATCCGACTCCTACACAGCTGATTTCATTTTTTTTTTCATATAAAAAAATCACTTTGTGTAATAAAATATAAAAAAAGCAAATTTAGCCACGTAAGAGGTGAATTAAAAAAAAAATAGCTCGTAATTGTTATTCCACATATTTTTCCGAAAATTTTGCAAAAAAAATCATTAGTAGCTCAAACATTGGAGGCCCTGGACTGTTTTTGGCATTTTAAGCGTTTTCGGGCAAACGAACAATGAAAAAAAAATTTTTTTTGCACTAATTATTCATTTTCAGATCTATATAATCGATTTTCAACGTATGAAAAGTCTCACTCCAATGACCCACGACTGTTAAAACTCACAGTAGTCTCCCCTTAACACGAAGAACCCAATTTTGTTGAAATTTCAAGATGAATGAGAAACCTAGTGAACGTTTTCATTTTAAATTGAATTCAAACTCACAACATTGAAAATTCAGATGACATTGTGACTGAAATTGCAACAAATTTCTAACAGCGTAGTATTAAAAAATACTAATCCGTCCACCCACACGCCGACCCCACCCCAATGAGTAGAAATCTGCCTCTCTGATCAGACAACGGAAAGAAAACTCAAAAAAAACCCCACACGTCTGAATAGACACTCTCCCTCCATAAAACTGTCGATCAGTCTCTCGTAAACTCCATAAAACATAAAATTTCTAGCAAAAAAGTCATTCCCGCAAGCCCCCGCCCTTTAAATAAAAAACATTACAACTTCAGTGTAAAAATAAATGATAATAAATAGGGAGTACTTTGTAACTTTATGCTTTACGCCCGATAAATCCGTCGAACCAAAGGCGATGACTCTCGTAATTTTCGTCTCTCCCTCGTGCTTGTGCACCCAACCCCTCATTGAAGCCATCCTCGTGGAAGGGATGAAGAGGGGGCGAGGGGAGGGGGAGCAGTGATGGTATGTGAAGTTATACCTCAAGGAATGTGCGCGCGAATGGACGTTAAAACGAGGGGGGAAAAGGCAGACGAACGGCAGACACCCCATAGTCCATCCCCACCCCCTTCTCATGTTACCATTCCCCACTACTTGCGGACTGCCGCTGGGTTTACTCCCCTCGGCTGATGTTACTCACCTGGAGTGCCTCCTAAAAATGCACGTGGATATGAGGTTGTGACAACAAGGAGGGGGGGGGGGTTATTAACCTGATGAGTTGAATTTATGATTGTCTTTTTGCACGGAAGCCTTGCATTCGACCGATTTTTCCATTTCCTAATTTCGATTGCAAATGGTCTAGAATGTTATGAAATGTGAAGAAATGATGTTTTCATTATGCTGTGTGGGAAGTGAAATTTTACGAAATTCAGAATGTCATGGGAAAATCAAGGAGAACTACAAATGTAAGTTTAATTATTCCCGGAAACTTGATAGAAATCAGGAAAATTTCAGTAAATGTAATGAATTTTTAATTAATTGGAAATTTAGCGTAATTCAACACTAAATATTCATTTTTCTGTAGAAAATTCTAATAAGTTGAGGAATTCTTCTCTTAATGAGTCTGTATACTCAGACGAGTTGGAATTTGTTTTGTTTTCTTTCTATTGTCTGATCAAAAAGGCAGATTTCTACTCATTGGGGTGGGGTCGGCGTGTGTGTGGACGGATTAGTATTTTTTAATAGTAACTGGATAGATAATTTTCTTTTAAAAAACACTACAACGACTTTTATGAGTCCTACACTTTTGTGAGTCACGTCCCTGAATTTTCTCAAAATTTTCATTTGATTTTGAGAGGAAAAAAAAAATCCTGCGAATGTTGTTTCCAGTGCGAAAATTTCGACAGTTATCATCAAGTGTCTCTGTTCTTCTCATTTCGTATTACTTTTGGATTCTCAGGAGACTTCACTAGTTATTACTCATCAAATTCTTGGTACTCTAACTGTAGATAAAAGGAAAACCATCACGAGATGACAACCATTAAGAAATTTACAACCTTTGGGATTCTTTCCACTCGTCACTCCCGTTCCCCGAGAGCATTCATTCCGGAATCATATAAAAAGGGGCATAAAAATTATTGAGGTTAGGAACCACTCAAAATGGCCGTCACTACCGCCATTTTGTTGACACCTCCGCTGGCCAAGTGTCGCCCCAGTGTTCATACATCTGCAATTTTTTTCACAACTCTATCCCTCGATAATGAAATATTTAAGGAGTGGGCGGATAGCCCGGAGGGGATGGTCGATAGGATATTAATGCGGTGGATATAATGTTACGCTTGAATGAACATCACGGATATCGTCGCCAGAATTTCACCGATTTCAATGACAGATCGACGTTAAATATATCACGAAGATGGTTCCGGTCGCCCTCTTGATTCTAACCTTAAAAAAAATCTCGAAGTTACAAGTTCCACTTCATTTCACTGATGTTTATCTCGACAATTTTGCCCATTGGGAAAACCCGTGGTTCTGACCTAGAAGAAACAAGTGGAAAATTGCTCTTGTATTGCCTATAGTGTAGTCATTTTTACTAATAAATTACAGCAAATGCTTCCGAATGGTTACTTTGCACATAATTTCCGTCTATCATGTACGATTTATTGTTTGTTTCATTTTATTAAATTTAATAAGATTTCTTTTCAACTAATTTTGTCAGATTTTCAACTAATTTAAAAATCAATCAATCAATGAATCAATCAATTAATAATTAATAATTAATGAAATAATTAATAATTAATTAATGAATGATTATCAATAATTACTAATTAATTTATTGATTATTATTAATCAATCAGTCAAGTAGTTAAGAAATCATTATTCTTATTATCCCATTCTTCTATACAACCGATTATCTTTTTTACGGTTCTACCTCTCCCCTCAGCCCTTCGATAAAATGTTAATAGAAAAATTTTATTTATGCACACACTGAGAGAAAAATTTCCTAATACGTAGACCATATTTACTTGAGAGAAGTAAATTATTTTCAAGACTTTAAATCTCAGAAATTTCTGTTTGTGGTTCACGGAACTCAAATGAATTCTCATTTATTACTAT